AATGTAATGCCGTTGCTCTCAGGTACTTGGATTGATGGCTTTTCCTCTGGATGTACAGATGACTTCAGTTGAGTCATCGCTCAAGCTAGAAAGTAATTTAACGGTGCCCCGTGGGTTTGAGCCTGAATGTTCATTCATGATTTATCAGTCTAGATGGTTTTTGGCGTGAGAATCGTATTTTCAGACAAGTCTGCCGTCTCTCAAATTTCACAGAACAAGTGGCACACGGATTCAAAAGAGCAGAATAAATAGTAAAATAACCATTTACGGTCCACCCCAGTTCTCGACATGAAACTTGCTTTTCAACCAGGTCTGTGGATCATCTTCAGTAACAGAGTCATGATTTCTGGACGACTCGTTGTTGTTGCATTTTTCTGTGAGCACCAGAACGTTGTGGAGAGAGAAGGCAGACGTCTCTACGGCTAATATCTTCCAATCCAAGCAACTCACACCAAAGAAATCAATATGGCTGCAGAGCAACAAAGGCTTTCCCCGGAGCTTTCAACTGCATTCTCTGCTCGTCATTAGCAGATGGATTTAGAGCAGAACTCCATCTGCTGAGAATGAGGTAGATCTTAAGATGAATTTGTTCCCGGTGGAGCCGTACTGTAATGTAAACCCTGCTATGTTTGCATTACGCACTCATGTATGTCAGTTCCACCCATTCTAGAAGAGGCACTTGCACCAGCTGATGGGCTATGAGCTGTTTGACCAGCATCCTTTGACCTTTTGTCACAGCAGCTGATGATCTGACCGGTACCATCGAATTCTTAGCCCACTAATGTCTAGTGTGGCGTGAAAAAGCCCATGTGCATTCTGTTGAGAGAAATGTTCAACTCATATATACATGTCCTTTGGAAATGGCTGGTTTACCCATTCAAGATTCAACATAATGTGATGCTGAAACGGCAGTAAGAAACCTGCTTTAACCGCTAAGGTGGATCTTAAATACAGCGCGACACCATCTGCCCGACACCTGGCTGAGGGTGTCGGCGCTGACACAAAGCAGATACTGTAATTAAATGTAGCTATTTGTCCTCGGGACACTCGCACAGCGTCGATATGCCCACCTCAGAGGCCCAGGTGATGTCTGTGCCCTCGGGGGGAGGGGGGTCTGGCAAGCAGTCAACTAGTTTCCGTTCAGATGGTTCTCGTTGCCTGAAACTCACATCGACCGCCTGCTTTGCTTTTATGTGCACGGTGATAATGGTGCCGGTTGAAGAAAAAAGAAAAAAAGCTCAGCGGTCCACTGAAAGCAAAGTCTAATTTGGCCTGTCATCAAAATTCAAGCCGTTAAAGTAGTATTCACAAGAGAGGGGTGGGATGTGGTCTGAATTTTAGAGGGGAAGTGGGACTTCTAAACAAAAAATTTGCAGAGAACATTTTTCCATAACGTCCAGTTGTCGTGACCGGACGGTAACGCACAATCACGCGGTCAGAGAGCGAACTGTAGTCCGATTTATTTACAATCTTCCCACTGTCTGTATTTTTTCTTTTTAAGGAATGACCGTAAGACCAGAGAGGCCCGCTGCCCTGCCAGACTCCACCAGGGCCAGGATCCAACAAATCCACATCCCTCTCATCATCCCACCGCGGCCATCCAACCCCGGCCAACCGCAGCAGCCCAACGTGCACACGATCCTGATCAGTCCGTCCAGCCCCCGGCAGCCGGGCCGCGCCGCCACTCTGCCGCTGGTTCCCGTGAGGCCCGTGGTGGAGACGGGCGAGGCCGGACCTCCGGGTTACAGCCGCAGGGTGACTGTGCGCAGAGGGTCTGGGGACTCGTCCGGCGCGCCTGTCAAAGGATTCGCTGGGGCACCAGGTGAGACCTTCTAGTCAGTGTTCACCCTCAAACCGCAGGTACAGCTTGATGCCCTTATTAAAGGGTGAACACCACGGACTTGATGCACAAAGCTCGACTGTAGCCACAAATAAGGATGAAATACATCCGGTGGTTTCCTCGGATGGATGTTTCTATTGCACCTTTTAAAACGGAGCAATTTAATGCTTAAAAGGCTTTAAACTGTAATTGGAAGGAAGAGACGACAAACGGTCACACAGCCGGTTCTGAATTGAATTAATAGGACTGCATATGGAGGATGAGGGGAAATATGATAGACTTTGTTTTGGCCTCCCAGAGGCATGTTTTGTCGGTTAAGTAAACCCATTGAAGTGTTCAATTCATGTTGGTTGAGATTCCTGACCTGACGTTCAAACTGTGGATTCAGAAACCTTTCGGGCTTTGATGTGGAGTAGTAGAGGTTTTTAAATTGCTCCTCAACATGGAGGGTTATGTTTTCACGTCAGTTATAGGGCTGTGAACCCTTGGGGTTGTTTTTTCCTGCGCCTGCTTTACGATTGTTGGTCGTATTTGGAACTAAAACAAAAAACGGTAGATTTAGATCCCCTTTCAACGCATGTATCTATTTCTGGATCCCATTGTCCGGCTACAGCTAAAACAACATCACACTCATTCTTAAAGCCACTTGTAAAACCAAAATGATGCAGATTACAGCCGGTTTGGTTTTATTTATATCTACTCTGGGAAACGTTCCCACAACGTGCAGATGGAAAAAACGTCCTTTTCTTTTGCAGGCTATCCTCCTCTGCAGCCTGCTTCTTTCAAGCCTCAATCAAGCGTCCGTCAAGGTATCGTATTATTTCATTATCAACCTACAGCGCATTCAGCAGCAGAATTTGTCATTCAAATTAAACTAGTGAGAACAAAAAAAAAAAGCAAGCAGGGGAAAAGCTGTGAATAACTTGTAGACTGTGCGAGGGAGTGGGAAGTGGACGCGTTTAGTTTAAGGAGATGTGGGCGGACTATGGGCACGATTTCATGTCTTCTGAAGGAACTTAACAGAAAGTTTTACCCTGGTGTTACATTTGGCGATGACCCAGAAAACTACACACTTAATAAGTTGATTCTGTCTTTTGATTTTGAACTTCTTAGAAAGTCAAAGCGTCCACCGGGAAGCTCAACACAATCACCACTCTTTATTTGTATATTTTAGTTCCCGTAGCGGCGACGCTGCCCTGGAACCCCATGTTTCACGTTCCTGCTGAATCACCAGGTAAAAAAACAAAAAAAAACATCAAGTGAACAATCCATTAGCTCAATGATAAGGGGGCGTGAAGGGGGGCGGGGTCATGTCGTTTATCTTCCAATCGAGACACTGATGGCCTCGCGCGTAACCTTTGCAGCTCCCGCCGACTCCAGCGCCGAGCCCTTCTCCTTCTCCGCCGGCCTCACGCAGCAGCCGCTCTCCGCAGAGTTCGGCTTCATCCGCTTCAACAGGGTTCTGGTCAACGACGGAGGACACTACAGTCCCCACACAGGTAAACAACAACAACAGGGTGCACATTCGTGCAACGCCGTGCACGGACGTCCTGACACTGCATCGCACTCATGCAAACATGAATTCAAGGTTGCGTAGCAACACCAGTTGGCTTCTGAGTCTCGAGCGTTTGTGGTTGCTATAGGTAATTAGATCTATAATCTATTTTGCGCATGTTCTTCTTTATTTTTACCATATAACAAAACAAGAGCAGGAGATAGATACAGAAGCATAAGAAAATGCACAAGTGGGTTGAACAAAAAAAAAAAAGAAAAAAAAAAAAGACCTAAGGGCTTGAACCAATCCATTTTTTTTTTTAAAGAAAAACCTTTAAATTCTTCTTAGGACAGAAGGAGGAGTGGTATTTGTGTCTTGGAAGGCAATAATGATTTGGTGGAATAGAACAGAGTGAATTATTCACAATGCAAGAAGCCACGGACCACGGTGGGCGTATTATCACATCGGTCAACATGGGACTCCATTTGTCAACCATGCCCCCCCCCCTCCTTTCTCCTCTCCTCAGGGGTCCTCACAGTACCTCTGGAGGGGCGATACCTGATTTCGGGACTGCTGACCGCCAAGCAGGGCGACCGCGTGGAGGCCGTCCTGTCCGTGTCCGACCGCAGCGTCCAGAGGCTGCAGAGCGCCGCGGGTCAGCACGGGGGCTCGGCCGGCGGGGCCTGCGGCTGCGGAGGCTCCGTGTCCTTCAGCCTGATCCTGCCCCTGAGGAAAGGGGACCGCGTGGGCCTGGTGAGGACGGGAGGCCAGCTGGCCACCACCGGCGCCCGGGAGATCCTCTCCACCTACAGCGCCGTCTTCCTGTACGCACCGCAGGACAGGAGATAGCCGGAGCCCGGCTGGGCCGTCACGGCGCAGACCCGGTTGTTCTGAAACCGTTGGACTGGAGGAAGTGTTGGAGAAGCCATAGTTTTCACTGACGTGTGAAGATTCTCACTTTAAAATTCAGTTAAGAAAGTCATTACATTGCCATTTGTAAGCCATTTGCCAAATATACCCGAGTACGAGAAGCAGGATCTGTTTCTAATATATTTAATTATCAAGATGCTTTTTTTTTTGGTAACTATTTCTGAATGTCTTGTGTAAATAAGTGTTTGTAAATTAACATAAAATTCATAAAATGTTATTTCAACAACGTCATCTCGGAGACTCCGTAAGCGAGAATGTGATATCGCTGGTTAGGCCATAAATCGTGATAAATCAAAGCATGAGCTCCATTCATCTTACTGTGTAATCCACGCTGTAGAAGGAAAACATGATTAATAAATGCACATGAACGGGTTTTGCAACACAAACTTTTAATTCATGTTAGACGTGTCTGGCTTTCTGAAACTGCAATGGGAAAAGGTCATAAGGGCAAAAAACACACGTGTCATTATCTGAAGTGGATGTGGATTAAAATCACTCATGAGAATTAAAATATTCAAGCGGTTAAGTAGTATTTAGCCTCCACTTGAGCCTCTCTTTACCCTTTAAAGATAACAGCAATTCAGTGGGCTGTAATTTGGTTGCTTTATTCAATAAAACAAATACATTTGCATTGACCGGAGGTATTTGAACTGTAATAACGGTTTATGTATGTAAACATATGTAGCCTGTGGGTTTTTTGGACCAGAGTCAAGATAAAGTGCAGCACACAAAATGTATTCAGTTAGAAACTTTATTCAATACAAATATTTGTTAGCTTCATTAGGTGTGTATTTTCTTTTCCTCTTACAACTTATTTTGTTCTTTAAACATACTTTAAACCACATTTCTATACAAATCAAACGGCATAAACTGAAGGTATTTCTGTTGGTCAGACGCAATCAAATAGCAAGCATTACCTCCAAACAGAACGAAAAACAAACACAAAAGATCATTACACTGAATAAGAAAAGAAAAAAAAAGATAAGGCATCAAAGACAGAAGAATGTGATGATCAGCACACACAGTGGATCGCTTTCCACAGCAGTCGAGTGACAAACACATACACACACACACACACACACACACAGCGCGATCATAAGTGAAGCGAAGTGTGATTCTTCCACACGAGATGCTTTACTTTCATAGAAAGAATGGAATTCATTTTGTTAAATCATAACATATAAATCGATTTGACTTCACCAAACTTTGTCGAGAACAAGCAAATTAAATCAACGCAAAACACGCATCTCGGATCGTCACAAAAACAGCTGATCCACAGAGGGGAAGCGGGAAACCCTTTGGCGAAATGACGATAAAAGTGACCATCTGGATGTAAATTGTGCTCTTTGTATCTAATGGTTTTGGACTCTTTTCGGATGTTTAATCCTCAATAGCAAAAACTATCACGACGTGGTTACGCTTGTGCGGGAGGTGTGATCCGTGTCAGCGCGCCGGCACATCAGGAGTCTCATCCCGCGACTCGGCGTGCCGAATGACAGCAGAAAGCTTCCAGAAAGCTTCAAGTATGTCCCGTTCATCTCCAAACAATAACCAGGGGGGGGGTCCTCCTAATGAGAGACACTGGGTCACACACACACACACTCTTAATAATTGCTGTTATTGACATTAGAATAGCTGCAATGTTGTGGTGTCAGAAGGTCACTCACATCATAAACACGAGAATGCACCCGGCATTGATTGCGTACTCTGGTCTACAAAGACCTCCGGTGAAGTGCATGTGAGCGAGAGGTGCTCAGAGTTGCCCCTATGGGTGCAGCTCAGACAAAGTACGTTGGAAAAGTCTTGGTCAAGCAACTGTGGAAACATAAGCAAGCGAAGGTCGAATTTATGATACCCCCAGCAGCATGCGGTTATCTCTCTCTCACACGCACACACGCCATCCTGCAGAGGACCTCGCTAATGGAAAATAATGTTTCATTTTCAAGCCCCCTCACAGTAGATTCGCTCACAGCACCACCTCAAGTGATACCGTTTACATTTACACACATTTGAATACTAACGTTGTGAGCAATGTGGATGCAGCTCGCGCGTTGAAAGTTTCACTGTAAAACAAGGAATACGGCTCGTTGTGAAAACGGGATACAGATCTGAAAAATAAGAGCTCATACGAGTCCTAGTTACGGTTAGGTGCTTATGCTAACTTATGACGAACCACACAAAATACCACCCGGTAAGTATGTCCACATGGTGATAAAGGACTTTTCAGACAAGCAAAAGGCATCAGCATAGAAATCAATAACTTAAACATACCAATTATCATAAATAATGACTGCATCGTTGAACACTTGATTCGCCAAAGCTCCGATAGCAGAATAATCAATTTAAAACAACACATCTGGAGGCAAAAAACACAGCGAAGCGCCTTCATTTTCTTAAGTCTCATGTAAAGGTGCATCTTCACACACACACACACTTGTTGACAATCCCTGGTACCTTGACTATTAACACCAGCGTGACGCCTTCAGTACGGACGGCGAGAGCGCTCGATGGCGATCTGGAATCAGTGCACTAACGACCAGGCAGTCAATCCGCAGTCGAGAGTCAGGAACAAAAACAGAGCACCTGCAGTAGCTTTCAGAAGGGTTCGTGGTCCTTAATGTTTTGGAACAGAGTGAAGACTGGATAACTGCGCGTAGGCAGACATCGCAGCCACAGCTTAATATTGCCAGTGTACGACTCGTGGCCGGTGTTGAATGCCTACCCTGTGGGTCTTTTCTTTTCTTTTTTTTTTTTAATAATAGCTTTGAAAGTTGAAGAAAAATAAATATCCGCTGCACAGCTCGGACCGCAGTGCTAAGGGCGGATGCCTCGCGTGGGGCTTCGGTCGCGTCCCTGATGGCGAATGGCGACCAAGCTGTTCAGAGGAAGTCACAGAGAGAAACGATAAGTCACGGATCTTTCGACTTGTACTTCATGGTGCCCGTTGGGTTAGGATGCCCTCACAGGCATGCGGGAAGATGATAATTTAGCCGCTCGCCTCACAGGGATAAGCGAGTCATTGGATTATTCATCTGGATTTACTGTTCTGGAAATATGGTCCAAACCCAGTTACGATGTGAGCATGTTTGAGTACTATATGCACCTGGCTATCCAGATGTGCTGCATCAGAGCATCTCTTCGGGGTTGATGTCTGCTATGGGCTGTCTCCAGTAACAGAAAGAGCTGAACTCCGGCAGGACAAAGGCCTCGTTCTGCTCTTTGCTCAACAGAGGGAACACGTGCTCCACCAGCTCACTCAGCCTGCCGTACCTGTGGGGGGAAAGACGAGGTTAGAATAGAAGGGAAAAGTACAGACGGACAGGGGGGGGGACTTTAAATATTGATAATGAGCGATTAAATGATGAGCAAGAACTGCAACAAATGAAGCAGGCAGTGACTTTTTAGGAAGGTTTTTAGTATAGTAGATTTTTGTTAACATTTGTATATTAGTGCTGAACACGGCGCTGACATATATCACGTTATTTTATGTATCTGTTAGCAAACTGCATTTAAACATCAACCAGATGCTGAAAAACATTCATATGGGGAATTATATTCCTGTTGATTCACTCTTCCTTTAGCTCCGTTTTGGTCTCCATCAAATGTAGAGGCTAGAAACAATTTGACATCAAAAAGCTCCATAAACCATCTTGCATTCATGCAGTTTCAATATAGATCTTTCTGGGGTCTGAGGTAATTTTAACTTGTCTGATATTAAATATTACAATGAGTCCTGTTGAGTGGCGAGTTTTCCGTCCCATTTTCTTGCTGTGCCGATGTTGGATCCTTTCCATTGAGGATCTCTTCAGTCTGTTTATGTACTTACGAGGACTTGTTGCCCTTGGTCTGCTCCTGGATCAGCTCCCCCTTGGGATTCACTGTGAAGATCCGACACACTGGAACTCCCACTTCCTTATAGGCAAACACATCCTGCATATGAAAAATATAAAAAATATATTAAAAAATAATATTAGTTATTAGTTAAAAAAAATAAAATTAAAATCACACTAAAATGCATATCTACTTCTTAGATAAAACTAACTTTTACATGATATGTGATATGATGCAAATGAGCAACTGGGCCTTGAAGAGTCATCTTGAAAAAATGTCATTTCGGACAGTTGCTTTGCCACATAAAAACACAGACATGCCGTAATAACATTAAGTCACAGATTTCATGTTTCTGTTCTAGCTCATGGCAATATTTGTAACTGGAAAATGTTTTGATGGCCAAGTGAAAGACTGTGTGCTTGTTCCATTTTGTTTTCTTTCCTTTGGTAGCGTTGGGAACAGACGGACCCGGTGCTGGGTGTTGGTGTTGATGCAGCTGATGATGGGATGCTGTGCCCGGCTTGAGCGCTTTTCTACAGACGATGTCACATGGGACTAAACTCCGCCAGTGACCTCAGCTTCAGCCCAGGGCTGATTTCACGTGTGTGTGTGTGTGTGTGTCTGCTAATTGATAGTCAACGTGTCTCGTTGATCTTGCAGTACATCATGTCTGCGTCGACTCTACATCGCGCTGTCAGAGAGTCTGACATCTTCAAACGGTCATTAACTCACATTAGCTCTATTCCCAAAGGCGGCGTAGAATGGCTGCTTGTTATGCTGGAACAGGTTCTTGATATCTGTAAGGCATTCAATCTTGAAGATCTCTGGTTTCTTCTCAATGACCTCCCTGAAGGAAACAGACGGTTTGATTAGAGCGACACACATTACGCAGGTCCTCACCAGATGTCACTTCTCAATGAGAGCTCACTTTGTCAAATGCTTTTCTTTCTGTGTCAGTTTACACCTGACATTGAACCCTTTCTCCACATGCATCTCAAATGCACCCACAGCTTTGTGCTAAGTGCAAACCAGGTACTTCTCGGAAGTCTAACTAGCGAATTAATAAACATGTCAATAGTCCATCAAATGGCATCGCCATGGCAGCTCTACCTGTCTGACGACACAAATGAAGAAAACTAAAGCCAAGAGAAAGTAGGGAGATACATATACTGTATATTTATAATAGCCTATGGCAAGGCTACAAACACAGATCACACCTTGAGTTAATAATTAACAAGTTTGAGTTGAGGATTTGGAGACAAACTTGAAAGAAAAATGAAAAAGAAAAATGAAGTTTTCAGACAAAAAGGATTATATTTTTAGTTGAGAAAAATATGTTAAAAGGAAGATTAAATGTACGGAACCTATTTAGCTTCATTAGATGGGAAATGGAAGCCATTGAAATGCTTAGATGCTCTTGTACCTGTGGAAGGCAGAGAAGAGGCTGCTGGGAGACAGCATGAGAGGTCCTCTGGGTAGAATGGTGCCTCCATCATTGACCCACTGCAGGTAACCTCTCGTCATGTCCGCCATGCCAATAGCGCGAGCTGAGCAGTACAGGAACTTGTAGCCGTTCCTGCCAGGGGACAGAGCGCGGTGCTCATTAACAGTTGTTCCATTGTCAACACCAGTAGCACTTAGTAAGAAAGCGACGACAGAGTTAACCACTCCAGCCACGATGACACGTCAATTCAATGAAAAGTTTACTTCTATTGTGACAGCTACTAAAGGTCACTACAGAGTTTTTATGTTGTCAGCGTGACTATAGCAAAGACAGATCCGTTTGATAATAATAAAGTCGGTCTTGATTCATTGACCTTAAAAGCACCCTACGCAAACACTGCAAGAAAATATCAACCACCCACAGAGACTACTGGGAATCCAACTCAGACAATGCTGACCACAGACAGAGTGTTGATCCGTCCTCTGCGATTAATCAGTGTTGTTGTGCACTTACTCCGCTACAGAGTGGTAGAGCTTGGCAATGCCCTGGTGGGTCCAGTCCTTCCCCAGCTGTGGCAGGATCTGACCAAATACATCAGACCTAAAATATGTAAAAGAAAAAAGGAATATTAGATATTAGACGTATCAGTATCTTCCAGGCGATTCACTGAGAAACAAAATCACAGCAGTTGTAAAGTAACAAAAATTCAGCGAAAGCAAGGAACCGTAGATCAGTGGTACAGACTTGTCGGAGAAGGTCAAATAAAAACATTCCACTTCATCATACACAGAATACTATGGACTGGGCTCTGCTAATTAGGTCCACAGGCTCATTTGGCGGGCACCGTCTCAACCACATTTTATACCTGTGTGCCTATAGACTCAAATGTAAATGAGCTCATTATAGTTCGCTCGCCACCCTGTTGCTAAAGGAAGATCACATGTCAGGCTGGCCTAAAGGGCCCCTGAGGTAATAAGCTTCAGTCAATGTGGACCCGTTTGATGTTGACCACCTATGAACCTCAGACATTTTGTCAGGCAGACACACACCAGACTTGGTTCAAAAAAGATGGAGCTAACTTCAATTTAAACTTCACAAACTGATACCGAAACATTCCGGTTTCCGTTTGTGTTCCTGAGCGGTTGTGTTTGAGCAGTATTTGGTTCAAAGCTCTCAGTGTGCAGAGTAAATAAGGTGGAACTCACCAGCCACCTTCTAATAATTTCATTGGTGAAATGACCTGCTGGCTGCACCGGAACAGAAAATACCCCTTAGACCTAGAGGCTTAAGCCGATAGGCTATGGCCGATCTAGGCTCCTAATTAAAAAGATTAACAGGCATAAAGATGGATTATGGAGTTGAAATCTGGTATTTGAGAAGGACTTGAATTAGTCCGTGTCAATGAGGTTGCAGAGTATACGGCACAAAAAGCCGTATATGAAGGAAAATTAAATTTGAAGTAAAACTAATTCATCATCTTTTAATAATCTAGTTATTGCACAACAATGGATAAAGAGGGGGGTGAGTTTTTGAAGTAAAGTTGAATGAGGTACTCATCCACAGTTGGTGGTTTACCTGCAGTTAAACCACAGAGTAGAAGCAAAGGACTGCGGAGAACGGGGGCAACACATTCACACCCTTTGATGAAAGTATTGATAACGGCGTTGCTTCCTCGTTTGCAAAAGACTTTGAAAACTACGTAAAACAGTAAACGAATACTCTAAATGGTAGTGATGTAGGCAGATGTGGCTAAAATAGGTTTCGCTGACTTCCCCGTGCACAGCAGTAGATTGATTTGCTTCAGAGAATTATTTCACAGTATGTGGGCAGTTTATAGACATGAGGGAATAAAAATAGCATTGCACCTCTGCAGACGCTGCCTTATTAACTCAACTGACTTTCTTTCTTTCTTGCAATACGGATGCTTACTGGTCACGAAACAAAGAAAAAAAATGTATCATCAGTATGAGAAACGGGCTGATTATTCAACACGTATATGCCCATACATGATATTTATACATTCATTCAGTATATCGTGAGCACACAATAAGCTGTTATAAGGAGCGGTGGAGAACTGATGAGCCCTGGATAATGTCAAGCTTTGAAATAATAGCATTGTTATTTATTGTGTCGTTCACTCCCGTCTCATTAAACCCACAGGGTTAGGAGGCGGTTGCTGTGACTTGGAGACACGTACTTGGTGATGGTGCCATCAATGTCGGAGATAATGACTCGGTCGTCCCAGTTCCACAGGTAGATTGTGCCCTCGCAGCGGCAGGTGCCCTGGTATTGGGTGGTGATGCTAAACGTCACATCGTTGGGTCCTTCTTTCAGTTTCAGACTGGCCTGGTAACACAAGGAACACTTTTAAAACATCTGGGAGGCCCGTAGGGGTATTACTTACAAATGAGCTTATACTGGTCTTTAGCGCCCCCTACAGACTGTAAATTGGGAAAACACTATAGACTTCATAGCTAGCCAGCAGAGGGAGTGCTAATCTACAGCAAAGGAAACTAAATTAAGTTATATATACACACACATCTTTGTAATGTGAGCAATCCATTCTGAAAATTAGCCATATATGATTTCAAAATTTAACCATGAAATAAAGATAATCTTAGGGAAAACACGTTAAAGAATGTGCTTACAATCTGATCAGAGGAGAGGCGGAGGGACTTCCTGTAGGCGTGTTGGCTCGGGTGGTGCTGGCCATCGACCGGCTGCAGTCTCTCCTGACAAGATGCAGCGCTCACTTCCTTGGCCTCTTCATCACTGGACGAGTCTCCCGCCTTAAGCCTGCAGGGAAACAACAAGAACCAGTGTTATTTTCTACAGCATTTAGATAAATTGCTTAAAAAAGTGTTAAAATATTATATGTTTTACATATAAAAATGAGGCTGCCAGTGAACGTTGTTCCTATCTACCTATCTGAACGAATGTTTCAGGAATCATGAACATTTATTGCATAAGTATAAGTATGTTTGACATACAAGGAATTTGGCATAGCCGTGCATTGGACAAGGACACAATGGACAACAAGACAAATAACGCAGTGCAGGAAAAGTTTATGACTGTTAAGGTTTGCTTGCATATGTTCGATACAATTGGATTATATTTGGTATAACATTTGGAGCTCATAAATTACAAACCCAGCAAAAAACACCTTTGTTTAATTCAATAAACACATTTGTTTATTGAATTCAAACCACGGACATAAAGCGATCATGCCAAGGCGCCATAAAAAAAAAAAATTATAGAGCTCTTGTAATTACAAGAGTTCAACATGTCACTGAACTCACTGACTCAGGTGAGGATCAACATTAGTGCCACTTACGGCATGGGGAGTTTCTCCTGAGTCATGGAGGGTCCTTCCTCATCCAGTTGACACTCCTCCTTGGTTTCAAGCTTGGTCTCTGACTGGAAGAGAAAAGGGGGAAATATCCCAAGACACAAAGTGAATCTAAAAGACCATACATGTGGATGTGACCGGTACAAAAGGAATAAAAGTGATAGATTTGCAGTCTTTAGTACTAATGGAAACTTTCGCACCTGCTTGATTGTACTATCTGCCCTTTTTCGCCAGAACCACCAGCGGCCCGACTTCTTTGGCATTTTCTCCTTCACCCAGGCCTCCTCTGTAGCCTAGAACAAACCGTTATCAAAGAGCTTGTTACAGGTTGCAGTGTTCCTTGTGTAATGACAACAAATGGAACTGAAAACAAACATCAGTTACCTTGGGTAAGTTCTTCTGAAATGCTTGGAGACTTAAAATCAAGGGTGCAGCGAGTGTCCAATTATAATATCTGAGAAAAGGGGTGTTGTTTAAAAGAAGGCATTCACCACAAATGTATATTTCACATGAATAAAAAAAAAAAAGTATATAGGATTACTTACCTATTTCCCATCTTTACTACGAGGTTAGGGTTATCTATAATCGCTGGATTTTCTGCAAATTCGAGATAGGTGATGATATGTTCCATGAACCTTTCTGCAAAGACAGAAGGGAGTGGAGCATTAATTAAAGTCAGCGGATGAAAGGTCAGTGGCGGTGAGCCGCATGAGCTTACTTAAAGCCACTGAGATCAGGACTACCTTTTTCTGCCATTAGCCACATCAGCAGACGGCTTTGAAAAAGAACTAACAGAAGAGTGTATGATGGGAAAGGAGGGGCTGTTATTCATGCCCATTAAGAGTGACGATTGTGGCCTCGAAGGGGCCATGTGGGCACCAGCATTGTTATAGTTATGCCGCCAATAAAGTGAGGTAACTTTGTAGTTGCAGAACAAATGCAGGTCATCTCTGCTGGCTGAGGTTAACTTTCTGTGTAGCATCAAAGTGCACTTTAGTCTACATTTTTTATGAGAGCCTATTCTAGTGTACCTTTGGATATTTCAGCATTTTCAGTGAGGCCTCCGCACAGCGAGAGAGTGACGTCGGGGAGGTCACCAGCTGAGTCAGAAAGACACTCGGTCCCGCTGTCAGCTGCTGCACTGCCCACCGACTGCGGCGACTGTGAACCGGAGTGCATCTCAGAGTCCATCCAGTGCTTCGTCGCCGCCTCAAACTCACTGCGGCAACGACAGAACAACACGTCACGATGCTTTGTCCTTCAATTTTAAAATCAAAACACGTCGGGCGGTGACACAATCAGGCGCCTCTTTCATAATCTAACCTCTTCGGAAAATATCTGGCGGCGACATCAGGCTCGAGTACATTCAGGTCATCCAGGTAGATGTCCTCAGGACCCTGATGCTGGCTCCGCTTTGGGACACCTGCGTCCAACAACAGAAGTATTTATACGTTAATTCCCACGGCTAACCAGGAGACGAGTGAAAAAAGGGGCCACCAAACCACACCTTTCTTCTTGGAGGGTGAATCGCACGGTTGGCCGCCGGACGGGGTGGAGGTTGCCACATTTGGTGGCAGCACATCCAGGGACTCTGTGGACGTCAGAGGACTCCCTGAGGCTATGGCACCGACCGAAGGGAGCGGCATCAGTGCAGTTACAGGGGCCACAGGGGTGCGTGGCTCAGGCTTGACAATGGTACTAAATGAGGAGGCGGCGCCACTTCCCCTTTCCAGCTCAGTCTCGTTCTCCATGGCCTCGGAGCTGAGGATTACGCGGAAGTGTGTGCTCTCCGACGGGGTGATGGTCACGGTCTTTAGAAGCTCTGGTCTGTCTTTTTTGGTGATCTGGATTTTGGATAACAAGTAGAAAAAGTTACCAAGAGGAGAATAGAGTGAGACCTATCTGCATTGCAAGCTTATTGGAGAGGGGGGGCTTACCCTGGTTGTTTCTGGAAACTCCCCCCAGGTCCACTGCATGTGGGACTCCGCTCGGAGCAAACTCTCTGAGGGCCTGACCATCAGCTCAGAGTCACTCTTTGGGGAAAAGGCCTGAGACAAGCCGTGACTAAAGGGAGAGTACAACAAATAATCCAAACAATCGATGAGATATTCTGTTTACGCGTCTCCGTCACATCCTTGCTGATGGCTCCGCCTTCTTATCGACACATACCTGTCATTTGACGGCCAGTCCCCATCGGACATCGGATACCCATCAGGGTTGTGTCTTGCTGCGGGTAATTTGGGGTCAATATCTCGCATTGTTGTGATGGACGGCGACCTAATTACAGAGCGAAACATGCCGTTAATGATTAACAAATGTTTACTAAAGCTGATCTCTGCTACAACAGCGAGCATTGACCCTGAACCTACCTGGACACATGTGCTGCAGCTTCCTCATCAGAGCTCATGTCCATCTCAAAGATTTCTTCGTTTTGCCCTGAGCTGGACATAGCAGCAGTCGTAGCAGCAGTCGTAGCAGCAGGTGCGTTAGCAGCAATAGCGTTCCCAGTGGTGACAGACATTGGCGGGGTCAGCTCCTCCCTCCGGGGGTCCCCTTTGTGCTTCCTCCTCCGTTTCTTCTTCTTTTTAGTGCCCGCGGTGCTCGGAGCAGGAGGCTCCGGCGGGTCCTCTTGGTCAGCGGGGTCATCCCCCAGATCTTTCAGTGCCCGGTGCTCAACTTCTGACATCCAGAACAGGTGACTCTCGGTGGGGATTGGGGAGGTGGCCAGGTGGGCAGGGACAATCTGCTGAGGCATCAATGAGGATCAATGGAAGTCGGTTTGTTAGCCTATGACTGAATTCCACTAGAACAGGAACTACTTTTTCCCTATTCCAAAAGTATCAAACAGTAGTTTGGCTTCTCCATCGAATGGCGCTGAATAATGTTGGCAATGTTGACGGGTAGACACAAACACTAAACAAGGTTGTGACTTCCAATGTAAAATTAGGTTAGTCTTATTAACCGCACTAGATTTTTTTTCAATTTAACTATTAAAAAAATAAAAATAGCAGGCTGGTTAGATTGGTACTTACATTCAGCTGCTCCGCCTCCTGGACGAAAAAGGCCTCTCCATTGTCACCGAGCTTCATGTGCAGCTCTACCGGCTCTCCATTTACTTCAATGTCGATCTGTAAGAGATTGACAAGATAAAAGCAATGCAATTATGTTTTATTAGAAAATCCAAATCATAAAGCGGACACTGAAAATGGTGTTGTCCTTTCCTTCCTTGTTACTTTCAAAGACAACACTTCGGGCCCCATTTTAGCTACTTCGAGATCTTTCTCCCAGAGCTTTACAAAGCTGAGCCCGATGGGTCCTCTGGGATTGCAATCAGTCAACCCTGCCAATACAGCAGGCACATTTATGTTGGCCGGGCATGTGAACCCCCAGTGAATCCATTACCATTCAGAAACACAACCAGGAAAAGAAAACGCCAGATCACATCGGGCAGAGACCACAGAGAATTCAGAATCTGACTCAAGTGCTCAGCTCACTCTGACAACCTGAAACCAAATCATCAATATTAATTCTCACCAAACTGACAGACATCTTCCATTTCAAGCCACACACACACACACACACACACGCACGCGCACACTTTGGAATAGTAGCTTTTTCTTTTTTTAAATTTGCACCCAACAGTGTTGCGAAGGGGAATTAATGCATGTATGGAGAGTGATGGCTGGGAATTTCAATGGCCTATTCATAATGAGCCAGAATAAATGAGATTTCTCTCCAACCTGTCACAGCCGGTGGGGACAGGTTACATTCACTGAGCTTCAAGGCTGAGTTGTGGATTTACAATCCGCAGGCTGGATTACTGGAGGCAATGGCTGCCGTCAGACGTTCAAAAGGCATAGAATTGGGTTTTGGGGAACTTTTGAGTTCACTTCTAACCAGAAGAACGGAGGAAAATAACAACTTTTGCATAACTGACTTATTTTCCCATTATTCCAAATGTTTTAAGAATCAAACAGTGCTTCAAAATATATTAAATAATTAGTGTTTGGCTAGGAAACTAAAATGTCATTACAAAGAACCATGACTAATCATGAACACTTTATGTATAAAAATAAGGATGATCATTTTCTTTCAGAAGCAGCCATAAGTATCTGATAAGGGCTCTCCCGGACACATACATAACGGTTACATAACACCCCTCATGTGGAGGCCTTCTGCACGTTTCCGCCCTCTCCCACACATTCAAGTTGTAGAGCTGTTGCCATAGGAACCATTCAGTTCTCCCTGCAAGCCCATGAGCATTCTGGGTAGGTGGTGAGACAGCGTCAATGGCCCGCAAATCATCACCCACTCTGATCCTCAGGTAAGTAACTAAGCAATGAGTAATTAGTCAGAGACCGCCATTAGCAAGTCAGAGGGAAGGTTCAACCTTTGATAGTGGTTCAATTAAAATGTATTATATTTTATCCGCAACTAAGCACTTGGATATACAGCTCTAGATTTACTTGTAACATCAAAACAGGCTTTATAACTTACTCTCCCAACACAACTAGGCGAACACAAAAGTGGCACAAAAATGACACCTTTTCAGTTGAGTACTGGAATCAATTGAATCTGTGTTCCAAGCTGAGAACACATGTAATCAGGTCAAAAGGGAGAAAATCACAGAACATCCCATGCGTGTTCTACAAGCGGAACCCACATTTCCCAGAATGAACGACCCATTTCTGCAGAGGCCCGTGGTCGTGTGAATGGGTAAGCTGGCCCTGTAAATGAGGCACTCTATATTCAGTAAAACCCCTTTTCATTCAAATGTTATACAGATTATGAATCAGAACTTACATTAAGTCTGCTTTGCTCTAGGAAAAATGTTATGGGCCCAGAATACTAATAACAGCTGATATTAACTCAACGTCATCTTGAATAGTGTGTATAAATACAGCATAATCAAAGTGTTCTTCAAAAGGGAAACAAAACCATCTCTACTTGACGTGTCTTGATATAAGAGCAATTTAATAAATGACATGACTTCAAACAGTCAGTGAGAAACACCAAACACGTTTCCGAAAACTTACCACTTTCTCTTTGGAGCGAAGCACTCCCAGCTTACCGAAGCGCACGTGGAACGGCGAGCACTGGTAGGTGCCGTCTCTCTGGCGAACCACCACAACATCAATGCAGCCCGACAGAGTGGCCTGATTGATGCCCTTGTACAGCTCTTTGACGGTTACCAGCACCTGGCCTGCCAGCTGGCCCACGTAGTTCATGGTGTTGGCCTGGACGAAGAGGGGGGGGAACACAACGTTAGCGGAGTTGAGGGGGGGGGGGGGGGGTATACAGGTTGAAGAAGTACCGTTCAGCCGAACTAAAGAGGAAGAGAGTTTGGGTTCATGCAAGCGGTGCAATGGAACGGTCCTCCACTTGACTCAGCACGTACTCAGTCCATCCAGTGGCGTCTCTTCTTTTTAAGTATGTTCTCGTGGGAACAGTCGGGACAGTTCCCAGTTCCCTCTCTGCCGGCTCTGTTATCTCCTGACTCGTGTACAGACTGCCGGAGTGCAACTGTCACCCTGTCTCGCTGTCCCACACAAACTGTTGTTCGAGTGGGACAGCGAGACAGGGAGTGGGTGGGGGGAGGAGGTTCTGAAAGCTGGGCTGAAACAATGAAGAGACCTCACACAGAGAGTTCCCGCTGCCCTTTTGCAATGGAAGCAACGGACTTCCTGCTTTCAAATACAGAACTAAAAGACCAAGTCCCACGGCTATAATTAGATGGACTGGGATTGACCCTAATATTCACTCAAAGCGTCTGTTGTTGCGCGGGGGAAGCAGTTTCTAAGATTGGACTGAGGATTGGTTGTCAAAAAGTACACAATCTACTAAATCAACGAAAAAAAAAAAAAAAGAAATCCACACGAGCCTCGGTTAATCACACAAACTCTGCGGCCTTCCCCCCCCACCTCGATACTGAACAGTTTATTTGCAGTCATTTCAGTGCACTGCGTACAGCACAGCGTGTGGGACCATTCGCCTAGCAAACATGATCTGGGTTTGTTCAGGTCAGGGTCTAGTGCAGCGCCGCTCGAGAACATGTTGACTTCATCGGCTTTATGCAACATGAAATGTTGCCGCGTTCTGCTGACCTTTTGTCCTCAGTCTGGCTGTAGGGGGAGACGCAGGGTAGAGAATAGGGGCATTTGTGAAAGGGTGCAGTTACGGAATTTGGAAAAATAATGTTTAACCACAGTAATTTAATGAATGGATAGAAATAAAATGACTGAGAATTTCCTCCATGTTTTAACAACAAAAAGATAATGTAATTTAAATCAAAGTTATAAACCTGTTGTATAGGAAAAGTACCTTAAATGACTTGTGATCTGGCACTGCGCCACCCTAATGTAATTGTAGGTTAAACACTAAATAGCAATCACATCCCTGAAACAAAGGCAGTGTTTTTACACAAAGTCAAACGTCACAGTGGTCCAAAGCGTTGTTCTAGATGGCACACCAAAAGTTACTCAAAAAGGCATCGACCAAGTAGATGGCGCTATAATAATAATACATAGATAAAGCCTTTAATCTGAGAGCGACCAGAGAACTCCAACATGGTCAACATAATTTCCATGTGCCACTATTAATATTCACATGTTTTTGTTCCGTTTGATATGCTTTCACTTTTATTTTGACAGCACAGAAAGTCCCATTGTAGGTGCAGCAAGAGCACGGCTTCTGTCCTCGTGGCCAGAACTCCACAAAAAGGCTCCAAATACCCATCAAAAGTTTATATAACGGAATATTCTACATCGAAAACAGGCGCTGTCCAGAAAGGCGCCACTTAACTCAGTTATCTAGAACAAAGTCACTTAGACGAACGTGCTCACCTGCTGCTACCGATTGTCTTTTCCTTCTTTCAGTAGCAACTCAGAAGTCAAAGCACACAACACTTTTGTAAGTAGGACCACAAACTACACTGGACAGGTTTGGTATTAACATAAGAAATGACTAGCTGATTAAATAAAAAATAAAAAAACACTTCATCACTTTCCCGCCCAACTTCATAACTCAGAAACAAACAGCTATGAATGGAGTCCTGAAACAATTCCTGTGGTATCAAACCACTAGGCTTGGTCACCATAATAAGGCAATAAATCCAGGCAACCTGCCAAAGCAAACCCCACCGTACCGGATGTCTAACAGCATAGAAGGCCCTGGAGCATCAGGCGAAGGCTGTCAGCGCCGACTCACCAGGGACCAAGACAACTTCAGGGAGGACGACTCATCCTGTTCGCTGTGGTCTGTATTGTCGTCTGTGTTGCTTACCAGGAGCTCCACGTCCCCCCAGGATCTCTGTCTCTTCATCACAGCCGGTACGGCCGCCGGGCTCCTGCTTAGACCACCTCAGGAAACTCCATTACCAAAAACGCTTTCCTCCCTCAGCTTACGATGATAGAGCCTTCCTGCCATACTGAATCTGATCTCAGACGAATCCCACCTGATCACGCTGCAGCAACCCTCACAAGGGTAAATACCGGCACACCGCTATCTTGCGCGATTGCGCAACGCTTGTCGTAAACTTATTAATCCTTCATATGGGCCATTCCTTACAAGACCTGCTCGATCCAGTCAGGTGACAGGACACAGCGGCTCCAGCCAATGGGAAGGCCTCTTTAAGGCGGCGGAGTTACGCCGATAAGGGAGCGTGAATTCCTGTAAACGGCGACTCAATGTTTTTCCCTGATAAGAGTGCAAGCTCAGGAGGGGGGACAGTAGGGGAGACAGGAGGGGGGACACGAGGGGGGGGGGGGCAAGCAGAACTCTGCAGTGTGACAGTCTTGCAAAGTCAGTCACATGTACGGTGCGATCGTTGCCCCGTGTGCCTGTTATAGTGCGTGACTAATCAAACGGCAGATTGGCTGCAGGAGTCAGCTTTGTTGAACTTTTTGACAGCCGCCCGGACACGTGATCGCAAAAAGGCAACAAGTGAAAGGTCTGGAAAAACCAAAAGGGATAATCTCTATGGGGAATAGTCTCCATTATTCATTACATATAGATTGAGTAGACTGGTGGCACTGTAGTCCGTGCAACGACAAAACAAAACATGCTTTTTTTTTTCCCCTCTCAACGGGAGGTTGCCGCTGGTCCGTCTTCCAGCATTCGCCGGCCTGGTTTATCTTCTAAATTAATGCCGCGGTGAAAATGCGTCCAAAAGGGCCTCACCCCCACTGTGCCATATGATTAGCCTTTGGTCAACAGTAACAAAACACACAGGCCTAGTGGGTGAAAGGCTGCTGGTTCATCCACCCGCTGTGCCAGGATCAGCTTTGTTTAAATATTTGAGAAGAGCCATGAGAAATAACACAAATTATTTCCTCTTAGAGAGCCCTTGCCTTCATTAAAATGCTTGCTGTGCATGTAGATATTAAGAATTGCATCGTGGTGCTAGTGTATTTCACAATATACATTTGTTCAAGTGCACATTTGCTTAAAACGGAAGAACGTGTCTTGAGCGGAAAAACCAGCACAAGGTTCACTTACACCGAACTGACCCTAAAATGAGCCTACTTGCTATGTGTGGAACACAAGCCTCAAGTAACAGCCACCAGACAGAGCCGGCTTTTGTATTTACACATTGTGCGGTCGGAAAGAAGAAGCCAAAAGCGCTGCATGGTTCTTGTTTTCCTTCAGTGGATTCTAGAAGCTGCTAGAGCTGCAGTATTTGTAGAAACAGAGGAGGCAAATGCTGATAATTCAGGTTTGGGGTTATGGAAGGTCATCCTGGACCAGAAGGGAGTGACAGACTACAGTATCAGTGTGGGACAAGCTCGCATTACATGGTGAATTACATTAAATGGCTGGGAAAGATATTTACCTTGACCTCCTTAAAAAAAAAAACTGGTTTTAGTTTGCCAATTGTCTTGTGTTGTGTGCAGCACCGGACAGGCAGGTGTTTTTGGCAGCCGGGCCTCACGAGTCAGCGACACTTTAACCGAACGAGAACTAAACAAAACAACGCGCAAGCTAGCAGCGTTTCGCAGTGTTTTTCTGCGGCTAAAACCAACGCTCGTTTTGGGGGATTAACGCTGCCATGTCGCTCGGCTGAAACGCCACCGGCAACGTTACACGAGCGTCGTTACGCTAAGCGGACGGAAAGCAAAAAGACGAGGCTGTTAAATGTCGTAATGGTGGCGGTAACAAACAGCGGGGTAGGAACTGTCGACAGCGGCGGGGGGGGCGATGAATGGAGCTCGGCTCGGCTTAGCCGTTCGCCTCCACCCGCGGCTAGCTTTAGCGGTGACGTTACCGCGGGGTTCCCGTTAACGGCAAACGGTAACAGGCGCGAGCCGCTGCTAACGGCCGCCCCCCCCCCGTTTTGTAACATTAATGGGGGGGGGGGGAAAGCTCCCGTGACCCCGCGAACGCGACGAGTGTGAATTCATGTCCAAGCTAAATCCCCGGGTTGAATCAACTTAAACCTGCCGTGGCTACAGGGATGTTAAATGTTAGCCCCCTCCCGGCTAGCTAACGTTAGCTGACGGTAACGTTACCGTGAGAAAACCATCCGACCCCCTCCTCTCACCTTCTCGGTCGCTCCAGCGGGATCCGGGCCGACGAAGGGACGTCGTCTTCAGCGAGTCCACATGTCGGTGACCGTGGAACTCCTCGGAAGTCTCCTGACGTGTGCGCGCCGCGCCGTGCCGTGCCCCGGGACCACCGCGAACGGACTGGTTTGAAACCAGCAAGGGGAGAGCTGAGGTCGATGGGACGCGGAGAGCCGCACGGTTGGCGGCGCGCTGACTGATAAACACACACACAAACACACACACACACACACACAGCTGCTGTGACTCGTCTATCCGGGGTCAAATTAACGCCGCACCGCGCCGTTGCCGTTGTGGAACCTCGCGCTCCATCGTTTTCTGAGTAACACGTTGCCCCCGGTTGGAGCGGTTGCGGCCCGGTCGCGAGGACGTCTATTGACAGGTGTCACACGAGCGGGGTGACACGTTGCGGGTTGAGAGGTGACCTCAGAGAAACGCCTGACGCGACTCTCGCCCCCTTGCAGAGCACGCGACCCCCCTCCGTGCAGCCGTGATGAAGAATGGCACGAGAGGCCACGCTGCGTCCAGCTGTTCTCTAATTCTCGCCATTATTAAGCCCCCTAACTCCCGGGCTTGCTGCAAATTGAATTATCTTAACTCTAATGAGGGCATTTTTCTCAATAAATGAACTTCTATTATGGGAAACGACAAAGGCAGAGGTCTCTAAAGCACGCGTGCACCTTCATTACAAGGCCCTGAAGGGAAAAGACTGCTATGTTAACTTATTAACAAAACAGCCCCACCGTGGTGCACAGCTTTTTACCTGGAAGTTGCTATTGTATTCAACTTCAAGTACAACATTCCCACCTGAAAACATTTCAATTCCCACGCTTCCAAATTGTGTTGAAAGGCATGCAAACAAATGCCCGTCCAACATGAAGAGGCTGTGTCCGAACCGCTTATAAACACAGTTCCTATATAGACGCTTGCAAAAAAAAGTGGACGCACATGCTTAAGTAATATTTAAATAATAATTCCGGTTTAAGTGGACACAAAGAGTCAGTGAAGCATGTGACATATCCACTGACATGCTTTTTCCAATCGCTCAAAATACAAAGCAAATAGCTGGTAAGAAGTTCATGACATCATTTTTCTCTTTATTTTTTTTACATTGCATAACTTGACTCGATTCCAGGGGTCAAAGGTTTTCCAAATCTAATAGTAACTGCAATAGTTTAACGTAACAGTTTGGTTTTGCTGGCCTTCGTCGCTAAAACAAAGATGAATGACTCAACATTACATTTACTGCTGAACTTGGTCAGGACTGACAGAAGAGAAGTCAAGCATCTACTAGGCAATCTGTTACCTTTCTCTCTAGCACATTCATAGGTTTTATTCCACAACAAGCAATGCCCAAAGCTCTTTTGCCCAGCACATGAAAGAGGCTTGAGGAAGCAGTTGTATTAATCATTTATTTAAACTGCTCAGTGCACCGGCATGTGTCGGGGTAAAAATGCTTTGGAGATCGCCCAGTCGTTCATCTCTTCTGCTTTGCACTCTCTCTCTTTCTCTCTCTCTCTCTCTCTCTTTTTAGCCTTTCTTCCCCTCCTTGTTCTCTTCGTCGTCCGGGTTGTAGACGCTGACGGTGAACTCGCCGGCCTCCGTGCCGTACTTGTTTTTGACCAGCAGGGCGTATTTGCCAGAGTCAGCCGTGGTGACGGCGGCGATCGTGATGCTGGCGAACTTGCCGTGCTCGAACTTGAGCTGGTAGCGCTCGTCGCACACCAGCTCCCTGTCGTTCTTCGTCCAGCTGACCTCAGGTGCCGGCTCGCCCCAGACGTTGCCGGTCAGGTTCAGCGACTAAAGGGAAAAAGGAGGAGGGAGTTTAAAAAAAAAAGGTGTGTCCCACACATGGGGATTCCACAGAGCTAATGGAAAAAGAAAGAGAAATGTGAGACAGGACGCTGAATAGCTAGTTTCTTTACCTTGCCCTCTTGGATCGCAACCACATCTGGCAGGCCTCCAACAACACGAGCACGATCTAAACACGGAAAACACAAGAGCGAAACAAAAGATGCAAACGTCAACCATCAGTCAACCTGTGGAGCGTTTGCCCGTTGACAACATAATACCCACAGACACTGACTCAACCGGCAGGGGAACATTCTTCGTGAAACGTACTCAAGTACTTTAACTCCAATCCATGTATCATCGATATTTTTGAAACACGTTTGGGCTGAGATGTGTATTGCGTTAAATCTCTCCTTGAATGAGATCCAAAGAAATGTTACATCATGTCTCATTGGAGAAACTCTGAAAAAAGAACCACTTACTTCTCTCTGCGATTGCTGCCGCCCTGCAGAAGGAAGGAAGGAAGGAGACAGACATTCAGAAGCATCCTTAAGTTATATCAGTGGGCCAAAAGCTTGTAAACATGTTTTATTCTGAACGCCATTCAATATTATAAAAGCTCACAAGGTACATGGAGTCTATTTTAAGTTTGTGATGACGGTCAGTATTTATTTGTGTAAACATCCTCTTCAAACAGAATTACACAACAGGAGGACTGAATCACATGAGTTTATTTACTTACTTGAGCCTTTGGAATTCTTCAAATGCCTCTTCCCAAGCTGCAGCAGGATGAAATGCAACAGCATGTTATTATTAATAGTTACATACAAAATAGCAAAAAAAGTACACAGGACTTTTTTTTAGCACAACAACGAGCAGCTCCTTCGTTTGACTTTAAAAGTTTCGCTTACCCTTGCCAGTCAGATCAAAGACTCTCTTTACACCGTCCTTGCCATCGAAGATGTCCATGGTGTATTTGCCTTTGTCCTTCTCAGTGGGCTCATTGATCTTAAGCCAAAGCTGCTCTCCTGTGACTCCAGACTTTACTCTCTCTGAGGCTGCAATCTTCGCATCTCTAATGGAGAAATGGGTGACACACGCAGAGATCGATAAAGGCTGGTCCGCTAGCACCAAGTATCGAGTACACATGAAACCCAGGAATCAGACGGGAGAGCAGCAATCGCAGTCCTTGTATTGTATTCCATCAAAAATATACGCTGAGACAATTATAGTCCAAATAGTGCAATTTAACAAATTTCTTATAGTGCAATATTAGTCACCAGAAAAGAATTAACCAAAACCAAACCAAAAACCCAAACCAAGCGTTAAATTGGTTGAAAACTACCAACCAATTTTAGAGAGAGTTTACTAAAGATAGAATAAGATGTAAGATATGTTAGGGAAGGAGGTTTTTACATACTTGTGGAGCCACCCGACGCGCAGTTCCTCATTGTAATACGTGATCATGGAGTAGAGGATGATGCCATGTTCAGTACTGATCACTTTGATATCACAGGAGGAGTTGGCTGGAGGGGAAATAATACAAGTCATGTGTTATATAATTCACTATTTATAAGGTTCTCATCGATAAATGCAGCAGGAGCACAGTGTGAATGTGCACATTTTGCTGGTGTTTTCTAGTGCGTGGTGCTTCGTTGCTGCTTGGAGTGTGACGTTCAATGACTCACCGATAACCCTGAACAGCTCGTTCATTACGGCTTGGTATCCTGGGGATTCAAAATAAGATGACAACAGCAATTAATCACCTTTCTTTGTGCAAGACTAACACCACCCCTTTTCCACTCCCGAAAGCGACTCTACCTGCGTCCGTCAAATTGAAGGTGCTCTTGTCTTTGCCTCTGTCGTCCCTCAGCAGGACCTGGTAAGTGCCTGCATCCGCCTTGGAGATCTAGAGTTTGAGGTGAAAGCAATTTTAGTATACTTGACGTGGCCGCAAATATCCAAAGAGGAGGGAAATACAACGTAATTCAGGGAACAGATAACAGACGGTAAAACAGCCAGACAGAGAAGAAGTAGTCAGAAAAGGCAAGCTTTTCTACTGCCCAGGATGCTGTAGGCATTGAAGGGGGAACATGGAAAAGGTGAGACGTGAAGGACACACATATATAATCATAGAACTTATGGCTGCAGAGATTATGTCCAGACTTTGGGTCTTGGCGGCGGGGGAACGTCCTCTGCAGATGGCTTTTTTCCTTCTTTTCCTTTCGGTTTCTCCTGCTTAATTACCCACTGTGGATTAGACGGATGAGCCAGTTAATGCATCTGCGAGTGACAGGAGTGGTGATGGACAGGCCACCTCTCCTGAGCTCATGCAATGACACCAACCCTCTCCTCATGAGTGATGTTTTGTATGGTTTCAATGTACAGGTACCTTGACACACCAATAAAACTGCATTGGCCCTGAAACTGACTGACAGCCCAGGAAGAAAAATAAAAAAAGAATAACAGCTTTCCAGTTTTGAAATGTTTGCGCAAAATTGTCCAGAGGAGTTGGATGGAATAGAGTGTTAGAAATGAAAGGTTTATGACTCAATCACATAGATAAACCATATACTGTATGTACACTAATGCATAAATGTTCAAATGCATGAACTATGAGTCTATGATATCAAAATTAAAGGTAAACGAGTCAGTTGCATCCAATACGTCGACTCTAACTCCCAGGTGCGACATGCTGACTCCAGCAGCACTCGGGAACGTGAATGTTTTTTGAATTGTTGAATCGTTTTTGATACTGCGTGTCAGAGAGGGATGGTTGGCAGCGTAGCATCTAGTCTAGGTCTACGATGGAAGCACAGCTGCATGAGGAAAGCAACGCTTTCAGCTCTTTACTCATGAAGCTCAAGGCTCATCACAATGCAAAGCCTCTGTCTGCTGGGCTGACCTTTCCGATATTAAAGGTCAGATCGCCGTCCTTTCTCTCGATTTTCTGAGCGTCCTCATCATCCTCTGCGATCTCGATGTTGTCCTTAGACCAGGTGATCTCAGTCTCTGCTCTGACATTTCCTATCTGTGGAGGCAAAGTAGAGCGATTGGATTGAGCTACGTCGCCTAGAATGCAGCCATTTGTGATGCTCCTTTAATGGTACAACTATTTGAAACCACTTTTCTTACCTTGCACTTCAACAGCACATTACATTCTGGAGTAACGGTGAAGTCAAGGTACTCGACAAAGTGAGGACCTGCAGATGGTCAAATGAAAATAATTACAAAACATCCTTGTGCAATTAGTGTTTAACTTGTATAAAAGAAAAGTTTGATTTTTTTACCTTGTTTCCTGACCCATTCTGCCCTCTCAAATTCAGACTTCTTCTGAAGCTCCCTGAACTCTGTGTAGCAAGAAAATCATGCATGACAGTAAAGAAAGGTGGTCTTCTGCTGCCCCTCAAAGGACAGATACTTTAACTGCAGCAAATATACCACAAGCAAGTAGAGGAAGACTTTGAGCTTGTAGCCTTCAAATGTAATCAGTTGTTTGGGGTGTCATTCTGCGTAGCCACACTTAAAACTGACATCGTGGAAAATATTTAATCGTCCACATGGAAGTCAAAAACTGCATTGGAGGACTCACCATCTCCAATGAGCACCAGGCTGGTTGCACCCTTAGCCTTGCCATCCACCAGGTCAAAGGTGAATGTTCCCTCATCGCTGACCTCCAGAGAGTCCATGAACATTTCGATGATGCCGGTGGACTTGTCGAAGTTCACTGTGTATTTCTGTGAGCAGAGACACATAGAGAAATGCAGACGGATCAGTTTGTGGTTGACGATTTTCCAACTAGTGGACCCACGGGAAGACATCGAAGCAGCCATGACTCCCACCTCTTCCTCGGTAATGATGACATCGTTAAAGACATAATCCACTTGGCAGGCCGAAGTGCACTTCTCCACCTGAGTCCAGAAACGAACGCGACCCTTCTCCAGCAGCTCAATGGCCATTTCATTCTTGAAGGGAATAACTGATAGAAAACACATCTTTGAATGATCAAAAATGAGCACAGGACTGGTAAATAAAATCACAGTGATGCTTATTCCATTCCTCAACTACACATAAAAACACTGCACAAGATAATCAAATCAAATGTTATGAGCCTTCTGTGTGACTTGATGGGATATTCACCAGGGAACTTGTGGTCATGGCTGATGTCCAGAAGACGCTTGAGATCTGTCAACAACAACAACAACAGGAACCAAATGGATGAATGCCGAAACCAGTCAGCACTACAACTTTGACAGAAACTCACTGGAAAAGTTGAGGCAACTTTCCAGACAAACACACGTCACATATATTCAACATCGGTGTAACAGAGGTCAATTTGATGCAGCTGCTGAAACAGCAAAACAGAGACAGTCCTTCAAGCCCTCCGTACACGTTTAGCAGTTAGCAAAGAGTGAACTCCACAGGAGCAGAGATGCCAACGGTGTGCGCTGACTCACCCTCCTCAGTGAGTGTGTAGCTGGAGGAGAAGCCGTCAGTGTTGGTGACCACACAGGAGAAGGTGCCCAGATCCTCCAGTGAGGGACTGTTGAAGATAGCTCTGGACCTGGAGATGAGGACGAGCGGCGACGACGCGGTGTGAGAAGAAACGTTGCCTTCGCACACAAGAGTGTTTGTTCACCTAAAGGATGCTCACCTTCCCCGTTCAGTGACGAGCGTCAGGCGAGAGGTGTCTGTCACGGTCTGGTAATTCTTGGACCAAACAAACTCAGAGCCCTCCTTCATCTCAGCGCACTCAAAGATCATCGAGATGACGCCATCATCGTCAACGTCCACGTGAATCTCATTGGTGCCTGAGGAACGGAGAGCAAATGAGTGTGTGTGTGCATCATTGGCATTACAGATGTGTGGTCTTGAACTCACAACTGCAGGAAAACAATACAATCTTAGACATAATAGTCGGCTTGGAGCTTAACAAAAAGTGAATTCATCTATTAGCGTTGAGAAATAGACCTTTTCTTTTCTCAGAGAGTGGCGTAGGAACATATGGAAAGAAATTATGACTTAAGAAAGTCAAAACTATGAGATGGAAAGTTGAAATTATGACTTAAGAAAGTTATGAGACCAGATAAGGTCGCTGGATTTGGAAAGTCAATCTGCCAAACAAGGAAGGAGCCTGTGCATGCGCATATCTTAAGTCATCATTTTGACTTTCTAACTCTTCTTTTGGCTGGAACACCATGCGGCTGAATGCGTGGGTGACATAACAATCACACTCACCGGGGCGAGTCTGGGCCAGGATCGGACCCAAGACTGCTGATGGCTTTCCGACTCCAGCCAGGTTTTGAGCACGCACGCGGAAGTCGTAGGACGCACCCGGCTTCAGCCCCGTCACCTAAACCGGCACGACAGGAGTCGAGGGGATGGACGGTTAAAAGAACGCCGTCCTCATGGTTTCTAACTCGTCCAAACCCACGCACGTCGTTCAGAGGGCAAATAACTGCATTTCAGGAAGATCCAATAAAACAATCCATTTGTCATCCTCACCTTCATGTATTTAGTCTTGTTGGCCTTTTCGTGAGCAGCCTTCCAGCCTTTCTCTCCCGCAGAGGCTTCCTTGATGTCCAGGTAGTAGCCGTTGACAGGTGTGCGGCCATCGAAGGCGGGTCGCTCCCACAGGACCACGGCGGAGGTGTCCCGGACCTCCAGCACGTGAAGACCAACAGGAGGACCTTGGAGCATAAAAAGAGATGATGTTGTATGATGACTGTATTTTTATAATTCAAATGTATTTATTGGAATGGCCTACAGGTCACATTATTTTTCAAAGGATATTATAAGCTTTGGCATTGCACAATAAATAGGCAATCGCTGTCACTGACATGCATTGGGTCCAGTACAGTACCTGCCTCTGTTTATTTGGGCCAGCTCGCTTTTAATCCAGTTTTACTAAAACTAACAATCTTTGTCAATATTAATTCTCAGACAATTCTTTTCTTGATTGAAATCAACAATCACATCCTAACAATTGAAAAGCTAGAGACAGAAATCTTTGGCCTCTTTACCTAAAAATAGCTTGAAAGATCAATTGATCATCAACAGTTCCCAATTGACCTGCTGTCAATCTGCTGAATGAATAATTATATAATGTTTTACTCTCTTATCTGTACTGACCCACGTTTTCGTGGACGTATTGTCTGTCGTACCTGCCACAGTGATGGTCCACTCCTTGCACTCCAGAGCTGAGGTGGGCAGAGAGGCTTCACTCACACCTGCCATGTTCATAGCGCGCACCTGGAACTGGTAGAAGACGTTCTCCTTCAAGTTCTCAGCCTAAAAGATAAGGAGAAATAATTAAAATACCTGTTTTTTTGATTGCAAACAAAAAACGAATGATAAGTAGATCAAATCATTTGGAGTTAATGGAACAAAAAGGTTCCAATTATGTTTCCTTCTTTCATTGAAAAGCCACAACTATGTAATTGTATCCACGGGTGTTAATAAGCTAACTTACTTTATAAGAGGTGGTAGTCAATGCCTTGAGGTTCATTTCATGCCATTTTCCAACAACGTGCCCCTTCACAGTCCTGTAGTCCACAAAGTATCCTCGGACATCCGCTCCTCCCTTGCTAGCGGGTTCAGTCCAGGTCAGCATCATGGTGTCCTTCACGGCCTCCAGCACGGTCACACCGGTGGCCCTTCCAGGGACGGCTGCGAAGAAAGTTTGTATTCATTACAAATGAAAAAGTGATGAGGTGTGTTAATGCAGATCATTTTCAGCCATTCATGAAAAATAAAAATCCTACGTGATCGCATACAGACGGCCTGGCATTACCCAAATATTGAATAGGTCTTAGTTTGTCATTAGTGTACGGTTGGGCATGCAACATGCTCTTGACACACAAGATGAAGTACTTACACTCGCGCCAGAAGCAGGATAACTTTCACGCTACGAAACTCTCCGAAAGCCAGACGAGTCTCTCATTAGGCTCATGCTCTTTAAGGACACAAGGATTTAGTTCACCTTGGCAAAACGTGAAACAGAACTCAAGCGAAAAACAAATCCAAACACAAATCAATACCTGTATACAGCAAAAGCATTGTAAAGCATTAACTATTTCAAAAAATATTTCAAAATTATTAAACTTATTTCTAATACATTAAGGAATGAGAAACAGCAAACTCAAGTTGTTAGTGGTGAGTATGTGAAGCAGGCTCATGAAAATATACACATAATATATATGCAATCGATGTACAGGAAACAAAGATATTTTAGAAGCTGATCAATCAGAAGAGAATCTTAAATAATAGCTGTAAAGTAATAAGAATAATAAGAATAACGGTTAAAGAAACAAGTGGTGAAAATGATTTCATGAACAAAAATGAGTTGAGAAGGTCTCAGCAGGGAGCTGCAGGTTGTGCGTGAGTGCGTCGAGGTAAATACGTGTCCACAATCTGAGCGATCACTCCCCGGACAGATAAATGTTTAAAAATAGCTGGGAGGAAGCAGCAGACGGAGGGAGTACAGCTCGGCTGCTACAGGCAAAGTGAATAATGGAGACGAGTCGAGAGGAAACTCACAGATGGCGGCTTTCACAACCACGGCCTCGGAACTGGAGGAGCTCTGGCTGTATCCAGCAGCGTTGACGGCTTTGACCCGAAACATGCAGTTTGACCCCGTAGTCAGGCCGTGGCACACAAACCTGAAAGAAGATCAGACAAAAGCGTAAAGAGTGATATTATGTGTACGAAAGAGGTGATAGAAGCTGACCCTTGTCAAAATGACAATGATAAAAATATCTGTCTCAAATAAATTGCAATTAGGTCACACATCAATATTATTTTCAACTATTACGGAATTGAATATTTTTACCAACTTCAGTCACTAGTTAATCCGGAGGAGAGAGAGGGGGGGGGGAGCGAATGATTAGTAACTAAACTAAAAAAAAAAGAAAACGTCCAGAGTGAGGAGTTTCTATATGAAGTCAACTGCAAAAGACAAATCTATTGCATTTATAGTTTTACAAACAAATGTAAAAGTAATTTTACGAAGCATTAGCATTATTAAGTATTTGAGTGATAGAATAGGCGTAATAATAATTTATCATTATGATATCATTATTATTATTAATATTATTTAACCAGTATTTCTCTGTTTATTATTAAATTGGAACAGTAAAATATAGATAATCTCCTGGTTTACTGCAACCATAAGCAACCGTTTCCTTAACCTGTACATACCTGGTCTGCTTGACGGGTTTGTTGTTACAAGGTATCCACACATCGGTGCCCACCTCGCTATATTCAACGTAGTATCCAACCAGGTATTTAACATCCTTACAGGCCCCCCAGAAGACCACCACTGAGGTGTCAGTGTTCCTGGTGGCCACTGGATTGCCGGGGGATGAGGGAAGGTCTGTTAAGAAAGAGGTTTGTAAGAAAAGGGACGAAATTCAGAAAGACAAAAAGTAAACTTTTAAATAAAAAGAGAAAATATTTTGAAAAAGAAAAGTTAATAAATAAAAAAATAATGAAATGAAATAAGACAAACCAAAATATTTAAAAAAATATGTTTTGAAAAAAGGAAATTGTGAGCGAAAAGAAATCAGGGATTGTGATTTGATCGACCCCAATGCAGGAAGAACCAGCAGTCTCGTAAAAAAAACTCATACAGATGCCGGTTTTGCCAACTTACCCAGTTTATCTCCCACCGTGATCTCTCCTGTGGACACGGAGGCCTCGCCCACACCAGAGGAGTTGCAGCAGCGCACGCGGAAGCTGTAGGATTTCCCCTCGGCCAAGTCGAACAGGGCGAAGCGGGGAGACTTGACTGGCATGCCAGAGTTCACCCTCTGCCAGGTCTCTGTCCCTGAGATACACTGAGGCAACATGTGAGTGAGGCAGCAGATAACACTGGCTCAGGCTCCATTAGCAACACATTTGCACCACATCAATCACTGCAGTGCTCTAGAACTGCAGCAATGCAAACCAGGAAAATACTATATATATGCCTCGAAGGGGCAAACGCAAGCAATCGGCTTCAGAGAAATGCTTCAGAGTTAAAGAAGTTACTACTCACCTTCTCAATGTAATACATGACTCCTTCATGACCCCTCTGGACTGGAGGCTTCCAGGCGAGCACCACGTAGCTCTTGGTGGCCTCAGTCACCACCACGTCAGAAGGCTCTCCGGGGACAACTCCCACTAAGGAGTCAAGAGGAAGTCTCTTCATGCAGGTGAAGGTTATTAAAGACACTTGGGCTGGTTGTCATTCTAAAAAAACGAGTCACACTGACAAAATATGAAGTTCTCTCACACGCAGCCACACGAGAACTCTGCCTGAACTCTGCTCTAAAACACAACTTTTGATACTTCAGTTTGTGTTTTATACTACTGAGAAATTTCAGTACGGAGAAGTTATTGTGGTTGGATGCTCGGCTCACATCACTTTCAACTGCTGACAAATCAGGGAAGTAAAATATCTGACATTATAACACAAGTTTTTCACAATTAAAATAATAGTTTAAAACTGTCGTACCAGTGGGATCCTCCTCGGTGAACTTAATCATTCCAGTCCAAGGAGCTGACGGGCCGGCTGTTGGAAAAAAGATAAAATAAATCTACTTCTTTCAGTGTGACGACGGGACTCTCCGTGTGTGTCGCTCACCTCTGAGGCGGGCCCTGTCCGAGGGATCCATGGCAACCACGGCGTCGGAGACGCGGGACGGGCGGCTGACTCCTTCCTTGTTCGTGGCCCGCACCCTGAAGACGTAAGAGCGCCCCTCCACCAGTCCAGTGACGGGGAAGCGGGCGTACTTCACCGGGGCGTCGTTACACTGAGCCCAGTGGTGAGTGCCCACCTCGCACCTGCGCGGGAAACACCTACGGGTCAGATCTGTGAACGCCAGGAGGAGAGGCGGCGGCGTGGCCCAGTAAGGAGGTCACCCGACCTGTCGATGAAGTATCCCAGGATGGAGCTGCTGCCCTCCACCGCTGGCTGCTTCCAGGTCACCACCACGTAGTCCTTGTTGGCGTCGTGGCAGCGCACATCCAGGGGGGCCACGGGAACGCCCTCCACCTCCACATCGGCATCTGCCATAGCAGAACACACACACACACACACACACTTGTGAGTAGTGTTGTTTCTAAATCAGGCTGATCTCCATCACAGACTCATTTTCCCATTTTCTGACCTACTTACGGCTTTACGGTACAGCAACGTGTGGCAGCGCTATGAAAGGACAGTTTATGTCTCGGCATCTTCAATGGGGATTCTCTTGATTCAACATTATTGTGCATAAACCCACTGATTATGTTTTCAGATCAAACTCTCTCTGGGGCGACATTCCCGAAAATGCGGACAAATATAGAAGCTTTCCTCCAGAGGAAACCAAACACCTCATAGAGAATGCTGTGTCCCTCAAAGGTTCCCCACCAGACCTGCGTGTGCGAGGATCTGTCATAGGCTGCTTTAAAACTGTATTAACCAGTGCAGACTTACTTCAATATTCAATGAAACACAAAACAAAAGCTGCGAAAAAAGGCTTATAAAATATATATATATATATATATATATCAGCCACCTTACCTCTGACATACACATACGCGGAGTAGGTGTCAAAGCCAGATTTGGTGTTGACACGCAGGGTGTACATGCCCTCGTCCTCCTTGTTGAGGTGGACAAGTGTGAGGGTGGCTCGTTGGCCGGACCAGTGGGTGTGCACCCACTTAGAGGGCTTCAGGGGGACAGCTGGAGCACAAAAGAAGTGCGACTGGATAAATGGGATGGACTCATTGGATAAATGGGATGGACTCATTGAAACGGGGGGGAAATGCATTTTACATTGTTCCGTCGCTACTTACAGTTTCTGGACCACACGACCTCAGGCTGGTACTTTTTCACAGTGGGGTAAATGATGACGGTGCAGCCCAGACTCAATGTTTCACCTTCACGGCCAAAGGCCACTTCGAATTTGTCAATAATGGTTGTTTCGAATGTGACGCCATGCTCAGCGCAGAAACCATCTGCAGAGCCAAAATAAAGAAATTAAAAACACTACTGTTAAAATATCTACCCAATTACTTTTCGGTAAACAACTCTGACATATTTTTTCTTTGTGTCATTACTTTACACATCCAGCAGACATCATCATGCGATTGAGTTTTTGTACATTTACTCTCCTTTTGGCTCTGTTTTGGTCTCCACCAACTCTTAAATCAAATAATATATTGTGTTCGGCTGCTAGTTGCTAACTTTGTACGTCTGCCGAGCGTCAGTGGGTTTTTAGAGCTAGTTTGCTAAAGATGAAGCTAAAATAGGGAGGGAGGGAGAGTGGAGTTTGTAACTATTTAACATTTTTCCATTGTTTTAAAATGTTGATTAGTGAAGTAGTCTCGTGGACTCACGTGGTTTGGGATCGAGTGGGCCTGCTTCCTCGCCCTCCTGGAACCCTGCGGAGAAATGTAATGTTCATAAACCTTAAATCAGTTATTAGAGAACCAGGTGACACACATTTAGCAATAGTCAAATAAGACACACTGCGCACACATTTTTCATTCGCTTTAGGAGTTCCAAAACAATAAACAAAAGTCAAAATCCAAAATCTTCACCAGACCAAGACGATAATTACGGTGGTGTCAATTTGAACGTCTACCATAAACTTTTGAGTTCTAACCAGAGGAGACGGGAGCGGTTGCAGAGAAAAGAGATAGCGGTCACCTACTTTTGACAACGATGGTGGCCACGGAAGAAGCTTCGCCTTTCACGTTGAGGGCAGAGGCGTGATACTGAGCAGTGTCCATGAAATCACAGCTGAAAACATTCAGTTTGGGGAGAAATTAGCATTTTTTGGGGGGACATTTGGTTGCAACTGACTCGGTGCCACGTGAGCCCAACGGTGACCTACTTCTTGATCTCCAGGGAGTGCATGTTGAAACTGCTCTCGATTGCGTACTTCTCCGGGTGGGCCTTGGCATCAATGAGGACGTTGTTTTTGTACCTTGAAGACAGAAGAAAACCGTTGGTTTCAGTGTTGTGTGATCGCAGCAGAACGTGTGTGTGGGGAGGTTGTTCATGTCACGGCGGTGGGCAAAATCGATCTGGCCGACTGCCGAGAGCTTTGGACAGGAACTTCGCCGCGACGCACACATCAGCCTCTCATCATCGGCCTTGTTTTCTTGGGACTCGAGGGGAGGGGTTTGGGACCGGCGGACTCACCATGCGATCCTGGGCTTAGGCCATCCGGCCACGGTGCAGTGCAGCCTGACGGCCCCGCCCTCCCACACTGTTTGCCCACGGGGCTTGACGATGAACTCCGGACGGTGCGTCAGGCTGTCTGGGTTCATCTTCTTACGGAACTCCGCCCACTCCTCCATCTGTAGCGAAAGAAGCGAGGCCACGTGGTCATACATGTAAAGTACACGAGCATCTGTGGGCTTCGTGCGAGACTCCTGGTTAGACCTGTTTGTTCCAAATTGAGAGATAAATGAGAAGGATTTACCGTCTTGCTGAGCTCCATGCGTTCGGCGGACTCCCGGATGTGCGTTGATCTGGTTTTCGTCTCCACTTTAACGTCCACAGCCTCCCTGGCCTCCCTGACAAACAGGTTCCTCATGGCCACATAGTGAATGCCCTCCTCCGTGACCTCCTCCTCCCGCGCCTCCATCAGGCCGCGAACATCCTCGTGACTGAAACCAACACACCACCAACCAGTGAGAGCAGGTCGCACACTGCGTCCGGGGGTCCATACCTGCGATGAGAACGTGTCTCATCAACGTTGACTACTTTTTGTTTGAGGACGTGCACACTCACTTGGCTCTGAATACGGGAATGACGTAGCCGATGACTTCCTTGTCCGTGTCCATGGCCAGGTAGGTGCGTTTGGCTCTCGCGGGCAGCGGGCTCAGCTTGACCACCGCCTGCCGCTTCTCCGTCTTCACAGTGGTCTTCTGGCTTTGAGGCGAGAGACAAGAGTCACGTGCACTGCAAACAGTTACGTACATCAAAAGCTGTTTCCAATTGGTTCACGCTGTATTGTTTTCTACATGAAAGCCACATTGTGTCTTAAAGGATGAGGCTGATTAGACTCCGATGAATCCTATGATTGTCATTCATTAACTAATCATTCTATTAGTAGTGTCTGTATAGCCAAAGTCTGCCATCCTTTGCACCTCGGACAATTTTGTGACATTTTAAGCTTTTTGTCAGACTCAAAAATGTGTCTAGTTTTATTCTTTGATTGCATAAAATTCCCTCTAATGAACGACTACTAATTAAACTCTTGCAGTCTCAGCAAATAAGTGCCACAAAGTAAAATGTGATAGTAATTACTGATTATTATCTGTTTGGATGATTTAGCTCTGATTAATCAAAGATGAAATGTTGGCTCTATTGCAAAGGGATCGTTTAAAAAAAAAATAGTTTGAATGTAAAAAAAAATGGTAAAAGATACCATATGGAAAGATGCACAGATATAAAAATGACAAAAATACTCAACATTGACATACTGCCTCTCTTTCATTTAACTTCAGCACTGGAGTCTGCCGGTTATATAAAGACAGGTTCCAAAGTTACCGCGAAATGGAAGATGTATTTCCGTCCGTCCTCTGAGGACGCTGACCCACATTACACATGACTCATTTACCCGTCCGCCTCTCTGGCCTCTCTATTGTCAGCTGGCTTAATGAGCGGAGCCGGAAGAGGTGGCTATGCAGCAGGGCAGAAAGGTTGACTTTTAAAGCCCTGCTTTCATTCACAAGTCTGCTCCGGTCCTTCCGTCGGGCCTTGAGGAGCATCAAGCGCCTCTGATTGAGTCTGTTCCATACTGCTGAAGGCACAGCAGCCGCAGACAGACGAGGAGACTCTCACAACCAGTGTCAAAACGTTTATTCACATACCGCTGACTCACCAGGTGAGTGGAAGTCTGAGTCGATTGTGTGAAGAAAAGTTTTACTGCACATATAAGCAGTCTGAGAAGCCGGAAGTAGGTCTCAATCTCAAATAATAGTATCACTTAAATAATAGGAAACTTTCAAACGGGAACAAGGTGTACTACATCAAATTGAGTAAATGGATGCTGACCCCCGAATCAAGACAGAAACAAACTGTTCTACGTCTGTGGAAGACGTGACTTCCATGCAGTGTCTTTGCAGTCGGCCTCATGGAAACCTCTCATGTCCCGGCGACAGAAATAGCTCGGCTGTCCATGAATGTATCTGGCAGCCACTCATTACAGCTGGCATTCCCTTCCTGACCCCTGTTTAGAACGCCCTCATGGCTCCAACATGCACACTGAGCTCTGAAGGACAGAGAGACTCTGACCACATTACATGTCGGGCCGCCGTACAAATGAACCTACGGTGCTGTGATTGATAACCAATACTTCTCTTTGATCATTTGTTTCTAACACAGAATGTCACAAAAGAACTCTGACATGAAATTCCTCGTTTGATAAGTATTATTTCTTTTGTTTTGAACGTTTGTTCCTGCAGATTTATATTATTTATTAGTCCGACAATTACTACTTCCATTGCAAAATATGCTGAATCAATGAAAATGTTTGGTGCGTTTACTATGATGACGTCTTCAAATTGCTTATTTGTTCAATCGACAGTCCAAAGATATTTAATTCAATAGCATAGACAATTTTTTTTATCATTGTGTCTGCGTATTCACTGGGATTTGGATTATTCTCTTATAGTAAAGCTTGTAATTGTCTTAAAGTGAATAAACAGTATGTACTCTTTGTGTTGAATATGAGCATAATACCATTGCCACGTAGTATTTAAACGTTACAATGTAGTATTTAAACGTTACCAACGTTTAGACTAAATTAGACACTACAGCCCAGACTTCTACACTGATATTTGAATTACCTAAAACTAATTGCCCTTAAAAAAACTGATTTGATGAAAGTTTTAAAAGGAAAGTTCACAGTTCATAAGCTTTGACCGGATTACATCCGGCAACAATATGAGTGCATAATGATATTACTGTATACTAAATGATTAGGCCAGTTCATGAAATGACTTGCTTTCGGCTTTATAGCAACGCTATTAACAGAGCTTTGATGCATCATGTCAAGATGCAGGAGTTGAGTTGATGAAAAGCAGCATTGAAAGTTGATCATCAACTGCGTGAGCAGATGAAGACAAGCAGTGAGTCAGCATCGGCTCTCCATACAAACTCATCCCCACTTTATCTCCTGCTGCTGAACACACTTTCACACCAGATGCCAAAGCACAGAGTTGAATATTTGAAAGAGGTCTGCTACGGAAGCAGCAGGTTGCTTTAAGCGCCGTTTTTTTTATTATTTTGTTTTTTAGTTTTTCAAATGTCAACCATCTCGTGCGTATTTTGGATCTCTCATCCCCTTACCGACGGCTGCTGGTCTTGTACGTGGAGAACGAGTGCTGTTTAACGGACGACTTGGAGCTCAGGTAACAGCTGCTCTCATGCTGCTGATGCTGATGCTGCAGCTGATGCTGCTGCTGATGCTGCTGCTGCAGCTGCTGCAGCTGCTGCGTCACTTGTACTGATCCTGACATCCCGACGGTCTCTCCGCCAACTTATAGGTTGACTTTACTTTAACCAGCTCTGTAAATCAATCTCATTGTTATCATTGCAAGTTGGTGTCTGTATTGAGGGGTTAGTTTAAGCCGGGACATGGTGATGAGGTATTAAAGACGGGGAAGCGATGGTAAAGTTGTTAAGATGGAGTTATTATTTTTGTTGAGAGAGAGCAGTTTAAGTGTTGGTTAGGATCTACTTCTAATGTGTTAATGCGAAGAAGCGGCAGGTTGATAAACGTTGATTCTCTTTGCGGTCTAAATGTTAGTTTTGTGTCTTTGAGGATTACATGAAAATGTGAGAAACAACGACCTCCAGAGGTAGAATTGTAGAAATTATGAATTATGGGGGAAATTCAAAAATACATGTGGAGTGATGAAATCCAGCAACTGATGAGGACATCTAAAAGGAATAAATATGTTGAGAATATCTTTAATCAAAGCTTGAAACAAAAGGCTAAACATACACGTAATAATCTTATAACACTAACAGACCCAGAGCTGTGTACTCAACACTCTTGTAAGTACTAAACCTCTTCACTAATTTGTGGATGTAGGTAAACAGTAAAGAAAAAAGGCCTTCCCCCACAATTTCTAGAATCCAAAGTTTAAACTGCTTGTTTTGGTCAACAAAAGGTTCAAGACCCAAAAATATTCAGTTAAGGAACAAGCAATAGTCCAATTTCAGAGGAAACCTCTGGAAGCATGACAAGGTAATTATCTATTATTTTGCTTTTCTTTGCTTTCAGCTATGGTTCTTCTGAGTTTTGGTTTCTTTATGGTTGAAATGCAATTATTGTAAGTCGCTTTGGATAAAAGCGTCAGCTAAAGGACATGAAATGGAATGGAATGTGCGACTCAAGTTATACAGCTTGAAAATATGAGCAGCTCCCACATAGGCCGAGTCTTCACGCCAAGTCAAATCAATCAGGTGAGATCCTCTGTTTATGACAATAGACGCATGTCTTTGAGCAACTCTTATAATGTGGTGTATGTGGTTTGTAATAAGTAAACTGGACTGTAAGCAATGAGGGCACAGGCTGCAAAAACAAAAGATAGTCTATAAGTCATAGAAAAATTTAAAGTAAAGTGAATGTTAATGGAAAAGATTAGCATTACTTTTAGGATGAAATTTCGCTACAATGACATGCAGTGTAAACTACAATGACAGCATGGATATAAAAGATTAAAAAAAACCTGGTTAGTGTAAAGGACAACAAGATATCAGAATTTATTCACATTATTAAAACAGATAATAACAATAATAACGTTGAAAGAAGACCTCGGCCCTCGTTGATTCAGAATTTTAATTCCTAATATTAGAGACTTAATAAATCATTTTCAATAAAGAAATAAATATTTGTATTACTCACCAAAACCAAGAATTTACCAATCCTTAGTGAGAGAATGAGGGAAAGGTTGTGCTATTCCAACAGGAGCTAAAGCAAGTTCAGATCCGGGGAAAGCAGCACGGTGAGGGCAGTGGACAGGACGGCAGTCCACTGAACCAAAATAATGCTGCCACTCGGCAGAATGCACAAGACACCGTCAGGACCTTTTAAGGCTGGCACAGCTTTAAATTTAGACCGTGAGACGGGCCAGCAGAGGGGTGCTCGGCTCGCATGGCCCTCCGCTGCGACCTGTCAAGTGTGTGTGTGTGCAATCAGAGGTCTGGGTGTGTTGCATCAAAGAAAAACTGCTGGCTTACCGTTAATCTTCCAGTTGAATTTGTCTTCATTCTTACATGTCACAAGAAAATCTCCCAATGTTCTTGTTTTTATGTATTTTGAGGTCTAATTGAATGAATATTGAGATAGAGCACTAAGGAAAAATAAACGTTGTTTTATTAGTAACTGCTGCCACCTGGCGGTGGAACATATCAACTACAACCTTCCCAAGGACAAATATAAAAATAACATCAACCAAACAAAGGCTGCAAAGAACAGCTTTATGTTTAGTAGTGTGATTTTCACTGTTCGTCCTAACCCTGTAAAAACAACAAACAACAGCAATAACAACGTTGTTTATTCCAGTCTGTTGGCTCCGCCCCCGCCGAGCTGTGATTGGTCTGTTTCGGTGGAGCGGAAACAGAACATTGACGGTCGCTCTCCGTCGGGCTGTGGACGCGCTGGTAGCCCGTTAGCCCGTTAGCTGCGCGTAACGGTTACAGCCACTTCATCAACGCTCGTATTTCCTCAGGTGGGTGGATTCATTGAACACGAATTAAATCCGATTTTTCTTGTGAGTTTATTTCGGTCAGCTTGTTTAAGCGCGTCTGCTCGGTGGGTTAATGAGGTCAACCAGGGATAACGGTTAGCTACTAGCTAGTAAATAACCGTTAGTTAAATGTTTATTTAATGTCGTTGGGGAGCAAAATAGCACCTTCTGTATTGGGGTTTCCATTTATTGTCGTCGGATAATGTGTGGTAGAGCCGCGCTGTAAACGGTAAACACTTCAGGGCGAATTCAAAAGATTGTAGTTGATAAAAATATCGACAAATAGCAAATTATATCCGAAGTCCAGTCCAGATGTCCACAGCTGTAGACAGCGCCCTGTTCTCTTCTACCCTGGACACAAACCTGAGGCGTCTCTGTGGTTCAGAAATGTTTCCAAATGAATCAGAAAGTGATGTAAGAGAAACATCACATCTCCATGGTGCAGGCTCATTCATAATTAGATTGACGATGACGAAACCGCTCCTTGAAAACAGTCATATGGATTCTACATGACAGCCTTCGTGTTATCTGTCTCTCAGGTGGAGGGAGGGGGACCAACTGACCGCCATCATGTCGAGCAAAAGGGCCAAGGGAAAGAACACCAAGAAGCGTCCTCAGCGCGCCACGTCCAATGTGTTTGCCATGTTTGACCAGTCTCAAATTCAGGAGTTTAAGGAGGCCTTCAACATGATCGACCAAAACAGGGATGGGTTTATTGACAAAGAAGACCTTCATGACATGCTGGCCTCATTAGGTACACTTATACTATACTACTGTACACGTATACTATTCATAGGCTGTCATAAATCCTAATGGCTGTGATCTAGGTAAGAATCCCACGGAAGAGTACCTGGAGACGATGATGAACGAAGCGCCGGGCCCAATCAACTTCACCATGTTCCTGACCATGTTCGGAGAGAAGCTGAACGGCACAGACCCGGAGGACGTGATCCGTAACGCCTTTGCCTGCTTCGACGAAGAGGCCACGGGTGAGCTAATTATTTTTATATTGGAGAATTTCCTCCAAGAACCATATTAATCTTTCGGTCTACAAACGTTAGAATAATGTGGAAGAACCGTCTCTATTCATTTGTTAATTTAATTGTACAGCTGCGCGGGCGGAGGGGAAGTTGGTGTTTAATAATAGGAAATGTTTGGAGGAATGTCTGTATTCATCCACTCATCCCACAGGTATAATCCAGGAGGAGAACCTGCGGGAGCTGCTCACCACGATGGGCGACAGGTTTTCGGATGAAGAAGTGGACGAGCTCTTCCGAGAGGCGCCCATTGACAAGAAAGGCAACTTCAACTATGTAGCATTTACACGCATACTAAAGCACGGCGCCAAAGACAAAGATGATTAGTGACCGACTCTACAAACTCTACAATTTATAATCCATTGGCTTCCTATCATGTCTATCATGGTGGCTTTCCACCCAAGTCGGAACAGCCATGTCCTGTTATTTAGCTCGTGGAAGGCTCCACTGTGGTAAAGCTCCCTGGAGGTCATTTGTTTAAGCTGCTTGTGGGACCACACTGTACCTCTGGGGACCCCCCCCACTCCCACTCCCAACTCCTCAACCCCTTCTTCCAAAGCTCATTTGCACATCTGTGAAAACACTGTAGGGTCTGTATAAGCTAATTAAGATGAATGAAAAGACCCACGTGGATAAAGCTGGAAATAAAAACAAGATGGTTGTTGTGATTCTGTTGATTTTACTAAATCATTTGTATTTCCGAGCTCAATAATCAATGCTCTATTCTGTTTTCAGAGTCTTTATTTTAAAACAAAAGGAGAAGAGATGCGACAGTTGAAAACAAACAATTCCACAGTTCACACTGACTTCAAAGACACGTGGTACACTGGATTAAACAGAAGGTGCCGTCTTGGTGTTTAATCTACAGGTAGAATATTAAATACACACAACATGGCCAAGGGTGGGTCAACAGCATTGAGTTCTTACTTTTCTATTCATAATAGGGTGCTAGGTTACCAGTTTCTTTATTTATCCAATCCAGAATCATGAAATGATTATCAAAATCAACCAACTGAGCTCAGTAGTTCCAATCAATACACACGTTTATTACACAATAATTCACTGAGAAATGTTTGTGCAGAGCTGGGTCCTTCATCCTTTTTGTTTTGTTTTTCCAGTTTGGAAATGAGCTAAACCAACATCTAATGAGATGGACTGAAACGTTCTCATTTACCGGCATCAGTGCCTAAACATATTTTTAAGAGCTAATCCCAGCGGCTAGGTTCACCGATCCTGAGGAAGATCCTTCCCAGAGGGGTGCAAACTGTTAGCACAGCACACGTAAGCTTATCAATGTCATCATACTTGTTGCCACGTGTGTACTGCTACTAACAGTCGGCACATGACAGTGAGAAGAACGCGTCTTTTTCTGAAATTGTGGTTGATATTTTGACACTGAAACAGGGCCGTTATTTTCAGCACTATTTTAGGATGCTTTAAAAGTGGAGCTACATGATTTGTCACAAATCAAAGCACCTGTGATCCTTTGGTTGCAACCTCTCCAGGAGTACCTTCATAGGTCTTCGGTGTGTTCCAGATGTTCCCAGCATCAGCACCAATAACCAGCCTCCTGTTCACAGGATTCTCTGTGATGACGAGTCTCTCACGCACATCAAAACAAAAATAAATAGACACGCTTGACGCTTTCTGTACACTTTGCCGTTGCTCACAGAGCAACGTATAGCACAAGATGAGGGCGACTGTGACTCTACTCCGCCAGGGCAAGATTTTTTGACTGGATCTTTGATAGGTGATCCGATATACAAGCCTCAATCTTGTCACACTGGGCCAGGAAGTCCTATTGACAGATAATAATCCCAATTAGTAATATTCATGGGGATTTTCAATTAAAACATGTTGATGACATAAAAAGAGTTTACCTGCACGGTCTTTACAAGTCCCTTTTTCTTCATTTTGCAGTCATTGTAATTCTCCGGGATACTCTGTAAAAGAAGAAGAAACAATTCTAAATAATAAAAAACCTGTGCAAAAATAATGATTTATTCATTTAGAGCTGCGTTCAATAACGGAGACAATACGTATGAAGAAGAAACATCACCATGGCATCAATCTGCTCTAGGATCTTCATGAATTGTTCCGCTGCTATTTTCACTCTGTGGTCTAGTTTCCCCAACGCTTCTGCCTGGAGGTCTTTGGCCAGGAAGCCCTGTGGAAACAATGGGTGAAAATCAAAGATCTTAACAGAAAATTCTAGGAAAATATATGCCGGAGAATAGATCAGACCAATGCAGGAAACCATGAATTAAAAAAAACAAAACGGATGCCTTACATTCTTGAGTCCAGTCAACTCCCCGTCTACCTTCTCAAGCTTTTTAGCCGTCTGTTCCACAGATTTCTCAATGTCTTTCAGCTTCTTCAGCTCAGTTTCTTCCTCGGGACTGTTCTGTTAGTAGATTCGTTGGCAGTATTTGATTAAACATGTGGTCACAGATCAGAGAAATCACCCGCTGTAGAATCCTTACCCGTTTCCCAATCAGCATGAGCTTGCATCCCTCTTTTATTCCTACGCTGGACAGACTCTCCTCCACGTCCTTCAGAGATTTCCCTGGAGTGTCAGGACGGATCAGGCGAGGTTAGACTTGGCTATACAATGATAGTTAAGAGAAAAATGAGAGGCCCAGCGCACCTTTAAAGATGAGTTTCTGCGACGTTTGAGGAACCCCAGTAGCTTTGGTGAGAGCGTCGGAGAGGTCTTTGACTATCGGGCCCTTGACGTCATCCTCACCAGTTAATGTGATGCTGTGCTTAGTTGATCCTTGAGAGGGAAGAATCATTTGGATTCATGCACTGTCATTACTATCCATCACTGTCAGGCCGGTGACCTTGAAAACAAGGCTTCAAACGGAATTCAAGCAAGACTGTTGGAATTGTTCGTGTTTCGCCAAAACCCTTTGTGTGTACACGAAAAATGGATTTAGAACGATGTTTTAAGGGGGAATTACAAAACATCTTGTTAAAAACCACGTTAGGCAGCTATGAAACAAAATGGCCTGGACGCTAGCCAAGGGTAACGTTTCATTTTTGTAAATCTTATCAAGGCATGACATGGATTCAACTGTACTAAGTTGAGGCTAAGCTATCCTTGCTTTAGCTACAACAGCTAACCAATTCATAGCTACTCAAACTTAACTAACAGTTTGTACATCGAGCATTATTTATCAACATGCAGACAAAAGTGTAGCACCGTGCTAAGTCGTATTACCGTATGCAACTGTCACTGTTATCGTTTGCGTTGACATATTGAGTTTTATCGTCCTTTAATCACAACAGAAGATGTGTGCTATCAGGCTAATAACTGTTGCTGAATGCTAACCAACTACTTCCGGAAGAGACCCCACTCGTCATGGACAGACAGGAAGCAGTTCTTCTGACGTCGGTCTTAAAATATATTTGTTAAACATAAAGTTGTAGACTCTGCGGCCTGCACAACAAATATTAACATATATTATTTAATGACAGTGATGTAATTAGAATGCATTAAAAAGCACCACACGTACGGGAATCAATGTCAATAAAAACTATTTTTGCATTCTTCACGATAGCCGCCGTGGGTCACGTGGGAGTGTTATCTGTGTCGTTCTCCAAAGGACTGAAGTGAAATGACGTTAACTTTGGTTAGTTGTCTACAAATTGCTCGTTATTTTGGCTTCTCCTGTCATATCGGGCTCTGTGGCGCAATGGATAGCGCATTGGACTTCTAGATAAAATGTGTAGTCATTCAAAGGTTGTGGGTTCGAGTCCCACCAGAGTCGGACTTTTAACGGACGTCTAATAAGCGGATTTCTTGTTGCCATGTATCGTCAGTAAACCTCATCACCGCATGAGGAGTATACAACTCTGTTGAGCTGTAATCGTGATATGACCAGTCAAATAATGAGCTTTACTGAGAGACAACTCATGATATAACCAGTCATATATCTGATAATATACCAGTTGCCCGCACAGGAAAGTTTTGCCGTCTATGGAAATGTGCAACAATCCAAAACCTCTGGAGGGAGGTTATTGTTTGCAATAGATGTTTGGTGTTCAATGAATAGCAGATTTTTTTTCACGAACATCAAAACTTCTGCATCAATGTCAAAATCCGAGAGCGCAAATGAGGTTATAGAATAGTTATGGATAGACAGAAATTGCAAGCTGGACCAAGGAGATGAATCGAAAATATTCATAGAAGTCTATGTACACTTTAGAATGTTCCAACTCCAGAAGGTTAACTGATATCACAAGTGACAGTGAGATCTCTTCTTCAGTGTGACGGCGGTGGACGAGGTTGATCGGGGCACACCACTCCAGGTAAGGTTATCTGGTTGAACCTTTACACGTATTAATAAAGCAAAAAAACTTAATTTAAACCACATAATTTATTTTGCATGTTTCAAATAACTCGCAGACACTTAAACAGGCTCTAAGAGAATCATCTCCACAAAATGGTAGAGACTGAACGACACAGGAAACTAGAACACAGGTAAGACATATAAAGATTAACTTAGTAATACTGGTAGAGACTGACACGTGGTAGACGGGACAAAGGGGGGAAAGGGGAAGTTGTAGTGAAGTAAAGTAGTGTTTTTAAAAAAGGTTCAGTATGTAACAAGGCCACATGCTAGCACGGTAGTGGTATCAGTACACGACCCGACACCAGGCGAGCTTCCAAACCCAAGTGTCCTCGGGCAAAGGTTCTGCATGTATAAATGTTACTCTACGTATAAAAGTGTTTTCAGTTGAAGTGCAGTTCTTTCAATCCGCTCCTCGTCTATGAGGCAGGAATCTGCGGCAGACCAAACTCGTCCACCAAAACGCCGTCCTGAAAACCAGAAGAAGAGCGTTAACAAAAACTGACCTCTAAACCCACACACGTTAATGGGAATTGAAATTTATCTTAGAAGGGCCAGTGTGTGGGTAATAGTCGCTCTGCCTACCTTGTTCGTCTTGCTGTCACTAGGGATTCCCTCAGGGATGGACGGGGCAGCCGAGGCCTCGTCCAGGTAGGAGCTGTCGTCGTCCAGCAGCAGCTCATCGCCCAGAGCGTCCAGCTCTGAAACCACAGTTACGCACTTATTGTCCAACTGGACACACTAGAGGTACGACAATAGAGGAATGTAGATATGTTATGTTTTGTTCTTGTCACAGCTGATTTCATAGTTGCACCCGATTTGAACGCGATATTTATGCATTAATTAGTTGTGCAACCAGGCTCTGTGGCGCAATGGATAGCGCGTTGGACTTCTAGACAAGATGTGCAGTCATTCAAAGGTTGTGGGTTCGAGTCCCACCAGAGTCGTAGTTTTAGGTGTGTAACTAAGTTACCTGACTCAGGCTGATGGACATGCAATTAAACCTGGTGCTCATGCGTTTTTTAAAGTCCTAAATTGTATTGTTGATATTTAACTATTTAAGGTCCAATTACTGGGAAACTTGGACTTCGTTTGTCGCTTAAATCAGTATGAACACCATAAGCTTTGGTTTTGCAAAATATATTAACACACACCTATTCAAGTAGATCATCGAGCTGCCACGGCAACATAAAATGATGATGTAAGATGCTCTGTAAGCGAGTTTACTGTCCCTGCTGGGTGCTTTATATTTGCACATTTAAAGTTGTCTGTGCAGACACTAACAGCGTTATTACAGCTTTACCTGCTTCCAGATCATCCTCATCTATCTCTGGAGTGCCGTAGCTGCGGCTCAAGGCCTCCTGCACCTCGCCGGCGTCCTCCATCATGTCCTCCAGCTGGTCCTGCAAATCCTACAAATTCAAACACATGGGATTATCTGAGCGTCCGTAATCTCTGACAAGAACAATTGGAACATTGCAATTTGCTATTATTTGTTAGAGTGAGTCACCAGTTGGTATTTAGCATTCGCACAAAATAATTATTTGAACAACATACGTCAATCTGATCCAGCTTGACGTCCTTGTAAGCCCTTTTCATTTCCTTCGCGCCGATCTTCATGGCCTCCACCTGGAAATGAGGTAACAAGAACTCTGTTAACTCCCGCTCTCCCTCACTCCGCACATGTGCTGAATGTGGCTGAATTTGAACAGCAACCAGCCACATATCAAGCTGTAAAGCTGTAGTTTTGAAAAACAACAACAAACGACGTTGTGTTTTATCAAGTCGTGTGGCACTTACTGTTGTTTTGGTGTCCTTTAGTGTCTGGATTGTATAGTTCGCCTGCTCCATGTTAAAAGACTGCTGAGCCAGCTGCTCTCTTTGACCTTCATACCTGTGTTAAAAGTAATGCAGTTGGTATTTCTAATTATTATGCAATTTAACTAACAAGATCACAAACAGATTTATTAAAAAATAAATATGATCGTGCTCTTTAATGTAACAAGCTATATAATGATGACACAGATTATGAACAAATATAACATATTGGGTATTTCTGTAAAAAACTATTATAAAACCGTACATATTGTCCACCATGATTTAATGGTTTTAGCACGATTCACGTCTCGGAATCTGCATCGAACATTACAGAGAGTAAACATTTTGAAATGCAGGACTCACATTCTCTTTTGCTTCAGGACTCTCATCGCCTTCTGTTTCACCATGTTCTGCATCCAAACAGGGAATTCAATGAGAACGAATGTTTTCTACAATTTCCGAAAAACGATCTTGCGACCTTTCACAGATCCCCACAAGCGAGCGTTACCTTCGAGGGCCCCTCCCTCATCTTCTTCATCTGGTCCTTGTACTTCACGAGTTCAGCGTCCAGTCTGCCGATCTTCTTTTCTATGGACTCTGATCTCGCATCGACCTGAGCGAGGACGAGAAGTATTTGTGCTGATCTATTAACGTCACGGCAGACCAGACACGGGGCCAAAAGGCCCGGCCTGTGTAAACTGTACGGAGTATATCTACTGTGTGTTTCCCGGTGTCCCATGTCAATGTCCTCTGAAGAGAATTATGGAGACATTCCAAAGCGTTTTATATTCTCAGAATGACCTTTTTCCCCCTCATGACCAAACTAAAAGTAAAACGTATTCATCATACACTGTTAGTATATTATATTCAGACCCATGTTTCCCATGTGAGTTGTGTTTGAATCATCCCCCCAAATGATGTTAAACCTCCGCCCTTAAATCTGCAGACATTTTGACAGTTGACTGAAGACATTAATATCTTCCCCATCCTAAGGGACGATGGGAGGCAGCATGTATGTTTGCTAGTACCGGAAGGTGCTCAATATCTGTTAGCTAGCTAGCGCTGGTTGCTGCTGTTGTGGCCATGCTAGGTTCATAACGGTAACGGGGACCGTTAGGTCGCGACGTAAACAACAACAGCGTCTCCGCCTGCCGGTACTCACGCTGCCGATGCAGTCCGACAGATTCGGAGGAGGCGTTTTCGGTTTTCCGCGTCCAAATAGTCTGTTCATTTTTAAAACGTTATTTTACCACGTAGCCTTTGGGCTTATTTGGGGTGACTGTTATACAAAAAGATGCAGAAGGATTTCTCCCTTCAGGACACCCGGAAGCGACGCCTACGACGCAAACGGTTCCCATTGGTTGACGCTTGTGGTTCAGACCAATGACGTTGTCTTATTCTTTTTAGCCACACGTCTGCCCCCTGGTGGCGGGACGAAGGGTTGCAGCTACCATGAAAACCCATTGTCCCCGTAGACTCCGCATTATCCATCAGCCTTTGTTGAAGCCCCACACTTCAAATATGGTCAGATCGATCTTTTGATAAAATGTTTTACTTAATTGGCTCCCTACAAATATATTAATAGTGTTAACTGATTATAAACTATGACGTAATAACACATGTATTACTGCTGGTCTAAAATGAAAAGTAACATGATCTTGTCATGTAATGAATCTCAGGTCAAAATCACTCTTTGACTACTTTCTTAGGGTCAAATTATACGTGTTAACATCTCATCAGCATTTATAGCTGCAGACACCGTATTACATCGAGCGAGAAACCCACCAACTGCACACCAGTAAATCTTAACATACCTTATTAATTTACATTTTGCTTAGTTCTACCACTGCTCTGCTAATGTTTGTGGAAATTGATAAAACCCTGCGTTAATCTCGGTCTCTATGGCAGCCTAATCACTTCACACAAGGGCTGATGGATGTCATTTGCCTCCCAAATCTCTTGTTATCCACTAGACTGGTCAGATCGTCTAGATTTGACAAGTGCCAAGAATTACACATGTCCTTTGTGCGTATTCACCTTGTGATTGTAAGACCAAAAGTATCTTTTATCGCGGTTTTTGGTCTCCAATCTGACTCATGAGGTAAATATTTCTACAAAGCAGTTTGCACGAGTTGAAACTGATATGACATCCCTTAACCATCCAAAGGTGGCAGTAGAAGGATACCAAGCGCCTCTTAGTTACCACCCAAGGGTTTGCCATGAGTAGTGTAAACCCCTGCAGGCATTATGCCTCTTTATCTATGAGCAGTGATGAGCAGTGATAAGATCTCAAGCACTAATTGGATTACCGGATACGCAAAATGAATCTGATGTCAAGGCTACTTTGGGGCCCCATCTCTGTTGTATGTCCTCAGAAGGGCTTAATGTTGTTTCGGTAAGCATTGCAGATATTAAGCTGCAGCAAGAAGATCTTAACAAAGTAAAAACCTCTCCTCTACTGAAAACAGGCGCACCCAACCTTGAAAAGTGTCCCGAGAAACACGCGTGGTCAAATATTCAAAGAAACTGAAATACAAATTCCTTGGCAAGGTAAACAGACGCCTCCAACTGCCTTTGTGTCAGATAATAAGTATTAGTTCTTTAAAGTATGGAACTTTTATAACGCTGCTCTGTATTTCTCTCCATTGAACCCACATTTATCCCACGAGAGACAGAAATCCAATCCAACTCTTCCAATTGCAAGCTTTATTGTGGCGTTGTTGCACATGTGCGAAGCAAGGTTCTACTTTCAGAGCTGAAAACATACGGCAAGAAATCCAACCGATACAGTTCATTTACAATGCAGCAGTACAATATACACGCAGTATATGGTGCTCGAAACTGGGTGGAGTTCAATCATTTGGATACAATCATTTCCATCGAATAAATAACAGTATTATTAGAATAGTTAAGAAACACATAGTGTAACCAAAATTGATTCATACTCAGCTTCCGTTCACTTACGGATGATGCTACAACGCTTACACTAAAAGATTACCGTACCAAAAGTAATCCCAAACATGGATGTGGCTAAATGCAGATTTTTTGAGCAAGCGTAACGGCCAGAGGGCGAATAAGACCAGGCGCAAAAACACGTTTTTATCAGATTTACGTTACGTTATTAGACACATTAGTGGGTTGCTCTACAACAGGCGTTGATTTCACGACTCCTATAAAAGCTACGACGATTAAGGAAACCACGACAGTAAATCAGTCGCGTTTTTTTTTTGCTGAAGTAAAAGCTATTTTACCTTCAGGATAAACCCACGAATCCATTTTTATGTTCCTTTTGATGAGCACAGATTTACAGGACACTCAGCTTCACTCAACACCCAGCGACATGTCGCGCAGATACAGTGTGTTATTCTCAAGGAGCCCTGTTACCCGCTTTTCACATTTACTAGTATATCAGACAATAACATGCCAGGATGGCAACACTATCTACAATAGTTGACACCTCCCCGATGAGAGCAGCATTAAGGCTGGAAATCCATAAAGGTGCCGTGTCAGACTTAATGTCATAATGATAGTTTCTGAAAGAACAAGATGCATTTGAGGGAACACCGAGCTCACTGTTTAGCTTCATCAAAAAACAGCCGTCTTGCCTTGAAGAAAATACACTGGCTTTGTATCTTCTTGTGGTGAAATACAGAGAAAGATCCCTGAGAGGTTAATAAATATATTACATTCTACAATAATATAGATTATTCGGAAATGTACAATTCAGCAAAGGACCAAACCACAATTCACATCAAACAGGTTTAAAGCAATGGTCACAACACCGTTGTTGACAAGTGAATAAAATGTCATCAATTTACACAATGAAATACTTTTGGTTTGTCTCGTCTGGACATCTTTCTCCATATTTTCCCGTTGAACGATATGTGAAGTAACATGTAACAAAATACCGGTTTTGAGTTAGATTTCAGCTTTATACAACATTAAAGAATATTCAGTGATTTAGCATCTGACTGGGTTGTGATAAGATGCATCTTTTAATTTTAGTATTATTTCAAAGGATAAGTCTGGTCTTACACCATATTTCTTCTAAATGTCAACAAAAACCATGAATAAACAACAACAACAACATGTTGTTTCAATACTAGTATGCATATTGTCTATATGGTTGTATACACAATTGTCAGCCGTTTTCGCAGATTCTACTTAGTAAAAGGGCCACATTTACCTGTTTGGTAATTTGACCCAAGAGACTTGAGTAACCTCTAAAACGTCCTACAAGCTAAACAAAATGCATTAATACCAGAATCTAATTTTCTTCCTTCCTCTGTTCATATGAACGAGCCGAGAAAGAAATGCTTCATCTGTACTAACTTAATACTGGTTAACAAACACGCCTCAGCCAGCTCTCGCTTACGTCCCTCAGCAGGTGGTGGAGATCTGGGTCAGTCCCAGGTCATTGGAGTCCTCCCAGATCTGAGAGGGCATCGAGGCCGAGTCCATGGCTAGTCATACGTTCCTGGCCCGCCTCGCGTCTCCTCGGCCGTCTGGGGGACACGAGTGATCCCGCAGGGTGCTCCTCACCCGGCTCAGCCCGTGGGAGTCCCTGTGTCCTTGGGCGCCGGGGCAGCAAAAATCCCTGAAGCACCTCTTGAAGTTCTCATCCAGGAAGGCGTAGAGGATGGGGTTGAGGCTGCTGTTGGTGTAGCCCAGCGCCACGCAGAAGAAGTAGGCGGCCATGACAGCGGTGGTCTCCGGCACCTGGCCGTAGAGGGCCTTGACCAGGACGAAGATGTGAATGGGCGTCCAGCACACCACGAAGACGGCGACCACCACCAGAACCAGGCGGGTGATCCGCCGCAGGTTGCGGTCCTTCTCGCGCGAGCCGGACAGCAGGCGCACGCTCTTCAGCCGCATGACCATCAGCGTGTAGCAGACGGAGATGATGATGACGGGTAACACGAAGCCGAAGATGAACACGCAGATCTTCATCAGGGTGTCCCAGTAGCTGTAGGGGTCAGGGAACTGGAGGGCACACTCCGTGGTCCCTGTTTGTCACAGAAACAACACGGTTGAACACACAACATAGCGGGAAAACGAAAGAAACTAAAGATGCTTCAGCAGCGTTTATGCTTATGTTAGCATGCTAAAATGCTAATATAGTTATATGTTCCCCATGGCAGGTCTCACGTAGGCTTGTTGACAAGCTAACTTTGCTAATTAGCAGGAAACTCAACACAACAAGTGATTTGATAATCTACCCTTCAGCGATGGTTAAAAACCATCATTTCAGATCCCATGTTGCATCAAGGTCACTCCAACGCAGAGATGTGAAGGCCAGAACCGGATTCATCTCCTCAGGGCAAAGTGCAGTGTTTTATCATTTTGATAATTGAGAATCTATTACACTTTCGCTGTTGGACTAAATCCTTCAAGCTCTCTTCTCAATCTAAGAGGGCCGCGTGTGAGTGTCACGGCTTCATCTAGAAGGATCTCCGTAATGGGGTCTTGTTAAACCTCCTCTTCAGGTTATTTGAAGGATACTTCATGCAGCCACTGGTGAAGGTTCAGTTAAGAATTGATGGCAAAGGATCAGCAAATGAAGTGCAGGCTCCAGGTTTGAAATGACCTGCAAGAGTTCCTTTGTCTCCACATCAGAGTGAGAGACACGAGTAGAAAAAGGCCCTGGGGGGGGAGACGCATGTTAAAGTACCGTTATTGGTCTTGGTGCTGCCGAGTATCATGGCGGGGATCCCGGCGGCGGACGACAGCACCCAGATGATCACGTTGACGATCTTGGCCTTGACGGGCGTTCGGAAATCCAAGGCCTTGACGGGGTGGCACACGGCCACGTAGCGGTCCACGCTCATCATGGTCAGCGTCAGGATGCTGGTGAACATGTTGTAGTAATCGATGGAGATGAAGACTTTGCACACCACCTCACCAAAGGGCCAGGAGCTGAGCAGGTAGTCGGTGCTCTGGAAGGGCATGGTGGTGGTGACCAGAGCGTCGGCCACGGCCAGGTTGAAGATGTAGATGTTGGTGGCGGTTTTCATTTTGGTGTATCTGTCGTGGAGAAGAGAGGTTGAATGGATTTGATTGCAGGTTTGTTTCAGGGTTTTTTTTGTGTTGTTTTATTGCGATCCTTTCAAAGAGGACCAAGGTTAATGAAATCCCTTTTTGAGATAAGGATTCATTATCTCCTGTGTTGCACTTTTACTGAATAAACGTAAGTGGCCAAGGTACTGTGCACACACAAGTACAAAACAAAGACAACCAGGGGAAGGAAAATAACAGACTTTTCATCATCGTTTGCGTTTAAATGTCGAGGTTGATCTGGTCAAGGTTGATCTCGCATTCAATACAGATAAATGGAGCTTAATGAAGCTTAAACCAACACCTGAATGAAACTGAATGTATGCAGAGACGATTATCATTTTAGTCAACATAATCACTGCAATGCGGATTGTGAAATTTATTTTACATGTATAGGAAACACCATATAAAGGTACACATATAAAAAGCAGTTTCACTATGATTAATTCATGTAGTTCAATATGAGACGCACTGAATGTCATGTTACTTCATGAGCCATGCACGTACAGGTATTTCACACGCAGTGAGATATTGGAAATTATATAAATGACATGTTTCAAAGCCGAAAAACTCACCTGACAATGACAAACATCACCAGACAATTTCCCGCTAAGCCCACCACAAACACCACGGAGTACACGGCGACGATAATGGGAATAATGGGCGACATGGGCTCGGGTTCCGTGTCCCAGGTGCCGTTGTGTGTGTTGTTGAAGATGTCCGACGAGCCCGTTGGCCAGGTGAAGTTTTGGAAACAGTCCTCCAGCTGGCCCGAGGGACACCTGTCCTCTTTGTAGATGTGCACCACGCCGCTGTCCATGGTGCTGAACTCCCAACCGGGCTGCTGGCGAAAAGGCATCGGTTCACTTACAAAAATATACGTATATATCAGTCCGGAACTGGCGGAATTCTGATTACTGCTACATAAAAACAAACAAAAAAACAACAACACGTAAAGCAAACGTCTCCATAGGCGCAGATCACGGCTTCGGTGCGCAACAGCGCGCGCTCAAGGACATCTCCACACCAGTGCGGCGCCGCCTTACCTGTTCCTCTTTCTGCCGCAAACTAAAGTTCTCAACGCCGTTTGCGAGGCGGGATGCTCGGCCGGAGACTGAAATCCGGACGCCCGAAGGAACCAAAAGGTTTCTGGGTATGATTGCGTGCGTTGACGAGGAGAGAACTCGCTGTCTGTGCCACGACGGCTGCGTCCCTGACGCTGCGCACTGGAGACCCGCGCCGCACTCAGTGACATCAGAGGCTGAGCCAACCGATGTGACAGGATCCAGCCAGCAGAACCGACCTAGATCACAAGCACCACACACAGCTGCATATATGCGTATATACATTTACAGATAATTAACGCTTTATCCTGATTTGTTTTCCCACTATATCTGGTGAAATACCTCATTCTCATGTCTCACGTCTCAAAGCTGGGAGGCTATAAAAGTAGATATCTATAACCCTAAAAGGAAATTCAAGAATATTTGGGGTATTGTTTGGCAGAACATGAAAAGTAAAACTAAATGTGCTGCAGTATCACGTGCACACCTTACTTTAAATATTTACATTCGCACCAAATGCTGCCTTAAGATGTTCCCTAGCAACTCCTGTGACAGGCTGCATGCAAGGCAAACAGTTGGAGTCTTATTAAAAGTCAGTAGGACACTCCACCTTCAGATGATTGTGAGCCAGCACCAGATCATATGAGCAATGCGTGACACAATAATTAAGAAAGAGGAGGACTGTAAAGTCAAAAATGCTCTTCATCGAATAATGTTTCAACTCCATCTCATTTCAGCCCTTTCTGCGCATAACTTTTCCTCTATTTTATCATTAGAACATTTCCTTGCCATAAAACACGAATCTGTCCACAGAAAGACATCATTCAGCAGCACTAAACTAAGAGAGTTTATAACTAAAGTAAAATCGATCTGTAAATAAAAAATACTAATGTCATCCACGGCTGCTCCTCTCTTTCTTTTCTCGCCCCAACAGACAGGAGGCAGATTTCATCGGCACGTAATTAAGTGGATTCTGTTCCTTTTTCATGCTCTAGCGCTTGTTGCTTAGAGACCCATCATGGCCACGGGTTGCGGCGGCGAGGGAGCCTCTTTGCAGGTCTCTATTGTTACGGTCAGACAATCTTGAATTCGTGAGACGGCTGCGTTTCTCGAGTGTCTTAAGGTCACTGATGTGCTCGGCCTCCAGAGTCAAAGTCGACGGTGAAGGAGTGAATCCCATCTCTCCTCACATCAGAACCTCAATGGAGGAGGACACGGTAACTTACTCTTAACCCTAATAATTCAGAGCCAACAATCCGCTCCATATTTCCAATACGAGGTCAAGAATAAAGTCCTTTTTTCATTTGAGTGCTGTCTATTAAGTGAAACGCCTCAATTAAGGGTTTGATCACGAAGACAAGTGAGATGCGTCATAGACGTGGGTTTCCATGGGGAAAAAGTCCTTCACAAAAGCTCTGGTTTTCAAGTGTGCTTCGCCAGGTTATTACTTTTCTATTGTTTCGTTTTTTTCATTCATCCATCCCAATTTGAAAATTTGCAAAAGGCCTACACACGCATTGTTGGCTTCCTTTGAAATTCATTCATTCAGTCGACCAGAGAAAGAACCACCTCAATTTCAGAGATAAAAGAAAGCTCTCTCGCACAACAGCGAAATGTGTTGATTTCACAGACAGGAAACTTTCAACATGTGCAAGGAAATACTCATCGGATAAATATATCATGGATTGAACAAAAGCAGAATTTCTGCATCGCCTCCACAGCTCCTGTGTCACAAAGAGGATACACTGGTCACCGAGAAAATACAGATATTACACCTTCTGGAGGTTTCTCTGTGTGAACCTAATTCCTTTTGATGGCAGGTGGGCATGGCAGCCATTTCACACCTTACCAGTCAACAGTTTGGAAACAGTTTCAATTTTATTTGGTCCTTTTTTGAGAACTAGATTCACTTTACTTATTTAAAGAAAGGGTTAGGGCTTAAATGCCTAATTATTTGAAGAGCATCATGTCCAAAACATGCACTCTGTCGTCCACACTGCTTGTGGGGTTTTGTATTCAGGTCCTGAGAGGAGATTTTATGTCATTTAAGATCCATGTGCATTAACGATAGCACCCACAATAAAGTCTCATCACGCCAAGACTCTTTGTTTGAAAGGACAAAAAGGGATAAGAGGGTTGAAATGGCTTTAGTTCATCACAGGCCACATATGTCAATGCATTTTAGATTTTCAAAGTGGGTTTAACTGAATTCTTTTTAATTTTGTATTTTCCATAAATTGAAGGTAGTTTTCCAATCCTCTGAATTTAAATAAAAGGGTTCAGAAGCCTCATAGCAGCCCAGAATCCAGACTTCATCCATAAATGCTCCAGCAATTTATTGGCTCACTAAGTGTGATTTTTGAAATCAGCTGCCTGTGCTCAGGAGAGAACCAGAGTAAGCATCAGCATCCAGATGAGGCCCCCAGAAGATTACAATATTCCAACCTGTGAATAACCTACTGCATCCACCCAAGTCTTGTGGGTCAGGTGGATGAAAGTATCTTTGTATGCAGACACTGTTCTGCTTCGCAGAGATCATCACCTTCCTCCCCAGGTATCCAGATGGCTCGGTCACTTCAGTTGCGCCTGTATCTGCTCTGGGTGAAAATGACTTGGTTTGTGAAAAAAGGGCTGCAGTTGGAATAAAATGTCCTTTGCTTTCAATCGAGCTTGATCGGACAAAGCCGCAGCAGCAGCAGCAGCGGAGACGTTACAGCAGAGAAGACAATACCTATTTGAATGGCAGAGACGTGAATTCGATGAGATGGAACACTGTTAATATATGAAACAACATTTTACACCTGTAGAGCATCTTCCAGACTCATTTCTGTAACGATGTAATGGTTGAAGGAGGCTCCGTACATGTCTTTGCATGTGTCACCTGGTACTGATGAGACCAGGGGGAGGGAACCAATGATCATAGAAGGACATGAAGTGTATGTGCACGGATGGTACAAAGTGTGTTACAGTCCACGCAGGAGCAGAGGTGGATGAGCCTAACAAACACAAGTTGAGATAACACGGCCTAATGTTGCACACAGAGGCATTACCGCCAGGCGAATTGAGCCGTAAATACCGTGGTTATTGTGATGATCCTTAGATGCGGCTTCTGTCGGCAGGCTTGTTTTGATCGTCGCTATGGGAACGGCCAGTCTCTGATCCATGGTGACACGTGCAAAGGGATCTAATCGATAAAGCAGGACTCTTCTCTTGGCTCAGCTAATAAAACATTCTGCCGTGCCGGACAGGTGACGATGCCAAACACGAAGGCTTTGGAGGCATTGACCGGGAACCGTAGCTGAATTCATCGCACAACATACCTGCACACCATGTAACACATTTCTCAGACAGACGAAAAAGGACTCAAATGAAAAAGTTGAGACAAAATCAGACCTCCCCAAAAAACAACCATTGCCTCAAGGGAGTTTTATCTACAATCCCGACCCCCGAGGCTGAGAGTGCACACAAACAGCCTTGACCCTGAGCAGAACACGTGGGCACCATAGTAAAGGAGGCTGTGGGGGGGAAGAAGAACCATCTGTTTGAGGGTCCAGAGTTCACTCAGTTGCTGCAGGTGAGCATGCACAGGGACCGCAAAGTGCCGGCCACGGCAAATAGTGGTCAGAGAGCGGAGCAGGGGCCGGGCGCCTGAAGCCACGTAGGGCGGTGAGCCTCTGCATAAATATTGACTCTGCATACATCACAGCGCCCGGCGCCTCTTCGATGTCAAAGCTCCGGGGGCGAGCGCGTCGCTTTGCAAAGACTGGAACCAGAATGGAATCCAGGCGAGCTGAAGGACGGCTTGCGAACTGCAGGCGCTGATGTCGAATGGCAGCGAGGTGAGACACTCAGAAGTGTGTCTGTGGAGGTTTACGTTTGGAAACAGATGGTTTTTCAGGAGGACAGAAACGGCTTCCACAGGGGATTTGGAAAAAACAAAAAACAAAAACAAAAACATGTTTGTTCTCCTCATGGAGAGAAAACTGCAGTGCCGCAGGTCACTCTGGAGTATTGTGCTGCCAGCCTGCCTTCTGGCTGCTTCATCCAGAAGCAGCTGCAGCACAGAATAGCTGCTGTCAACTCCAAAAATAAACGTCCGGTTAACCTGGATGGAACTGGAACGCTTTCATGAACTCGTGGGAGCTTTTGGACGAATATAAGAGGATCGGGTTCCTGCATTAAGACATCACTTTGCTGAGGTTATTTGTGATGTCGCTGTTCACGCACAGTCCCCGTTATGTAAAACTGAAGACTCGATCACTTATCAACACCTACAGAAGTCGAGGCGCTTCACAAACACCTGCCTCTGCCCTGTTTTAGCGTCAAGGTCACAGCTGATTTCTACGACGACGGGCTGCGCCGAGTGAAACCGCTCTGATTGCATTTGAATTGTGACGGGAACTCACTGCGACATTAGAAACCAAACTCACCGCAACATTTGGTCCAAACTTCTGTTGAGAGCCACTGGTCCACAACGGGTGGTTTGATGTGTAGTGGAGACGGTAGATAGTCATTGAATAATGTTACGTGGATAAAAAGGTCACGGCCTTTCAGTTTCTTGCAAGCTTTTCAGAAATAATTGGTTCAGTCGGCTCAAAGGGTCAACAGGAAAGCTTTGGTAGGTTTACAATTCCGTATTCTTTCAAAAATGTGTATTCAGTGAAGAACTATTTCTGCTTTGTAATCCTAATTGAAGTGAGGGAAGCCAGGTGAGCCTCACTTACAGGACTTGGTTAGTGCTCGTAAAGGATGTCGGGCTGCAACTTCTGATTATCTTCATAATTTTAAAAAAGGCAGAAAACGTCCGTTAGAAATCTCATCTCAGGAAAATCCCAAAGCAACGTCTAGCACTATTTTGCCATAAAAATAATTGTATGGTGCCGATTATGTCTCTTTTTCTATTTCATTTACATGTTAATTATGATCATTTTGCTGTGGAAATCATTATATTTAGCCTACAGGTGGGTAAAATATGATGCCCTGTTTATGCACATTAGGAAAAACAAAAAAAGCCTAATACAACAACAGCTTTAACGGACTTCAATAAAAATGTTATTTAAATTAGTTTAGAACTAGACAAACCTTTTCAGGACACAACAGAGCACCGAAACGTAACGAGTGAATCATTTCTTTTCCTCCATTTGTCTACAAGAGTTTGTCTCCATAATACGGGCGCACTGAAGGAGTAACGGAAGGTCACATCCAACTTCAGACCGCAGGCAGATCAGAGCAAACACGACAACAAAACACTTGAAAAGGAAAAAGAAATATTATATTCATGAAGGTCAAGATGAACCCAATCTCAGTTAACAACTTGTCACCATAGATAGCATCTTTATTGGGGCGCACGCACACACACAGACACAAACACACAGGCTTTACAGGTACGACTTAAATAAGTTTCGCTTTTGTACATTATCACGGACGCACAGTGCGACTTCAATCACCACACATCACCTCGCTGAGAGGGCACGACACGGAGCACGACAGGCAACTCAACCAACATCGAGGATCATTTGGGGAGCGGATGGAAGGGGGGAGGAGGAGAGTGAAAGGTGGGGGGGGGAGGGGGGGGAGAACTATCCCGCTGGATTTTTCAATTCATTACACGAAATGAACGGCTGATTTTTAGAGTACATCCAGAGGACACGGTCACCCACACGGTAACGCACGAACACACGTGCGCAGGAGCACTTCAGCTGCGGGCCGCCACGGCCGGAGCTTGCTGCTGATCGCTGGACTGCAGCTGTCTTCCCAGGTACTCCCTGCGAAAGAGAGGGCGAAAAATCACACCGTGCATTTTAACACAAAACAACACAACATTTATTTGCTTATTTGCACATATCATGCGATTAGCAGACTGACAGAAGCTACGGGCGCCGCTAGCTTGGCTTGGCTTAGCACGAAGACTGGAAGCAGGGAGGGAAACCGCTACCATGGCTTCGTTGCCGTGGTAACAATAGTTCAACAATTAATATTTTGCAGCTGGTTTCACTGGTGCAAACGATCTCACGGTGTAGACGTTTGTTCAGATTAAATGAACGACCTAAACCACCAGTGAGATTGAGAGTTCAGCTTTGAGTCGAACGGACAGAAATGAAAGCTGGCAAATACATTCTGATAATGCAAATTATGTTTCTTAAATTACGTTCCATGAACAATAAAACCAGTGTTCTGATAAACATCACTGGAGAACTTCTATCTGCAGAGCAACAAATTGGCTGGATTTTTGAGAAAGCAGAAAACAGCCTCACTTTTCTGCAGGCTTCCATTTTTGTCTCCGGTACAAATCTTAACTAAAAAAAAAGTTTTTAAGGCAACAGTCTGCATCGTCACTGATTAGTAGGAACTCGAACACTACGTGTTTTAAGATTCTTAAAACAAACTCTCTGTGAAGAATTCCCTCATCTAAGAGAAAATAAAAATATCACATCGACCACAGAAATGTACCCAGTTCTATGAAGTGATCCGAATTGCTCTGTAGCTGCTCTGCACATGGCAGCTAGATGTTGGTTCAGACGAACGGGGAGTCATTAAAAAGGCAGATGGCCATAATTGGGAGGCTGAGACCGAGTGATGGAGGCTCGCTCATCCCTCTGCAGCGGGATGTGATCTACGACCGGCTGCACGACACGATACCTACACAGCAAGTGGAGGTTAAACACAACACGATATTGTGTATCCTTAAACCGCCCCCTGACACAACGGTTGGGGAAACACTGGGGAGAGCAATGATCTGGTTTAAAAGATGGCACCGGTCAATGGGAGTCGATCACAATCAGGGGTTTTGTCTTTCAAGTTGAGTCACTGTAAGATAGAATTATTTCTTAACAACTGAACTTAATGCAACACGTAGAGGGTTTGAATAAAATAGTCAGAGGTACCTGCGTACTATGAGAGCCGTGGGCTTTAGCAGAAAGGAGCGTGCTTCCGTCTTAAACCAGCAACGGTTATATTCTATCACAACTTCCACGAACTTTAAACCTCGATAAAGAGTAGATTCTTCATTTCGCCCGTGCCGTTGTCATGACAGCAGGGCCTCCCTAAGTAAGGAAGAGAAGACAACAGCGAGGCGACCCACTCGAGGTGAGCTGCTGCAAAAACATCTTAACGTTTGTGGGTGAAAGACACCTCATCTTCTCCAAAGATTATATATATATATATATAGAAAAACTTCAGTGTTTTCCTCATTCTGCATTCACACGCTGATGTTTGTTTGACAAATAACCTCCAACATCCGCCCTCCTCGCAAAGTAGGTCCTGTCGATGTGAACTAACCGGCAGGAAGAAAACCAACACGGACAACAACGCTGGAGCATTTCCTCCACTGACTCTCTCGAAGCCGCTACTTCACTTCAGCACATCAATCACTGTGGCGGCGCGTGAGCACGGCTGAAGAGACGCGTGTCAACACGCGAGGCTCGATTCATCAGAGGCCGATTCAGCGCTTATGAGGACGACAAGCTAAAGGAAACAACAGGAGATTGGAGTCGTGGGATTCAACATTTAGACGGTGCATATGTTCTAAGACAAAAAGATCTCTCAAAATAACTCGTGTAAATTATCCCAGCATTTGCATTTCTGTGCATCGGACTCTTCAGCCTCAAGATGTGATAATAAATTCAAATAAAATCGGTCTTGAAGGAGACGTTGCAGCATTCAGGTTGTTGCTCTTTTCTCTCCTCACGGTACTGAAAACCTTTTGTGCGACACGTCAGTGACCACACAGATTACACTAAGGTCACTTAGGTATGAAAACAGCACTACACTATGATAACCAACACAATACCTCCATCCAAAGTTGCTCAGGGAGTAGAGTGTGTTTTTTAGATAGTGGCAGCAAAACAAACACATTTTCACTCTTTAGCTCGGTGATCTTTAGTGTTTCCAAGCAATGCGGTAGTCCCAAGAGACACACGGCGATAATGGACAGGTAGAGTCTCCGCGCTCCAACAAAATGTGAGGAGTGGAGCCCGAACATTAAATCTGAAGTAAAACACTGTTAAAGCAAAGCATATTGAATTTGTGATGGTTTTATAAGAGCATTTTGAAGGGGAAAATAAGTATTTATCTTTTCTTTTTTCTTTCTAAAAGGATTCCCATTTAGTTGTTAATGAATTGAGCTGGTCGAAGTTTCATATTCACATTTAAACCGTATATAACCGAACATTGATGTAATAAACACATACAAGCAAGTCTTTTTAAGGCCGTGTGGACGTGCACAGACGGAGCTCGAGTGACGTCTCTTTGAATCTCCTGCAGGTTTTAACAATCTTATCAGCATACAGTCCATCAACCCTGCATAACCTTCAGCATGCCTACGCCCAAATTCAACCTTAGCGGACGTCTAATCAGCCAAAATAAATTAAAATACACGTGCGGAGCACTCCGTCATTTACATGCACATGTAGTTATTGGATTTCAGAGAGCCTGGACTGACTCAAACTGTGCGGACACCTGGATGCATGACATGAACGGCGCTGCCAACGTGTCCCTACCAGTTGTGGACCATGAGCTTCTGCACAGCCAACAGGGCGTTGTAGCGGACCAGCTGGTCCTCGTGGTGCATGTGGTTCATCACCAGCTGTTTTCCACCCAGCTGCTCAATCACCCTGAAATGGGAGGAATGAGAGGAACAATGAGAGGGAGCCTTTATCCACACAGGTAACGGGGACCATTTTCACATTTTAGGTCACTTGGTGGTCCGGCACCAGGTAATTGAAACCGGCGCGACAGAAATGCTCTATGTATCTAATTACGGGTCACTGCCCCCGGGAAAGAATATAGTGCTTTGAAGAGGAAAGAAAACAGGCACAGTGAATTGTATAATGCAGTAAATGCTGTTACCAGAGAAAAGGACATTAATTCTAAGTACAGGATCGGCGGTAATGTTACGTATGGAATAGTTTCCATAGCAGCAGGCCTTACCGTTTGCCACGTGGGTAATGCCGCACATACTCTCCAACATCGTGAGCTGCCACTGCAATGACCTGAGGGTCATCCGACACCTCCAAGAGCCTCGTCAGGATCCTATTCAAGCAAGGGAGAACAAATAAGAGGCATTTGAATGGCGAAGCGTCAATAGGCTGATTGCATTTCTAAGATGTTTGAAAACAAAAGACTTTTCACGGAAAGCTTCATGAAGTAAATAGATTAGCTGCGATTTTGTTCGCTGACAAAGCGCGTGATGTAGAAACGCACTGACACGCCTGAAAGCAAAGGTTAATGTATATTTAATACTGAGGAAGCAAACAACAAAGGGAGTCTGAATGCGTGAGACTTCTGGGGTCAAAGCGGGACAAAGCGTGGGTGAGTTGGGGGACTCGGGCGAATAAAGAGGCTAAATTAAGCTGATATGACGCCTGAGCGAATAACAGAGGCCGTGGTTACGCCGTCTGATCATGCCAGGATGTGATAACTGTCAAGTCGGTGCGCCCCCAGATCTGATCATGCTCATACTGGGATCCCATCTGCAGGTGTGGTGAGCAGGTCTGGCTTGCATTAAATTGGGATTGCAGTCAGGTTTGGACCTTAATCCAGACAATTCATCAAATGTAGGGTTTGTATCCCTCCCTTGAAGACAACACAGGGAAGAGAGGTGGAACACGAGGCCGGGTGCACAGCACAGACTCAACACAAGTTGGGCTGAGTCGGCTGATTTTGCCACTCGAAAAATAAAAGCTTTAGAAATGAGTTTTACAGGAAAATGTGGTTAGCACCGAATTAGCGGCAATTTTTTGATGAAGACTAAACATGTAGGAGGGAAGAACTAGAATTAAAAACTGGAAGAGTTGCTGAGAAATTAGATGTTCTCTGGTCGATGCAATGGATCGGAAGGATCAGTGATGAGACTGAGATTATGAGTAGGTCAGAACGGCGTCCTACAGAATGTCAGTAGCCCAAACAGTGTGTGTGACTCGAATAACAAAGAACAGATACAAATGGGTGTTGAGTTGCTTTCGATCTTTAGATTAGACACACCGACACACACAAGAGAAAAATCCAGTTTCCTCTAGAGTTAAACTGTAAATTTGTAAATTGAACATGCCATTTTCATGTTACTGTCTTATGCACTTACCGCCATGTCAAATCACTCATGTCTAACAATATTTTGGCAATAAATGTTCCTGATTCCGGATGATTAGAAGTAGGACCTGAGATTACCACCATTTTTTCTAAACCAATATCTTTATCATGTTTTTTTTAAATTGAGAAACAGTATTACATCCTTAACAAACACATTTTTATATTCAACTGTTGTCTATCCAACCAATCATTTTAAATGGCATCATGTCTTTTCATCCCTTTCTTTCTTTCTTAAATGAAGGTGATTGTCTAACACACTGACGTCACATTTCTGCTCACACTATTTTGTGCCCCTTGTGACTCGCGACAATAAATGCCTCGTCTTACTTGAGCAGCTCGTAGTTCTTCTCATTCAGGCGGACGGCGTTCTCACGCCAGAACTTCTCCGACTTGTGCACAGGACTCCACTCCAAGCGGCCGGACTTGAGTTCAGAGCTGTACTCATCAAATGAACTGTGGGTAAAAAAAATAAAAAAGGTCATAGTACATGAATGCGTTGCTTCTGAGAGGACAGTCCAGGGGTCACTCTTCAAATCCATTATCTGATATCTGTGGTGAAGAGCAGAGATGCACAGGCACAGAAAAAAACCCCTTCAAATATCATCTGAAGGTCACTGAAATATTTGTTGCAAGCATTTCCTTTTACAGAATATTGCAATGCCTTTGCAATGCGCTCTCCCTGAGTAGAAGCACTCGTGGGTACCTGAGATCCTGCACGCTCTCCCCCAGCTTCTCCAGCAGGAACTTGATGTCCTCTGTGATGTCCTCGTCGTCGTACTTCTGCTGTTCGAGGTTCTCCAGCTGCTTCAGCACCTTGCACTGAATCATGGCCAGGGCGTACTCCTGCAGAGTCTCCTTCTCCCCGGACTTCTCCAGGAGATTCTGTCAAAAACAACAACAACAGCGTGAGGGACAGACGTTGCACATTTATTTTTTTTCCCCAGTCAGGAGCGAGCAACTTGACCGGATCTGAAAGAAAACAAGCAACAATAGTCATGCAACTCGATCAATGAGCAAAAGTCTCTACTACTCGAGCAGCAGAAATAATCAATACTCGTGGCTTATATATTATATATAAGTATATTTTGGATTCAAAAGAACCGTTGAAAATGACATGAGAAAATTTGTGCAATCAATTCATTAAAGATACTAGAATATCAACAACAATCTAGCGTTACTGTAATAAACACTTGTAATAAACACTTAGTGCCCCAACAAGTTATGACCACCTCAGCCCAGTAATCAATCCCAGGTGTTGATGTGTGAAGGGAATAAATGCAGAGATGCAACAAGAACACAAGGTGAAAGCGATGTGACTAAAATATCTGGACAAAGAAACCCAGTTTGCCGTAATGGAGGAAATGACCCGTTGACATTTGAGGAACACAAGATAAAAGCTTCAGCAGCGGGACCGAGATCGAACAAACCCACCTAATATTTGGGAACATATCCACAACTTGCTGCAAATATATATTTTGCAAAAGAAATCCCTCTAAAATGGCGCAAATAGTTACAGCTTTTGAAAGCATTGTGCTAAAAAAAAAAAATTCTGCAGCGTGACTGAGCAGCATGTGTTTTTCCAAAAAGTTATTTCCTGACTGAAGTTAAGGCAAACACGTGACATTAGGAGCGGTGCTGCCTTTGAGGATGTGTTCAAGGTCTCCCAGATGGTCTGCTTAATTTAAGTAACATTGCTAGTCCCATGTGGTGAGCCCATCATTTACATAATTAGGCCATTAGGGAAAACAGCAACCCTGAGAACACTATGGAATTACTTTTTTAAATTATTCTGTAAAAAGGAAAAATGTCCTACTACATCTGACAATCCCCACTTCCTCAAAATCAGGATGATGACACATTATAAGCAGCACGGAGCGAAAACACGGCTCCCCTCACGCAACGTCAAGCGCGCTCAGCTGAGTTAAAAGCCCTCAGGGAAACCCACTAAACGCCGAGACGTCTTAGAATCTCCCCCCACTGCACGGCGGGGTTTTAATTAGCTGCAACATATTAGTTGAACCAAACTACCAACTTCTCCCACCAATTAAAAACAGAGCGCCTTTCTGTCACGGGCAAATCCACCAAGGCTTGATGTGACAGCTCTGCTGGCCTGAGAGGTAAAAGATGCAGAGGGGGAAGACACGCACGTCTTTTGAGGCAAACATAATACAGTACGAATATCCTCAAAACAATTCCTCCCAGTAAACAAAAGACACGTCCACGGTAGTCATCCGGAATACAGAAGCCTATTCATCACGCTGACGGAACACAAGCAACACTAAATACCGTCTTTTAAGAAAATCAGCTCGAACTTCCCCTCCGCTGGGGTCTGAGCTCATGTTTCAATCATGTAATCACAGGCGATCACCACGCCATTGTGCCGGGAGCGGGGTCGCTGACGAAGGGCGAGAACGTCACTGAGGCTTTTCGTTCAAAAGATTCACATTTCTTGTAAGCTGTGCTTTAATTACTCGACAAGACGGTTCTGACAAACGGACCGCTGTATTGAGGAAGAACTGACTGCGTTAAAGTGTTCGCTGGAGGCAAAATAAAGAAAGAACTGGAGCAAAGCAGCAGGTTGCATCACCTGCGGCCTGTTGCTGCGTTGTTTAGTGCGGGAATCAAGCATTGAATTAGAAATCTAATCCAACGATGGTTGAATGCAGACGAAGGGGCTGGACTGACGGTGGAAGCCGGCGCGTGTGAAGGGCTGCAGACTGAAGGTCAAAGCGCATTACGGGATCGGCTCTGAGAGTGCGAAGGTTTCCGTTCCTCGTGGTCACACATTAATGCGTTTTCCTGGTGTTCATGACTACTGGTCCCCCCCCCCACCCCCCCGCCGGAGCTGAGACTTCAGCTGCAGTCTACTCCATCCCCGTCTTCAAAGTCATCTCTAAAAGCGAGTGTGGCGTGGCCGAGATGAAAGCGCACGGCGGGGGGTAGGGGGGGTTGCGAGATTGCGAGTACCCCGTGCTGACTGAACTACGTTTGTGCTCGTGGAGCAGAAGTGCTTCCTCCCGACGATGCTTCTCTGCTCGCTCCGTGCACACGTCTCTCGGTGAAAAACTATCCGTTTACCGCTTTCCGTGAATATATAGAAATATTATAATATTAAATTATTAGTCAATGCGGTGACATGAATAACAAATGCATTGTATTCAATTTAAATAAATGTCAAAAGCTTTTTCACTAGAAGGGTTTAAAGAGAACATAATATCTTTTTTGAACATTTAACGTGCAAGTAAACCCCAAATACAAATATGAACGTGAAAATTAGCACAACGTGTCACCTTCAACATTGGAAAACATGGCATTCATTTCTATAATCTTCCAGAGTACAATAATGGGCCCTCTGAAGACCTGGAAGTTATCACGTTGATTTTCAATTGAATTCCCAGATGTTGCAGACGTGTGTTGGTGCCCCGTCAGACTCACTGGGCTCCTTAGTATTCAGAGCCTTACAGAATGTCAAATAATGGGGCCTCTGCCGTTAATTATGTTTTATCAGGGTAGAATATCGGGAATTCATAACCCAAACCAACAGAGCGAGTCCAGAAAGCAGCTCTAACCAGTAGATTAAATCTTCAATGGCAGTTGTTAGCAGCCACAGTACGTAGATGAAAGGGCCGCAGCATCATAAATTGGATTTATGAATATTTTATGGGCTTTGTTGCTTTATGGGTTGCTCATCTGTCTTTGCTAAAATAGTTGTCGCTTTACTTTGCTCTTTGCTCGCCTAATTTAAATGCATGAAAATATGGCCTGAAAACTTTCCAAAAATAAAAATACTTTTTAGACCAGTAGTCCACAAACCTTGGTGACAACCTGCCAAGTGACCTCATTTACAGTAAAATATTTCTCTTAGCGGGGCCTTTGTTGACAAACGTGTACCTGAAAGACAACAGCGCTGGAAAGCCAGTTGTGTTTCTGCCCATTTAGATATTTTACAGTTTAATACTGGAGATGCCATAATGATGTAGCAAATGTTAATGTCACATAATTCAGCTTCAAATATGGGGGCTGCAAGATTTATTTTGCAACCCCCATAGCCATGATATTCAGGCAGTGCGGTCATTTTCAGTGAAAAGTGGCACTCCAGAGTTTTGAGTCCGAGGGAAAACTTCTCCACGTACCCTGAAGGCAGCCAGAATGATTCGAGTGACCTTCTCCTTGACAGACTCCTGGAGGATGTCGGACAGTGCCGGCACAACGTTGTAGCTTCTCAGCTGCTCGCAGAGCTGAGGACTGAAGGCCAGCAGCCACACACAGAAGACCATCTGGTACTGGAGCTGGAAGCCACACTTGTTGCTCAGCACCGCTGTGATGCTTGAATAGAAAACAAAATATCAATCATGAAAAAAATACAAAAAAAAACACTCAAACACATCTACCGCATGTCAAATAGGTTGGCTTTCACAGCTGTGTATGCATGATGCTCAGCCATTATTTCAGATAAATATTGAGAATAGAGGAAGAGTAGCTCAAAATACAGAGTACTAATGAGTTCAGCTGCACAATGAGTCACGCGTTTGAGAAATAGCTGCTAAGTGCAGAGATGTGGTGCTCGTGAATAAAATAAAAACGTAATTAAGCAGTACGGCTGGTTTCGCAAAGCTCTGTCAAGAAAGAAACAAGTAAACAAGTGAATGATTTATGAACGATTTGTAGGATCGACAATTGGGAGCGTTACACCCAAATTTGACTGAAAGTTGCGGCTCTTTGAAGCTTTGATACAAATTGATTTTTGTTGGGAAGATTAAAGAGTCACAAAAGGGTCAATATGTGTCCCACATCAGAGAAAAAAGAGAGAGCTCAAGCCATCTCAGTGCACTCGCAGCAACTTTTACAAAGAGAGTTGAATTTGCTTCCACAAGGACGGACATCTACCTCTTTGAAAAGGGCACTAACAGGTACACGACTTTCTATTCCAGCAGTAATTGGCTTTTAAAAGAAAATGTGATCCCGTCACCGGCTATGAACCGTCGAGGGCGATGCTCTAGATTCTGTCTTCTCCTTATTGCCGTCTTGAGAAATGGGTTTGTTGATAATGACAAAAGCAGTGCCGACCTGTGTGCTATTTCTTTTTCTTTGCTGTACTTCATTCGAAAATTGTCTGTTAGCAAAGTCGCCCCCCCACTGTCACCGCTCTACTGTCTGAACAAAAAAGAAGAAACCTTTCACTCACCAGTTGACTCCATCAGCCTCCACCCAGGCAAACCTGTACTCATTCAGCCTCAGCATCAGCTGCAGGCACCCCGCCACACACTGGACGTACTGGGAGCTCTGCAGAGGAAGAGGCAAACATTGACTCAATGCGTTTGAAGCGTCACGCAGCCTCGGCCGTGTAATTAGGAAAAACAAACGCAAGTTAGAGGTTCAAGTACGATTAGTGCCGTAGTTGACAAGCAGATACAGCACATGGAAGAAGGCCAGTCCAAAAACCATTGCACATGCAATCTTTAGTGTTTCACCTCCACACATGCTCGATTACAGACCCAATGGTACGAAACAAAGCAATAGCCCCATCACACCTGAGCAGAATAATGTAAATTGAGAGATTAGAGTGGAAGAAGCAGAGAGGAGAAATTAGATCACGTTAATCCGTTAACAAGTCCGGCGAGAGGAACAGGCAGCAGTGAGCAGAGAAGAGTGGAGGAGTGAAGGTAACCAGGCTGGAAATGCAGGAGAAAAGATGGCGTCCAATTATCAGACAGCACTCATGTCAATAGATTTCTGAGCACACTTCTCAGAATGATCGCGCTTTGCTCGACGCAGTGAGTGAGATAAAATGGAAGCCTGCCGCTGCTGTGCCAATTTCCCCTTGTTATCCTAACGTAGAGGAAAAGCTGTTCGTCATGCACATTCGGCATTAAGGAGACGGGGCTTGCTGCATGCAATGTTTCCTGTTAAAACCAAATCAGTGGCAGCAAACACCATGCTGTCTCAACGGGTAATCCCTCAGAACTCCAACATTCTGCAATTATTCATGAACAACTGGAATGCAAGAACATGGTGGAAGAGATAAGGAGCGTAAAGAGAAGTCGTGAGAGTCCAGTGACACCTGGACGGTGCCAGCTCGCAAAAAAACCCTCTCGTGTGGCGTTTGCTCTCTTCGAGGCGCCAAAGTGACCCCGAGGAAGCACTTCACTCATACTCACTTCACTGGGCGAAATAGTTCCTGCTCCTGTGCATGTTTCTGGACCTGTACCATGTAGGTTCTAATGAGAGATAAACAAAACAAAAAAGGTGCACAATTTTTTACAATGCATCGCTTTCAGCCCAGGTACAGTGGAACTAAGCATCACCACGACAGTGGATGCTCACTGGCTGTTGAGGAAAGGAATTAATGATAGAAGTTGTTATAGGTCAAGAAAATACTTTCCAAAGACATAGAATGTCTAAAAACAAAAGAGGATGACGAAAACATGACTATCTGAACACCTCCGGATGTTTTAGAAATGTTGGCGTGCAATCCCGAAGCACAAAAGAAGCTGTGAATCAATATTCAGGTGCTTAATCGGCCCATTGTTTGCTACATTCAACTGCCAAGGCAAAGTCAGCCCCCGCGGCGCGGCGCTTATCAACATTTCTCAAGGTCTAACAGGGCTGCTCAAACTCAATACCAATAAATGCATTAAGCTCATTCAGACAAGGTTTTCACCATGAGCCCGGAAGATCTAACGTCATTACAGGAACACTAATTTGGCCGTTTAGATAAGATATTTAACCCTTTGGAAGAAAACTGAAGGGGTTCAACTTTATCAAAAAGAAGAAATAATGTCTCTTGAAGCTTAGCAGCTGAGAAATAAATAAGCCAAGACACGACAAATATAATGAATTCATCAAAAGTTTTAAAAACTGCTGCGTACAGACACAGATTTGTATTGATGCTACCAAAAGAACAGATCCCAGTCATGTCAAATAAGCATGCAGTCCACATCTAAAAAAATAAAAACATTATTTATCTTCAAAAGGAATGGCCTTTTAAAAGTCCTCACATACATTTAGACAGAAAATACTATTTAATTGTTTAATAGTAAAATCAATGTCTCCGATTCAAAGGCAGTTTGACTCTTCAAATGAATAACAAAAGTAATCCGACTCTTATGCGGGAAGTTTTAGAAACACCTTAAGACCGGATGGACGTACCTGTGAACTGAGTTGGCTTTTGATCCAGTTGAAGTAGTAGCTCAGATCACTTCCCTCCATCAGATCGCGGCCCCAAGCAGCGAGCTTAGCGATGATCCTCGCCGCCTAACGAAGGAAGGGGGACGCATTAAATTAATATTGTTAATTGTCCATGAAAGTCTTTCAACAGCAGAAATGTACTGAAAGGCCATAATTGACTGCACTGGGAAATCACAGCATAGCATTTCTTACTCATGAGTAAAATGGCAGCAATGGCAATAATACAATACAAATAATACAAATCTTTGATATTTATTTAATAAATTATGATTATAATGATGTTAGATTCGAGCGTCTTTCATTAAAATTCCAGGGAGAAATAAAGAGGGGAGAACAGGACAAAGGTTGGACATACCAAGTACTTTAATCGGTTTCATATTGTGCTAAATCCCACCAAAAGACCAACAATAATAGATCATTAACAACCTCATGTAAGTGCAAAAATGACTGAAGCCACATCACCGGTGACATGATTTGTGAAGTGCTTCCTGTGCTCTGTGAGAAGACCGTAACAAAGTCTGTATAAATAAATCTTCCTTGCTAAGAGGGGATGTTTGAAATATTGAAGCAATCATTTAAAAAACGAGAGTCAGCAGGACAGTTGGATTGAGTTAAAGTGCTGTGTCACTTCATGCCCACCCGCTGGATGCCATCTGGCTGGTGTTTCTAATTAAGCTGTGGCTGACCTATTACAGTACTCAGTGTCTAATTGGGTGGTCAACCTTTATCTGGAAAGGGTGGCAGGAGGAAATTATTACATCTATGGCCGTTTTTGAGGAAAAAGAGGTTTCTTTTTATGTAATGATTGATGCCTTCCCTTGATTAGAAAGTAATATCCGGGGAAAATGGTGTCTGGGAAACCTCTAATAGAATACACAATCTTATCTGCAAAAATATGATTTCCTGTTCTCTATTCAGACTCCTACAATTTTTGATAAATTATGCATTTTAGCAATTGAAAAATACCACATTGCGCTACTGATTTATGCATAGCCGGAGATGTTTTCCCACCTAGTTCCCATCCCACCCTGCACATATGTTGTTAAATGAGAGCAAACATTTAGCAATAGAAAAAGTTGCCCTGGGTTTTGACAGCCACAAATAACAGTAAGCAGGGAAACCTTATGAGTCTGAAAAACACCTGCATGTAATATTAAAACTTCTTCACTTACCATGTGGACAGTAAAGAGGTCCTGACGATTCAGCATTGGAAGGAAGTAGGACCAGGCAGTGTTCTTTATCTTTTTGGCATAGTCAAAGAAGATGCTGACCCGCTGGTGATTCTCCTGAGACAGAAATTAATTGAGATTGTCGATCAGCTCCTACAGATTGTTAAGACTTATTTTCGTGCAATGCTAGAGCAATTGATTGGCAGCATGGAACACAACCCTTCTATTCATTTGTTTCTATAAATGAACAAATATATAATGGAATTGATTCCAAAAGATGATGTAAAATAAGTTTTGACAGAATGTGATATCATCATCATTAAAAGGGGCAATCACTCAGTTGGATATCACAAAGTCAGCCATGTACCTGCAGAGTGTCGTCAATCAGAGTCAGGATGTACTGGACGGTTTGCTCCTTGGAGATGTGGGCCATCAGGCTCAAGAAGGTCTTTGCACACTGAGCAAAAATAATACATACAAAGTCAAGACACCCATTGAATGAATAGAGAACTAACTCACGGTCAATAAGCACAATGCCCAAAGGTAAACTGGCCTTCCACTTGGTATGATCATTTAAAAACATAAGCGCCAGCTTTTGTGAATCTAAAAGAAAATAAGGATGAAGATGCCTGTGTTTCCTTTTTTGCAGCAATGTCATTATTTAGCTTCTTTGTGCAACCTGTCTGCCAGATGAGGTGAGGTTGTGGACTAAAGGTCAATTTGAAAAACAACTTTAAAAGGAATACCTGATGTCCTTCATTGGTAAGGATGACCTGTTTCTCCTCAGAGTTGGCCACTTCAAATTTCTTGATGAATTCACAGTCCTCGGCTGAGATCATCTGACTCCTGCAAGTCATCAAGCCATTATAGCAAAATACTACTACACTATTACGCAATTACGTATTACTCCTATACATTCTTAACCGTGAACAACAAAAACAATGCCTGAAGTTAGGAAACCTATAAAGATAGTGAATGGTAATAATTCATTATTAATTATGAGGCATTCAACCTTTCCTTTGTCATTGGAGCAAGATATAGAACATATATGTACACTGACGCTCTGACTGGGCTTTAGAATACTGTGTGTAATTGGAAGAGCTGCTCGCATAATAATGTAAATACCACAAGTTCTAGTAAATACAAAACACCCCATGGATGTTACATGGAGGACGGCAGTCATAGTAAAATGTGCAAGTATATCCAAACTAAATGTGACAAGGAATCAAGCCCGTTAAGATGATTTGTAGAAGTGATAATGTAAGTCACAAGACTGCTGCACAGTGTAAAAGAGGAAGTAGCACCCAAGACAGTGAATCACAACACAGGAGGTAGAGAAGAGCTGCTTTGAAACTGCCTTAGTTGGTCTGCGTTTATTACACTGATGCTTCCAGAAAGAACTTAACTTGTCTAAGAACATTCTTTTTTAACTTGATATGTTAAATATACAAGTTAGTTAGCAAAATAGGCAGCTTAGTTTCTATCTCATGCCAAGTAGAGCCTCTCATGCGATGTAAATTTCCTGGAACAATAAATGAATGTACCAAGTAAATGAAGTGGAAGAGAATAAACCACATCTTTCAATAGTAATCAGTCAAGTAAAACAAAACGTCCATAAGCTCAATAAGACATTATATATATTTAAGAGCTTTTGAGCAGAAAGACTGAAAAGGTATCAACTTCTTGGAAGATAAATTCACGGCAGAGACGTTTTGTGTCGCGTGCAGGACAGGTGCACCTGGTCGAGTGTCCAGTGAGTGACATATTAACGGGATGTACTCACTGCAGGTAGGACTGCCAGTTGACCTGATTGGCTCGCACCTCTGCCGCCTTGGCAGCAATGATGTTGGTGGGAACTGCAGCGTCCACAGCCCCGCGGATATCCATCTTTTAATATATCCACTACAGTGTATACGTAAGCAAATCCAACTCCACCTGCAGGAAAAACAAAAACAACCGAGTGAGCATCAGCACACTGACTCAACATCAGAGGCAATGTTGCAGATGATGCCCTGGTTATGTGCAGAACAGTAAACGGGTTTGGTTAGCTGGTTAGTTGGCTTACACTGGATTTCACTTTACCTACTATTTACCTACAATGTTCAATAAGCGTTAATCGAAATGATATAACGATAAAGAACAGCAGCTGAAGCAGAACACGGTTGGGCTAACGTTAGGTCATAGAGAACTATAACGTTAACTAACGTTAACTTCACCCAATGTCACGACATGGCATCACGGGTCTTTCTGGCATCAAGCAACGCAGTGCCTATGTCACGGCGTGTAGCTAAATACAACACATACATAACGGATACATTTAAAAACGAATGAATTATGACGTAAAAAGAAGACAAATAGGACACGCAGTAAGCTAAGCAGTAGCTAATTTAACGTTAGCTAAATAAGCTGATGATGCTAACGTAAGCTAGCTGCGCTAACATAGCTTCGCATACATTCGGTCACCGTGTGAACATGTGACAACCGTTGTAGAGACAACGTCAATCCCACCAACCTTAACAATATATATAACAATACACATATGTCTGGTAGTTGATGACGTAGGTAACCTAAACTCATCTAACGTTAGGTTGTTACTCACCCGGTCGTCTCGAGCGAGCAGCTGACTGACTACAACACGACGTCACAGTCCATCATGTGACAGTCACGTGCATCCGTGTTTGACCCGAGCAGGAATGGGGAAGTACTTTTTACTTTTAATATCAGAAATACTACCACGCCAAAACTACACGCAAATGGAAACAGTTCCTTTGATACATTTGTGTTACCAAGAAACACAAGTTCAAATCAATACCGAACAAAACCAGAAAGGTACTGTAATGTACTGTACATCTCATTATTCTTCTAAAATGAACCACTCAGATAGCGATCGTGATATATCAAATAAATATAGTACAATAAAAAACACTATGTATTCTTCTGAAGAGAAGTATAGAATCAGTATAAAGTAAAGCCACACAAGAATAAAGTTTGAGTGCTTAAAATTGACTGTGCCTACTTTCCACCACCACCTGTAACAGAGATGAACTTTATCGGTGTTTTTAAACATGTTGGAGAATTATTATGGTCAGTTTGTTATTAAACTGTCTAATAATATTAACAATATCACTTATCATATATATTAAAACGATATCTATACTTATAATAGTTATTATTCAAATTGAAATAATTATAAACAGTTAAAGTCCATGTAGAAACAGGACTTTATAGAAACACAAGAAACTAATTAGTGTATTAAATTAAAAGTAACACGTTTAAGTTCTGTATAGTCAACTAACTTCTTTTTCAATATTTCAATAAACTCCAGTCAATCCAAAACAATCAGAGAAGTAGAGAAGAGAAGAGCTATGATCGGTGTTTGTCCTTGTGACGGTAATGTGCAACGCGACCAAGCGCGTCGCCAGAAGCTCCTCAGTGAAACACATTAGCGCCACAGAGTGCACATATCAGCGGTGCCACATGTAGATCGCGTCCATACGTTTCCTTCCCATTACCAATGTGTTTTAATCTAGTCTACAGCATGGGAGATTTCATCAAGGAGCGCATACAATCACAAATGAATCCAGGTCTGTCACTAGACCTCCTCTCTCCATCTCACTCAGACACTAAGACCTCCTGGCTTAATCTGGCCTAATCCGGTGAGACGCAGTAAAGCACAGAGGAATCAGGATTGCATCCAGTGGGGACATTGTCCTAATCCCCTTCTGCCCTCTCCTTTGTAAACACTCTTCTCTTGGTCAGGGTCACGGATGCTTCTTTCGCCTCTCTCTCTGTCTCCCTCTTTTTCTCTCTCTCGCTCCCTCTCTCGCTCTCTCTCTTCCCCACACAATGGGCTTCAGAACAGGCGTCGAAACAACATAGAGCAAAGGAGCAACAAGAGTGGATTTGTTATGACGCCTGAAAGACTCGAGCCTCCCGTGGCGAGTGAGTCCTCGTAGTCGGAGCATGACATGTGCTAGAGAGGTGAGGCACTGGGAGATCAGGCCCACGGCTGCTCTGTGGTGGATCAGACACACCAAGGCCCTGATGTGGCGGCGGATCCGGGGACTTGTCCGGGCCTTCCGGCGTCGTGTTGGATACCCAGTGACCTACAATGACCCGGTCCCAGAGGAACAGGAGATGGTGTGCCTTGAGGTAAGAGCATGTTTTAGTTTTTATTCGTACAAAAAGCATGAGTGTATTTGATTAAAGCATCGTTATCAGGAATGACTACTATTCTTCTTCTTCTTCTTCTTCTTCTTTTTCTTCTTATCATTTTGGAGAAAAAACTGTGAAAAGTCACCACCCTTCATGTAAAACCACAGTTGTACCACACTGTTGACTTTATTTTGCTCCATGAGTTCAGAAATGTTTGTTTTCTTTCTTAGTTGTTGGAGTAATGAGCCGACACAAATAACGAAAAAACAAAAGTGTGTCGCTGAAGTTTTCCCTCCAAATCGTTAAGTTTGACAGCCTAGTAAACTTGTGAGCTACACATGTCTACACATAGCAAAATGTCTCCTCATATCTATCAAATTACATTTGTTTTTTTATTCTTAATCAGCTGCAGTAAATGACTCATTCTGAATATTATTGTTTGTTGTTGTTGTGGTAACAAGACTGCTGTATTCTGAGCCCCAGCTGCTTCTTTTGCTTCCTGCCAAACTTCGATGTGGGGAAATAGCCTACTTAGTGTCTGAAGGAGGCGTAAGAAGATTAAAAGAAGATAGCGTGTCTTGAAATAGTGTGATACCAGTCATTGGAAATCTATATTTGGTTGTGCAGCCACAAACAGACAAACAAACAAACAAACTACCCGACAGACTGTTTTAACATCCCAATTCATTAGTTACATCGATACAATAAAATACAATACATCGAGTCATTATTAATAATAGTCCTAAAATTGTGGATGGCAGCAGAATTATTCTTTTTAAATGGATAACTAAAGATGTGTGATAGCGTTCCGTAGTGAGGAGGACTGTGTTCATGTTTACAGAGGAGAGGATTGCAAAAGAGCAACTGCAGAAACTGCTCCATAACTGAGTGGGAGGACAGAGGAGTCAGTTCAGTTCAATCCACACATTTGTTTCCTGGTCAGGTGTCTGAGAGCAGAACTGGATCTGGTTGAATTACAGTCAAAATATTCAGCATTATGATCATAATTTAACGGCAATAAGAGAATATGAAACACAACAGTGTGTGAATGAAAATAAATCAATTTAGCCTCGCAGTCCTTGAAGACAAGGTCACAAGGGACATATCAAATTGAAAATAAAGAATAGAAATGGATGCATCTAACTCTGCAGGTGTCCTTTAGGGTTCCACACATTCATTTTGCAAACCTGGCGCCTGCGTTACCCACAACGCAAGCCCACAACTCGTGACCTTTTATGATGCCGTTCATTTGTTGATATAGGGTCAATTACAATTACAGAACTAAACATTCAGAGCCTTGTAACTTGTAAAAAGCCTTTGTAACTATCGACCGTCCCAAGACCTCCTGCACATTTGAAGATGAGCGTCGTATTGTCTGTGTGCACGGATTACTCTTTTTCGTTTCTAAAAGGTCATTTTGACATTACATTATTATATCATTTATACAGTTTATTATATATTATACATTATTATCACATTATTATTTTATTTTTCAGTAGCAAACTGAATAACCTCTCGAGGGACCATAAAAAAATAAATGTTACATCAAATAGCAGTATAATAACAATCAATTCCCGACAACATATATAATGATAACTTTCAAGAAAAAGGTCAGATAGAATACAGGAAAACAGGATACTGTGCAGCCAAGCTATAAAAATGTTTTCTCCTGCAAGGCTATAAAATGTCTTTAAATCAGCTAAATAGAATTGTGTTTACCGCTGTGATGGTGGTAATTTGGACAATCAGTTTGTATGCAGAAGTACGGCCAAGAGCGAGATGGGTAATGATGTTAAAGTAAAAAACAAATGACTGTGTAACTAGGTTACAGGGATTAAGACACGGAGTGTGTTTTATTAAATTGACAGTAGCAGTGCAAATAACACACCTGGGGGAAATTCATTAGAAAAAATGCAAATCAAATGGAGAGTTATTGCCATCTCTGCCATATCTTCACCTTGAAAAATGCTCACAGATACCCCGTATGATCCGTCGAGGCGGTAATAACACTTCGTCTTCTGTGCATATCTGCATAGACTTTATTATACTTTCCTCAAAGCTTTGCAATGCTTTGAAACATCTTCATCACACCTAGAAAACACTTCATTCATCCTGTCCCAAAGCTTTGGCGTCCTACTCCTCCGTGTGACCTTGTGTATTCAGACTCCCTCCTCCACTTGGTGTTGTGCTCTCTGAGGGAAAGGTCTGTGTGCTCATCAAAATCACAACAGCGTAAAAACATCTTTTGTTGCTTGCGTGTGTCCGCTTGCGTGTGTGCGTGTTTATATCAATCTCTCATGGCTATTTGTGGGTCTGTGTTGCATAACATGAGCACAGGGGAAGGTGTTAAATGAAGTGTTGTGGAGAAAGTCACATGTTCATATCTCCGGAGGGGGGCAACGATGTGTGGATGTGAAGGGCATGCCCCAGTTCAGCGCAGTAATTAATCTGGACAGGAAAGAATTCCCTTCTTTTCTCTTTTTTTGGGGGGACAAGATAACAGAGCAGATGAGTGCTTAATGGTTCAATAGGCAGCATAAGGGAACTGCAGCAGATCTGTGCAGGGTGTAAAATAAATTCTGTCAGTTTTGTATTTTACCGCCTGTCACATTGTGCAGAAAAGACAAATCTCGACCAAAAATGTAACCCAGTCTGCCCAAATATCGGTGTAAATTAAGCAGATAATTTGATAAAATATAACAAATGGCCCTACACATTTGTAGAACAGGAAGAGCGCCACCTGGTGTTTCTTCAAAGCAAATCATGATCTGCGCCATACATTAATAAAGGCACATTGCATTGAAATAGATGTGAAAACCCTGATCACTATCTAAAGCTTGAGTCGGCATCCGTCGTGGTTTAATGCTCACACCAGCCTGTCAAATATTAGAGATCTCACTATAGAGATCGTATCTTGCAAACATAGCCTTGCCTTTGACTGTTTCACACGGCCATCGAGGAGGTATGAGTCAGTCGATGCGCAAGGAGAAAACATAACATTATTGCTGCAGTTGGAGCTGCCTTCAGATGGCAGTGTTGTCTTCTACATCAGACCTGTACTGCAGATTACAGAGGACGGAGGAGCCTGCCTGTCTTCTGCAAGAGAGTTAGGCTAAATCACTGGGTGCTGAAATGCGACTCATGCCTTGACGCGAGCAACCTGTGAACCTGTGTCTTCAACAGGGACAGAACAGATACAAATTGTTGCATCAAGTGAAGCAATGCAAAATATGTAATGTGCATTATCTTTTAACTCAATTGCAGCTGCCGTCCGTGGGTAGTCCATTTAATTCTGGATAAAGCAACTACGTGCGTGCATTGTGCATGGCTGTGTATGCATTGACAGAATTGTGTCAATCAATCAATCAATCAATCAAACTTTTATTTCAGACTCAAGGTCCAGATAGTGTGCGTATGAGGATGGGTCTCATTACGAAAGTGTGTGACGAGAGAATTTAAAAGTCCTGCAGTATTTATAAACTATTAAAAATAAAACAGTTTGTTGCATGTTATGGTCAGCCAGGAATGTGCAAACATTTAACTCACTGTAAAAGGATGTAACGCTGGTTGATGAAGTCAGAGAGGCTTAGTTGAAAGAACTGCTTCAGTCTCTCAGCTTCTGGCTGTTTCAGCACCACAGACAGCGACTTCATGCAAAGGTGCACGTTGCCAATGGCTTTATTGTTTGGAGGGGGGCATTTTCTGGATATTTGGTGTTTTGTAAATGACTCCATTTTCACAAAAGCTCAAGGGAAGCGTGTGTGTGGTGAGCAGGACTTTCTTTTCAGTCAATTTCCTTTATTATAAGCGGCTATCGTGCAGCTTTCACGGCTTAATAGCCCGTTCCAAGAGTTTGTCGCGTCCCAGGCAGAGTGAAGGAGCCGTACTGTAAAAAAAAACAGCGCCGGACCGTCGGGCTTTAAGCTCTTCACTGGGCTACTACGAGCCGGAGAGGAGACGCATGCGTACTGACTCCAAGCAGCCGGTCGGAGGGGGGGGGGTGGGGGTGGGGGTGGGGGGGAGCCTTATGTGCCATCGGATGTAATCAAGGCAAAGAATTACCTCTCCTCGCTGTGCATACATGGTGAAATTGTAAGTACTGGTGGCAAACCGATGAATCATTTGCGCGGACATTTCGCAAGCGGAACATTTGAGGCCGGGTTTCCCGGTTATTTTAAATGGCATGCCACCGTCTTGCTGTGTACAGTGGGGCTTTGAGCAGATCTAGGCAGTGTCTTTTTTGGTGGTTGTCCAGGGCAAAGAAGCTCTACGGTTCTTTCGTGGTGGCACTTTCCATTGATGTGTTGTGGGAGTTGCTAATGCAATGGTTTTCTGCTGATAAAATCGCCCAGGAACCCTTACATCCCAGCGTCGTTCACATTTCTGCTACGGTAAGATTGAATAAGAATAGCGATTTAATTTGGTGTTATCATGCTTTATCCTCTGAATGGGTACGACCACCCCCCCCCCCCCCTCCCTCATCGTGTATAGTCAACCCATAGCGTATATTGCAATTGTGTAAGCTTTGAAGTGCCCGACACCTAAACGCGTAAAATATGCCATTTGGCAAAGACGCACGAAATATGCAGCTGAAGCCTGCTCTGAATCACAGTGAGAGCGCGCGCGGGTCCATTTTAGAAATGGCCAAATGGCATTGTATGCACTGAAAGGCTGTGATAGAGCGATGCTGCGGTTATAGATTTGCAAGCTGCGCCCTCGGGCCCCCCTCCCATGCACTAAATCTCCTGACATTTTTTTTTTTAAAGCATCCTTTTGTGTGTCAGGTAGTAGCCGGACGATTCCGTGTGTGTTGCGAGCGACACAGCTTTGTTACATAAATGATATGACAGGATTTGGCAGCGTCTGACCTGGTGATGACACATTTGTTAAAATCAGACAAGAAGTCATTCTGTGAGAATAGCACGTTTGTATCTGTAGGCCTACTGGAGATTCTGTTGAATTCTGAGTCACAGCCATGCACAATTTAAGATTTTAGCACAGTAATTTCCCCTGGACATGATACATGTCGCCCGAGGGTGCATGATAATACGACATCTGACGAGTAAAGACATATTTACATTATTTTCCACGTGTATTCAGTGCGCCACTTGATTCCAGTGAGAATTGCAAATCCTTTTAATGCACTTTTACACTCAGGCATTCAATAAGGGGATGTTTTAAATTTTGGATTAGGATCAGTGAGCCCTTGTTTAATAATCAATCCCTTTTACTTATGCAGTTTTAGCGTCTACGGGCACATACGGTTAGTTCGAGAGATGACAGGGTCTGAAACGTGCTTGGTGGGTGCTAATTCTTCTTCCATACTTTCCCTCTGAATGGAGCGAACAGCATTCCAAACAGCGTGACCTCTGGGCATGCCAGCACATGCTCCTGCCAGAGAGCATCAGCAGCACACATACAGACACGCATGCATACTGTAGGTGGCAACTGGTGAGTGGTAAATTAAATAGATCTAATTTACCATGCTGATCAAAGTGTTAGTAAGATGGATGCACTGTCAAGGTGTCACAGCGGTCTTTGGTCTTGTTACAATGCTGGCCTTACCATCTCTATGGCACTCGCACGAAAATGTTATAATACAAAGCATACAGCATTTTTTTTTTTTTTACCAAAAGATAAAACATCTATGAGTGAAATCGAATTCCTGAGATATGAAGCAGCGTGATCCTCTGTCTTTGCAGCCCATGGGATCAGAGCGGATGGAGATGCGAAAGCGGCAGATGTCGGTGCAGCAGGAGTCGGCAGCGGGGGGAACGGCACCGGCCCAGCAGGGCCAGCCGGGCCAGGCTAACCCACGGGGCTCCAATGCATGTTGCTTCTGCTGGTGCTGCTGCTGTAGCTGCTCTTGGTAGGTCTTCCACACTCGAGAACTTGCTGGCCGTGGCGCAGCTCGGCCGACGCCTGCTGCGCGAGGGGCAGCGCGGCCTGAGCGACCGCGTCTTATGTTCTTGATATTTTTTGCATGTCGCGTGCAGACCCTGCAGCAGCCTTATGTAAACAGCAGTAAGCTATCTGCTGACAATGGGAGTTTGTGAAATAAGTGCAGTAAGCTTAGCGTGCAACATATAACTATTATGTACAGTAGTTGTGAAATACATGAATAAATACATTTGAATATTCAGTTTATGATGTGCAAAAACCCAACATTAAGCTAGGAGTAAAGAAAGCCAGCAGATATTTAGTTTTTAGTTTTTTTTGGTGTACATCCTTAAAAAATGACTGAGACATTTATTGATTATGAATGTAAAAAAATGTAAATTGCAAAACATGCACGATAAGACAAAATAATGTACATGAATAAATTCTTCATTGCGGTTAATAATCTGCCTATTTTCCTATTAGGAATGAAGACCGGGATGAAAGGAACCGAAAGGCTTCTTATGACGTCAAGGAAGAGACCTCAGACTGTGAAGACTGGTCAGTGCATTCCACTGCAGAAAAATGCCAAATCCACTAAGCACATGTGTGGAGGTTTATGTTGAAATCACTCACCCCCATGTTGTCCGCGCTCTCCGCAGCCCGAAGCCCACGCTGGAGGAGGTGCGCACGTGGGGGCAGTCGTTTGACAAGCTAATGTGTTGCCCAGCGGGGAGGAACGCCTTCCGGCAATTTCTTCGCACCGAGTTCAGCGAGGAGAACATGCTCTTCTGGTTGGCCTGTGAGGAGTTCAGCAAAGACGCCAATAAGACTCCAGTAGAGGAGAGGGCTCGTGTCATCTACGAGGACTACATCTCCATTCTCTCGCCTAAAGAGGTCTGACAGCTCCTGATTTCCGTGTTATTAAAAATGTGTGGATCTCAAGGTTGAAAATTCATGAAATCTGACAAGTGTTCAGCATCCTTCGATGTCCTCAGTCTCTCCCTTTAAAGAAGCTTTGACATTTTGGGAAGATTTCATTTCAAAGATAGTGAAAAATATATCCCGCTTACGCCGAAGGGGGCAACCATTGACTTTGTATCGCAAGAAAGTCACTGCTTGTGACTTTCATCTGCTTGCAAGCAACATTAAAATGCCTCAGAGCTGCTGTGTGCTGCACCAACAGGGCAGAGGACACAGAGCCGTGACTTTGTAAGCCGCAGCAAAGAAAAACTAGGGACGGGTAATAAGATAGGAGGCATCACCAGAATGTAAGAATGGAGCTAACTTGTCCTATCTCATCATCCATGTTGTTAGAAACTGCATGGTAAGAGTGTCTAAGAGAACCGGTTGCTAAAAAGGTATTGTAACATATTGAAATCAGTTGTTAGACACAGGCATGTTCTTAGCGTGTCCCCAATGATACCACTACCCTGTCTCTGTACAGTAAAATATACAGTTGGTTAGCTTAGCTTAGCAAAAAGACTCGAAACAGCGAGCCTGGCTGTCCCTCCAAAAGTAACAAAATCCATCAACAAGCATCTCTGCAGCTTAATTTCTAACACTTTATATCTCCTTGTTTGCTCTATACAAAAACCTATTTCTATGCTACGCTAAGCTATGCTATGCTATGCTACGCTATGCTATGCTATGCTAAGTATGTGTCGGACTGTTTCTGGACTCACGAGAGGAGGCAACGGAAAGTTACACATTGTGGCCAAGAAGTCGTTCAGCGCATAAAGCCGTGCAATGTTTTTGTCCTTTTGTTCTTCAATGGATTAAATAAATCCAGCATAGGTTTTTAATCATTGATCTTTAGAGATGCTGTTAGGGGAGATTACTTTTTAGACCGAGCCAAGCTCGCGGTTTCCTTCACTTACTGTCTTTGTGCAAAGCTAAGCTAACCAATGGGCTTCAGCTGTCAAGTCATGACCGTGGTATTCATTTTCTCATCCCACCCTCACTAAGAAAACACATTATTTTGATCTTATCTCTCCAAAGACCCGACGTTCGACAGTTCGTCTTTGAGAATGCACACTTGTCGTTCTTGCTAATTCCAAGCCGCTGTTCTTGACTCCCAGGTCAGCCTCGACTCCCGTGTGCGCGAGTCCATCAACAGGAACATGCAGGAACCCAACTTGCAGACGTTCGAAGACGCCCAGCTGCAGATCTACACACTAATGCAAAGAGACTCGTATCCCCGCTACATGAACTCTGCAGCCTACAAAAACCTGCTCAACACTCTGTCAGAGCAGTCCCCCGAATCTTAGGGTGGTGATGACCTGTGATATTATAACTGTCTTTATCCACCCCCCCTCCCTCCCATCTTTATTCCCTTTTTTAAAATTTTCTTTGTATGTTCAGTGTAGGATTACACGAACCCGGCCTCGGGCCTGGCCCCTCCCAGGGATTTCAGTGCTATTGTGATCTGCACCCGACCGAAGACACTCAGGTCTCAAAACTCCCGAGGGCTCGACATCACAAGTACTGCTACAGATCAACATAGCGAAACACTCCAAAGGAATATGATTACTATTTGCTTCTGTTTTAATTTTTCTTTCTTTTGATAGAAATAATTTATTTTATTTGTGTTGAGAGTTTTTTATGGTCTGTTGTTTTTTTGTATGATCGTTTGGGGGGAAATGATTCCTATTGTAGACTATATATATACACATACATATATATATACATATATATTTATGAGTTTGTAAATAGTAAAAATGGAATTGTGGGTATTTTATGTAGAAACGCCTGGTTCTATTCACTGCGTATGAAAATCAAAGCTCAAGTCGAAGGCTACGCGTTAGCTCTACTTGCAGGCAGCTTTGTGGGGTACTGTATGATTTGACCTTGGTTTTACCGTTTTGTTTTCTAACCTCACACTTCGGTACCTGTGACAGTGACTTGGCAACTCCAGTTTGTGTAAAAAAAGAATGTGTGTGATTGAGAAAGCGAAAGGTTAGGGTTAGGGCTAACCCTATCAGGAAAGTGAGAGAAAGTGACGATGGCTTTAATCAATTATAAAAGGGAATTTCTACTTTCTATACTTCACCATGGAATATTGCCAATTTAAGATAGATTTTTGTATTCAAGTCCTACTCAATGAAACAGTGTGAAATAAGAACCCAAGTAATTCTATTTAAGAGATAGAGAGAATTATTATTTATTGATATCTATTGCCAATCCCACAAGTTCAAAATTATATTTCGGTTCTTTTGTGGAGTCATTTACATAAAATGGAGAAATGTAGTTATATTTTATGGGTTTGTACTTTCCTGATAATTTCTTGGATGTTTATAACCTAATTTCATAAAATAATTTAGGTGGACATTTATTTAAGAATTTCCCTATTTCAGCCAAATTAATGTTTGTTAAATGTAGAGCTTCATCCAGAGGCTGGATAGCTTAGCCTAGCTTAGCAGAAAGACTGGAAACAGAAGGAAGCCGCTATCCGTCCAAAGGTGACTGAATCTGCCTTTTAGCAGCTCTGAAGCTTGAACACGATATTCTGTTTGTTTTATCCTAGCTAGCCGTTTCCAGTTTCCCTGTCCAAATGCTAGGCTAAGCTAACCGGCTGTAGCTTCAAATTCAACCGACCTGAGTGGTATTGATTTTTTGATCAAATAATTTATTGATTTTTACCAATAACTAGAACATTAAAACAGAAAAACGATGTGGTTATCACGTGGGACGTTCTTTTTAAATGACTGCTACATCACAGAATGGTAAATTTGAAGTGTCTGAGGTTGACGTTGTTTGACCCCTGGTGGAGTCCTCTGTGCATCATCTTGACTTTAAAACCTCACCTGCAGTGTGGAGGTGACTTGTGGTTGAAATGGACTCAGCAGAAACACCAAAGCCACCACGTCCATTGGGTTGATGCGTTCAACGGGAGCGTCTCCATCGACTGAAATTGGAGTTGCCAAGTGTTAAATACGTTAATGTATTCTGATAGTTTCAGTTGAATTACTTTGTTGCCTCACAAACGTGTCACTCAAAGACAAGATCCTCTCGTGGGGAAGTGCCTTGACATTCGATTTTACGACATCTTTCTCATGGGCAACAGTTGTTTTCAGACTTGTGCCGTAAGAGTGGTCACCGGAGCATCAGGCCAGGTTACTGGTAATTGTCCCTCTCTTTGGCCAAATCATCACACGTTTTGTCTTGATTCCTTAGTCGTGACCACACTGGCCCATTTTGGTAGAGCTACCAAACAGTACGGCGGAGGGTGACCGCCACACGTCTTTGTTTGCTGAAGACAAAAGGAGGTCAACGGACGGGGCTGTTTGGTCGGAACGTCACGCCAGCCCGTCTTCTTCAGGGTGGCACTTCTACTTGTCTTAGAATAACTTTAACTTACTATGTGCAATTTGAGCTGATGGATACACCGAGCAGATCAACCTCAAAACACAATCCAAGCCGCCGGTTTGGAGCGATGCCTATAAATGTTGTTTCTTCTTCTGTTTACTATATGAAATGTGTTATTTTGCGCTGGGAAGATTACATTTAAAAAAAACAACAAATAATGTGAATGTTTACAGTATTTGGTTTCATTTCTTTTTCTGCTACTCTCCAAGAAAATAATGACTTGTGGGCATTTTGATTAAGATAAAATAAAGCACAATAATTTTACAGACTCTGGCATGATTTCATCCCAAAACCACACAACACAACCATCAGGTACTAAAACAACAGATCTAAATACTGTCCAAAGACTAAAATCAATTTTAGGGCTGGAATATATCACCAGATATTTATTTTTTTTAAAATAACGTTTGCAGGTAACATTAGTAAAATTACTCCATCATTGCGTGATAACAATAAATGTTGCACCCAGCTTGATATTGTATTAAATGAGTTAGTTCTTACTAACGAGTGATGTGCACGGGTTGGGTTTGTGCGTTAGGCAGCACAGCTGATTGTCAACATGGAGTGGTTGCACCTGGCAATTAGAAAAAATAAACCTACAGGAAAGGGGAACAATTGTGTGTCTTCCCCGGTTCCGCCAATGACGTTAGCCCGTCCCTAGACAGATTAATATGCACACATCTGCATTCACTTTGATGTGATGAATATTCCACCAATAAAACACACACACACACCTCTCAGATCCTCAATGGCATTAGTATAATGTTCAACACTCACATAACCAAAGGAGACGGAAACCTAATGAAAAATCACTTATTTTTAATCAAATGGAGTACATTTTATTGGGCAATTAAATAAAGCAATGTTGTGAGAGGAAAAAAAAACAACATCATCCAAAGTGTTAAAACTACATATAAAAAATGCAGATAAAAGAGAATGACACGAGATTGACCGCATATATCGGACAGTGGACAAAAACAACTAATAACAATCGTAAAAGATTTGTGGGAGTGGGGTTTGGGGGGAGGCATCGGGGGACTGACAATGAGCTCAGATCAAGCAACAGGATATTTATTCAAACGGTAACCTGTTGCATCTTTGTATGGCGTGTGGTGGACCACAAAATACAAAGCTCCAATCTGTTGCAGAGAGACAACCTGGTCCAGGGGTTGTGCTACTTGTCGGAGGGCAGCGCACATTCAGCAGAACTAGGACACAGAAAACACAAAATGAATCCCCATATACTGGAACAAACATTCCCATTTATATGAAAGGATTTCATATAATTCTTTTTTTTAAATTAAAACATGAAATTGCATAGTGGTCAAATTTATGGTGCACATTCATGGAAAAAGTGTTAATAGATGCATTAGGTCAACTTCTGTAAACATTAAACTAATAAGGATTTAGCCCCAAAACAAATAAATATCAGATGTGTGTAGAATGTCTGTGAGTTTCATGTATATCAAGGCTTAATTCATGACTTATTCTTTGAATTAAACTGATAAATCATTAAGTCTATCAAGTATTTTAAAAATGCAACTGACTTAACAGACCAAACCCCGTAAATAACCAGATAAAAATAGAAAAAGGTAAAAAGATTTCAGACTCATTTCTGCTTTCTTCTTGTAAAATAGGTAAATCGACATTTTCTCTAAAAGACTGATCCTTTCAACATTCAGGCATCAACTGTTTAAAGGCTAAACAACAAGTGGAACTTTCAATTAATGCTGGTGTAATGTGTGCGGACACATAAGACGTGAATGGGGTCAACGGAGGCCCCGTTAAACAACATACCTTCCATCTATTCCCGCAATCGTTACAGAACACAAACGTGGTCATCGGCTCATCAGCACTGCGGGTTTGAACCTGGAAAGGACAAAAGAAAAAAAAAACATGCACAGTCCATTCATGACAACATCAAACTGAACAGGCGAGGACTCAAACTTGAAGGTACTTGACGATGAGAATGTAGCCGTGGCAACGCACCGATGCCCAATCACGCCGTGGTGACATCAAACCAACGTTACCGCCACAACGTCCCCGTCTTACTGAAACAGTTCAAACGAAGCACGGCGTGGTCGTCCGTACCTGTGTGTAGGTGCAGCACTTCCCCTTGCACTTGCCGCAGGTGAATAGATCTGTCTGCGTGCCTCCCGTGGTGGCCATCTGGTGGTCCCGGACAGCCTCTTTGGTCAAATTCTTTCTCATTTCTTTCAGCTCATCACTGGCCATTTCCTACAGAAAGAAATATATGTATATATACACACGCAGATGTAACACACAGTACAACAACAGAAGAAACAGCATTAGAATATTTAGGATAAAGCCACCGACAGCCCACGAACCTCTGCGGTCATCTTAGCCATCCTCTCGGGCGTTACGCTGCCACACAGAACCGTCCTCCGTAGATTTGGGTTCTTCATATCCTTCAAATTCGAGATTCGGCTCCGCACACGGCTCTTGTATTTAGGGTCTGTGTTCTTAAACTCTTGAAAGATAAGTGCTGGCAGGTCAAGGAACACATATTGACAATATGCATTTCATCCTTCGTTTGAAAAGAGTATATAGCTACATTAATAACTCCGGCCTTTTATCGTGTGTTTGTGATAAAACGTTTTAAGTGATTTACCGACTTAATATATATATATATATTAACATATTAAAGACAAGGGGCCCTTTAACAGGGGGACAGTTTTCCAGGGACTCTCTTTATTGTCACACTGAATAAACATATGCTTTCTGCCATTTGTACACTTCAAGGCCATTTTAACTACTTGTATTCAAAAACCCATTTCATCATAATGGGCAGAAACATTTAAATATGAATCATATCAATAGCATTTTTAAGGATTGGCTCTTTTTTTAATTGAATCTTTTTACTGTAACTCATCTGAAAATCGCTCACACAATACACTGCAGGAAAACTGACTAAATCCAAAACATACATTTAAGTAAGTGGAAAAAATCAACTTATGGAAATCCTTGATCGAAAGCTGTTAACAAAGCGTAAACAGAAGTTATCACAACAGCTTTACGGAAAACATTGTGGTAATTAAGCCCCTTTTTATGGGAACTTTACAATGAGCAAAGTGATGACTTGTGACGGATTGACGTGTCATCGACACATTATGCTTATTTTATTAATGCAACTGGTCCTCATCCGTAGATGGGCACTTTTTAACGATACAGCAGTTTCATAATTCGGAGGGAGCTTGACCGACCCCTGAACCTAAATTAAGATTAATTCATGATGAGGCACAGCTCTAATTATCTTTATCACCGGCATCCAAAATATCTATAAAATGATTTAAAAGCTCGAACATTTTCAATATAAAGGATATCTTCTTCAATCTGTGCTCCAAGTTCATCACAATCAGCGCCAATAGCAATATGATCATCTGTAGAAAAAAAATAGAAAGCCAAAGCAGGGACATTAAATGACAATTACTTTAAATAGAGCCGATTAGTCAGTAGCTACAATAAGAGATATCTTATTTTTAAAATGTGTTCATAGATTTTTATAACAACCGCGTTACCTCCTGCTTGTAGAGCGGCGGCCAACAACTCTCGGCACTTGATCCTGATCGAGTCGGAGGTTCTGGGGGCGCGAGGGAAGGTGTTGATCAAACTGTTGGTTGAAACTTCAGCAGGCTCACTCTTGCTGCTGGAGTTACTGCTGGAGCTGCTGGGGGAGAAAGAAAAACACATCTGCGGGTCAAATAACTAATTAACATTGTAACGCTCAGTAATGATTCTAGACATACAAAAAAAGAAGACATATTGTCTTGTTACCTTTCTTCTTTTGCTTCTGGGCTTCCCTGCGAGGGAGAAACAGGCGTTGTCGGCTCTTTCCTCTTTTCATCCGAAGGTTTCTCTCCACTACCGGGTTCATCTAAAGTGGCAGACGTCAGATAATAACAACATAAGAGGACGACAACAGCGAAGAACAACTTTTAAATAAAGAATGCGCTTGCCAGCTGAAAGCTCTGCACTAAGAAAACGATGTTAGTAATGTTGTGCATAAACATGTCATAAGGGCAGCAAACTTCTGCATCACCTAATAACTCAAACTTCCCAAGAATCTTAAATGGTAACACATACTCCATAACACCGGAGTAAATGTCATCACTGGCAGTATTAGCTGCTGTTCATTTATGAGAAAACAGTGGGGGGGGTGGGAATAGATCAGAATGATGTAATCAAGGTACTCCAACAGGACATGTTTGACAGCTGGTACACCCAGAGCGGGTTGTGTTATAATAAGCAAAGGATCCAAATTGGCTTGGACTTTGGCTCCGATGCGACGATGAATAACAGCTCAGAAAATGAAAATGGATCTCTCCAGAAACATGACAGATAACAACACGATTCACATATGTTTTGGTAGGAAAGAAAAGCAAATAGTTACCCAAAAGCTTCTTCCAGGATTTGATCAAGGCCTTGGCTAAGGAGGTTACCTCATCATCTGTGCTCTGCTTACGGATGGCGTTAACGGACATCCCAATTCTGGTGGACTGAGGAAAGACACGGCGTCAGCGCTTCAGGGATCGGGCACTGACGGAGCGCCTCAAGGAGAAAATGAGCAAAAGGTACCTGGAGCAGCTCGAGAGTCATGGGGATACTTCGCAGCTCCTTCAATAGGTCCAAAGCACCGGCCTGCAGAGGAGAGCGTGGTCAGATTTGGTTTCTTAGGAGTCTTGAGCTGCGGAGAAGCTTTGCTGGGGTTTTTCTACGAGTCATCTCAATGAACAGGAATATTTCAGGTTCTAGTTGCACAAAAATGTTAACTAGCTAAAGTAATTCATCTGAAGGAATGAGTAGCCAATTGACAGAAAACTGTTTTCATAAGTGATTGAATGGAATTTTCAAGCATTATTTCAACACGTCAGCGTGCACTTGAATAGAATTCCCGATTATTGAATCAAATCAACCTGAATATATTTAGGGGAATCGTCTTGGATATTTCTCCTGGACCTTTGGTTACACATAGGGAGTCGTTGAAAGTGATGTTCGAACTCGATCGGATCCGTAATTGAAAGCGAAACTAGTTCTCAGCTGCAGCTCCTTTAACGCCAGGTCACACATAAAATAACATTGCATCAGTTTGGCGGCTAAAAGTTCACAACAAGCGTTTCCAAAGTCCCAAAACACAACAGAAATCGTGAGGATAATTGTACAAATGCTTTTCAGATTCCGAGACCAAACTAACCTTTTTCTACTTCACTCCTTAAACTGATCAAATCCAGCATGTTGCTGCGCTGCAACTTACAATACCAGCAGGGACTAGTGAGCGGCTAGGTGGCTAGCTGCTAGCAACACATAAACACACTTTAGTTAGCTCCTGCGGCTAGCCAGTTAGCTACAACTGCAGGTAACGTGACAGTAACTAAGTGTTGCTCAGCGGTAGCGTGTAGTGAACCGTTGAATAAACAGCCCTGTTATGAAATGACACCGTGGTGCACAACTTGACAGGCTACCGGATTAATTAGCTTGTCAGTCAGCAGCTATCCCCCATAACAGCCCATTAGCGCCGATGCTAGCTGCACATAAACATCAGCAGGCAGGAGGTGAGCATCCATTCTTCTCAGGCATCTCACCCCGTTTTTCTTCTGCGCCATTTTATCCATCTTCTTCGCTATTCTGATGATTTCGTCTTCCTCCTTTTTGCCCATGTTGCCTTATCTGATTAAACCCAATAGACCAAGAGCAAATAGGAATCAAATTGGCGATAAAGAACAGGCGAAGGCGGCGAGAGCGGCGGCGTCTACTTGAGGGACCGGGACCGCACACTGACCCTCCGCCGCGCAGCAGACCTGAGTAGCCGATGCATGATGACCTCAGGAGGAGTTAATCGTTTCGGAGGCCACGATCCTTCTGGTAGCTATCCGAGCAGTAAGAAGGATTATTCACCATCGCTCATTTACCAGATAAAGCCAAATGGGACACATTATTTACGAATACCCATATATATGTGTGTTTGTATTTTCCTGTAGTTCTGTGTCTTCCAGATGCCAAAACATGACCTGCATTTCGGCAGTTTCGTCATCTGTCTAAAGGTGGCGCCAACGTTCCACTTGTAGCTTTTGCTTGTGTTCAAGAATGAACTGTTTTTTATCTAAGCAGTGATGAAACGTTTTAAATGTTCTGTCCTGAGCTGAAACAATATATTTACTAATCAATAAGTCGAAAATACAAAAATAAAAATAATAACTTTTGGGGGGATTACGTGATGGTGTACATGGTGTATATACGCAAACCACTTAATTGAGAAAATACATTTAAGGTTAATATATAATGAAAATAATAACCCATAGCAGTTGTAGTTTTGTCATAAGTAAGGGCTCAACAAATATATCTGACATCACAACTAAGATTCAACAACAATGAACAGGATATGGAAGCAGTAAAAAATAATTCATACGTAATTGTAGCTGTTTAATATTTGTCTTTTTTACGTTGAAGTGGGTTGTTCTACCAAGTTTTAAAGATGATCTAAAGACAATTTAGTTGCAAATATAAAACATGTCCCCCTGAGCAGGAGTTGACATTTTATCATTCATTGTAATAAACAGTCAGTATAAGAGCTTCAGTCCTGCTGAGGGCCTTTTTCCGGATAGGAAATATCCTATTCCATAATAGGATCGATTTTTCAGGCCTTTAGATGAAGACTCGGCCGTAATGCAGATCAGACCCTTGACCTTTGAATTGCAGGAACAGGTCCTCGATGATCACTTACTGTCAGATCTTATACTGCAGTTATGTGGCTCAGAGAGACTCGCTATTTTGGATCTCACTAATCCAAACAGATCAGCGTGTGACCTAGTGATTAAAGGTTAGGCAATCAACGCAAACAACTTGAACTGAGTACAAATTGGGATGTGCTTCTAATTATACTGAGTATAATATACAGCGTATAGTTTTAAAAACACAGCCAGTGCCAAACATGCTGTATCAGTTTAATGCAGCTTTATTTTTATGATTGTGTGCGCTTTACACACACACTAATACACGATGTGTTGGAACTTCTATATTCTACACCTACACCGTCCGTCGGTCAATCCCAACCAGACAGTGTCCATCTCACGGCACAGTGCACATGTGAGCGGGAGCCATCTGCCACTTCTAGTTCGTCAGTGGTCGTTGAATCTTGGCACAGTGTCCGGTAACTGCAACATATAGTGACACAGCTCTCACCCCATAATGCAATTAAAACATTAGCCCCTGAATAAAAGTCTACAACTGCTACAGACGTTTTGGGTTACGCTTTTGGCCTCGAGTGAGCTCTGTCACAAGGCGGCGGTGTTTAAGCCACTACGCTCACGTTTTCTTTCTCGCATTCCCCGGGACGTCATTCAACATGTGGCAAAACCAATTGGCCGCATGTGTTCTGAAATGTGACGGCGGATTTCCACGACCCGCTGTGATGTAAAAGTGCTCTCTTAAGACCCAGTCTCCTGCCTCCCGCTGTCAGCAAGTGCACCTTAATCCCTATTAGGACAAGACTTCTCAAATCTGATTATCACGGCTGCTAGCAAACGAGAAGGAGCCACAGCCACCTGTGGGATCTGTTAGGAGCTGCAAAGATCTGCTTGTAAAAGGTCCCTTTGAGAGTGTGTTTCTCTTTTGTAACCTTCCCTGCTTCGCATTTGTATCCAGACGGAGGGCATATATTTGCTATGTTATAAAGCTCTCAGTTGAGCAAATACAATTGAAGCTGTATTCTTTCAGGAAAAAATGAAATTGCCATCAATTTGTGATTGAATGTCATTGTGATAAAAGTTCAGGCTTCTGTTTGCCCGCGTTTACTTCATTGTTATTTTGATATGCTGATTAAGTGTGAGCAAAGATTAAGCAAATTGGTCGTGATGCCACATGTCCCAAAATAGCCCTCGAGCAGAACTGAGAGGCTTTGACCGGCGCTCTGAGGAATAACCGAGGAACTCTTTCCGGTATTTTTGCCGTTACAAATACGGTGAAATGTGAGATATACGGTAAGTGTTGTTGATTTAATATCTGTTGACATGTTTGCTCATTTCCTAAGTATCTACAGGGTGTAACTGGTTAAGTTGTTTCCGTGTATGACATCTTTCTAAATCGGTGTCTACATCTAGGCTTGTTGTGTTGTTCACAGTAAGAATCTTACTAATAATAACGTAGACCCGTTATAAAAAAATATTTTTTCCACATACTGACTCTTCTTAGTATAATACAAGTTATGGAACGTTTAAAAAGAATTAACTGATCTGTACTAAAAAGTGTTTGATCTACAAATAATGCTACCGTGCTGTATTTATTCTACTGGTACACAATACACTTTACGGCAGGTTTTTTATTCTTTGAAACCATCAGTTTTTGACTGTATCTTGGCATTCTCATCAACTCTGTTTTCCAAATCAACACAATTTGTTGACAGGACTCCAAGGAAAGATTGAATGATTAGTATTGTGTCTGAGCAGCTATTCTAGGGCCCTCTAGGGCTCCCTTAAAGGACAATAAACTTGTGTCTACAGTCTGCAACAAGCAGTAACTCTAACCTTTGAAAAGAGCTGCACAATATTTCTACTCTGCACCACGTAAAAACAAAGCTGATTTGGATTCTGCGATTACGCTTCTTTTCAATCTTAATAAGTAAAAGTGTTTCAAAGTGTTGCATAAGGAAAATCAGAAAATACACCGTAATACTCATGATGCCTTGATTAAATAGAGAGAAACCAGAGTAACGTACAACCTGGACTAACTTTAAGTCGATCACGGTTGTTGTTGTTGTTTACTATGCAAAGAGGCTCGAGGCCCTCAAATCTGCATGATACACAAAACCGTATCTTTCTTTGTAGGCACCAACACAAAGCATGGGCGACACAGCGGTCCAGGAGCCACCCGGCCATGAATCGTCCTCGGGCAGCGGACAGACGGTACCTTCCCGACCCTTACAGCCGATCTCTGATCCCTCCGCTCCCAGAAGAGTGTGCTTCTACAAGAGCGGGGACTACAAATTCAGTGGACATCGCATGGTCATCAATGCTCGCACCTTCAAGACGTTTGACGCTCTTCTGGATGCTCTGGCCAAGAAAGTGCCTCTGCCGTTTGGAGTGAGGACCATCACCACACCTCGCGGGGTCAACCTGATCAGGGCTTTAGACGACTTGCACGACGGCGGGTCGTACGTCTGTTCCGATGGCAAACGGGTGAAGCCACTGAACCTGGATGAGGTGAACCGGCGGCAGGTGCCGTGGAACGGCACCAGACCCCTCAGCGCACGGCGGCGAAGGCAACAAGCACCCAAGCTTGGTCCGATTGGCGGGAAGAGCGAGGTCATCCCCAGCAGGCAAGCAAAGATCACGGAGAGGGGCGCGGTGCGGACCCCGAAGAGGCTCGTGGTCATCAGGAATCGGGATCCCACTGTGAAACGCACAATCGTGCTCCACAGGAGAATAGCCCCAACATTTGATGCTTTGCTGGATTACCTGTCCCAGATCCTGCAGTTCTCAGTGCTGAAACTGTTCTCAATGGACGGCAGAAGAGTAAGTACTAAAAGGCCAATCCAAAGCAACTCCTTAAAATATCTGGAGGAGCGTCCTTTGTCAAGTTGCTGGAGCTTCATTTAGTCTTTAATGGGTAACTGTAACTGGTCATTTTGTAGGCTATTGTTTTGTATTGGTTGTCTTGACATGATTTGAGTGTCAATGCCAATGTGTCAATGTCAATGAATCCTTCAGATTTGGTCGGATCATTGAAAGGGGTTTTGGTTCAGAGAGGAGAAGTCACCTCCATCCAAACATGCCTCAACTGCTTAGTGGGACAATGAGGACGAGGTAGAAATGAAACCAATAAATTACACCTTGACAGTGTTCATGTGCACAAAAGCTACCAAATAAAATAAAGAAATAAGTGATAATTTGTTTGAATATCACTGTAGTTTGTATTTGAGTAATTAAGAATTTGAAGTACTCCAAGAAGTTCTAAGAGGTGCTATCAGAGTCTCGACTTCCTAGTATCACTCCATAAACCCTCTTTCGGTGTGTCCTCTAAGGACAGAAACAGACCTCCTGTTTGTTTTGCAGCAGCTTTTCTTCCTCGTGTTAACACGGTGAAGAAATGCACATTCACACACTAATTGTCAATGCACAACTATAAAACATTGTAAAGCATGACCACGGCAAATAAAGCAGAAAAATAAAGCATAATCAATATATATGTGAGCGCTTATAACTATTGCTATGAACCGATTATAATGCATTATATTCTTTATTATGCGATTTAGACATCATTTAGGAGTCATCGAACGAGTTGCCAAATGCTCCAGGAGTGTACATACTGAAATCATTCTCACATAGTGGACGCATGTGGCCTCTGCGAACCGATTTGAAGTGAACATGTGTTGCGCTCTTCTTTCAGATCGACGGCCTCGCAGCACTCATCCTGTGCTCCGGAGTCGTCGTGGCAGCGGGCAGTGAGCCATTCAGACTCGGAACCTACAGTTTCCACGCGGCAAGCCAGATGGCACAAGTGATGTACACAGAGGCCGTGGAACCACCCACGTTGCAGCCCGCAACCCGTGAGTTGTAGTCAGTACTGCTGTTTTTTGACAGTCTTCATGTAAAAAGGGAATCAAATTGGGCACGAGCAATTAACATGAGCACTCAATAAGGCCTTTACAATGTCTCTACGTACAATCTTATTGTTTTATCTTTGTTTTTTCTTCCCCCTCTTTCACAAACACTTCCAATCCAAGAGAACAACAAATCTCTATCGAGTGGAAGAGGCTCCAGGAATTTTTCCTTATCGTCAGAGAGATACATTGTCGACCAGATAAAGAAGTCTAGAAACGGAACCACCGACAGACGCCTGCATCACCACGGCACATCGCTTGAGACGGAAGCCAACCGCGGCCACGCGGCCTCGGACGCCGGGAAGGGAGACCACGAGCACCGCGTTTGCGCCGTGCCCCGAGACGATGACATCGAAAAGTCTTTCTGCGTGAACCAAGACGGCAGCATGACGGTGGAGATGAAAGTCCGCCTGACCGTCAAAGAGGAGGAGATGCTGCACTGGACCACCACGCTCAGCCGCTCCGGCCTCGGCAAGGGGACAGTTTGTGCCTCCGTCTCCGAGTCGGGCAACAGCTCACCTGAGTCGAACAACGCCGCTGCCAAACACTCTTCCGGCGGCAGTGAGGACGAGACGAGGGGGGAGAACCGTCCCGCGGGACCTGGAAAGGGTGTGGACTTTCACGCCCAGCCGGCAAATCAGGGCTACGCAAAAACTGGTTCAAAACGCGCACCCACGCCGGGCCCTCGCCGCGTTACGAAGAAGGCGTCCGTCGAGAGCGTGAAGACGATGACAGAGTCAGGGGTTCAGGAGAGCACCCTGGGGCGTTATTCCTACACGGAGAGGACGGCTGACGGCGAGCAGACTGAGGGATACTGCGTCGTCAAGAAAAGCCGCAGCAGCGGCAACAAGCCCGTCCCCAAAACGAGGATAATGGCGTCGGCGGGGCCCCGCTCGTCCGCCAGGTCGTCAGCAGTGGGTGAGGTTCTTCAGATTCAGAAAAACGGGATGGAGGTGACAGAAACTGTGATGCATATTTACGAGAGTCAAGGTTGCTACGACAACTATTCTGCGAACGAGGAATACAGCGCGGAGAGCGGGACCGTGAACCGCTCCACCTCAGTGCCGGGAAGCAAACCGTCCACCGAGTCAGGGCAACGTTCGTCCGGCAACGATTGCGATATAGACTTGAGCTGGCAGCCGCCCACCACTCACTCACAGGAAAGGCAGAAAGAGGAGATGTTATCGTTGTCTTCAGAGCCCGTGACTCCGTCAGATGAGATTAGGGCAACAAACTCCCAAATACAGGAGACGGTAGAAAAAGACAAAACTCCTAAAAGTGAGACTAAGAAAAGGACGATTAAAGCAGCTCGGAATAAGGAGGGTTTAAGTTCAACGAGCAGCTCAGATAAAAAGCAAAAACAAAGCAGAGTTAGCCCCCCAAAAAACAGCAAAGATTCATCCACAGACAAGCTCAGCAGCAATGCCAGTGTGGAAAAAAAGACTTTAAGTTCATCGGAAAGTGCTAAAAGCGGTCAAAAGAGTAGAGGAGAGGAAAGGCCTCACATTAAGAAAGGAAAAAAGGATGAAAACGTGCCGAGGAAAGAACCTGCCTTATTGAATGTGGGGAGGAGCCCACCTAAGAGACTAAACATGGGTAAACCAGCTGCTAAAGATAATGGCCACAACGTAAACACTCCGACTGGGAGGCCTCAGATGAAGAAGAACTTGTCAGACATTTTACAACCCAAGAAATCCCTTTTGCCGGGCAAAAAGACAATTAGCCGGCCCAAGTCCATGACTGAGAGCAGAATACCGTCACCCAAAACCTCTTTACCGTTCCCAGAGGGCTCGATGCCTTCTCTCAATCCTTCCCCCTCTGAAGTCCACCAATATGTCGAGAACTGGCTGGACAAAGTCAGCCCAGTGCCGTACAGCGCGGAGGCCGTCGCCGACAAATCACAGCCTCCGACGAAGGTTGTCTTTAAGATCGGCGACGATTCCGAATCGGAAGAAAAGATTGAATCCCCGACTCGTCCGGATGAGGCGCATCTATCCCCCGGCGATGCCGTCAAGAAATCAGCTTCACTAGCCGACTGCTGTGGAGCTTCAGCTTTGCCGCACGGCGAGCAGCACGGGAGAGGTCTGTGCGTGTCGATGCCGAGTGTCAGAGTCGACCCGGCGCCACAGGAGGACGGACTGAGGCCACACAGTTCTGCGGAGGCCATTGGTCCGGCCGGCGGCGGGTCGGCTTCGTCTACACCCAAACCTTTGCATCCAAAAGCAAACAGTGGACATGTCCTGCATGACCTATATGCATCTATCCACTGCATCAGAAGTGCGTGTGAAGACGAAACAACATCCAGCCTTGAGAAGTCCAACAGCCTTCCTAATATCTCAACGCAAGTGGCGTCGGTGTTCGGCTCGTCGTGCAAAGCCTTCGCGTCGTTCTTATCAGTGATGACCCTGCGTGATAACCTAACCACGCCGGCGCTGGGAGACGGCATCGAGGACGAGGCCCTGCTGACGCTGGAGTCCCTGCAGAGAATTTCTGCCATCGAGGACGAGGAAGAGCTGAGGGCCAGTTTGACGGATCTGCGGAGCAGAGCGTCTTCTGGGTTCAAAGAGCGCTGGAGCGATTTCCAGATTCTGAGAGAAAGGCTCGAAAGTGAGCCGCTGTCGCCAAAATTTTCGGAAACAGAATTCGCCCTGGACGTTGTCTCCGAAGGGGGCGATGCATCTGAGAATATCGAGGAGCTGATGGATGAGCTGAATATGCCGCAAGACCTCCGGGCAGAGATTTCTTCAGCGATCCAACAAGCTAAGAGTTTCTACCCCGTGGAGGAGAGCACTTTTGTAGAAAACGAAAGAAACCCGTCGGACTCAGAGGACGACTTGGAGCAATTTGTTGAATGCAACAATGAAAGAAAACACTCACCGCAGCCTGAAACTGCCTTCGTAGCCGAGGACATCGATTCAACCAAACGGGGTAATGACAACGGAGAGATATATCAATTAGAGATACGGCAGCCGATGTATTCTGAGTCAGAACAGGAACACGATAAAGAACCAGAAATATCAGACAGAGATGAGACCTTAACGGACAGAGAAAATGACAAGGAAGACGAGGAACTAGTTAAAGGAAGGAAGGAAGAGGAAGGAGCAGAGGAGGAAGATGGGGAGAAACTAGAAGAAGCAGAGAAGGTTTCAATGAATGAAGAAGTTCAAGGAGCAAGAGAGGATGACAGTGTTGAAGAGACAGATGAGAGAGAGGGAAATGATTACACAGAGGAAGAGGAGGATGAGGGGGTGGATGTGAAGAGACTAGGTGATGAGACTGAAGAAGAGGCAGGTGAGGTATCCGATGAAGGAAGGGAGGAAGAAAATATCATTGAAGAAGTGAAGGAGGAGGACGATGCAGGTGAGTCTAGGGGAGAGACAGGTGAAGGAGAGGAAGTAGAAAATATTATTAAAGAAGTGGACGCGGAAGAGGAAGCAGATGAGTCTATGGGGGAGACAGATGGAGAGGGTGTGGGAAATATTGAAGAATCAGAGGAGGAGGAGGAGGAGGAGGAGGAGGAAGCAGATGATTTTGCTGAAGATGTTGAGAAGGAGGCAGAGGAAGATTTTGAGGGTGTTGAGAAGGACAATAATCAGGAAGAGGAAATGACTGAAGTTATTGAGGAAAAGGGCGAGGAAGAAGATGTAGGAAATTTAATTAACGAGATTGAGGAGGAGGAAGAAGAGGAGGAAGAGGAGGAGGAGGTGGAGGAGGAGGAGGAAACAGAAGCCCTGACCGAGAAACCTGTAGAGGGTGACGTTATTGAGGAAAAGGGCGAGGAAGAAGATGTAGGAAATATAATTAACGAGATTGAGGACGAGGAAGAGGAGGAGGAGGAGGAGGAGGAAACAGAAGCCCTGACCGAGAAACCTGTAGATGGTGACGTTATTGAGGAGAAAGACGAGGAAGAGGACAAAACTGAGGTGGCAAGTGAGGAAATTGATGAGGAGCAAGAGGAGAGGGAACAAGAGTTAGTGGAGGACGGTGAGGATGTTGATGTTGTCAAAAATATAAAAGAGCAGGTGGTTACAGATGAGGAGGATGAAGAAGATGAAATTGACAAGAATATGGAAGAGGAAGAAAAGTGGGACGAGGGTGAGGAGAGTGGGAAAGAGCTGCAGGAAACAGTAAACAGTCTTGAGGATGAATCGGAAGGGGAGAAGGAAGCAGAAGCAGATATGGAAGCAGAGCAGATGTCAGATGAGAAGGAGAGTGAAGATGATGAAGAAAGGGAAAGTAAGGACTTCAACGGAGGGTCAAACCGGACGGAAGAGCAAGAATCAAAGGACGAGTTGGAGGGAGAAAAGGCTTCTGACGATGCCGACAGCATGGCCGGCGGTACGGACCGCAAGAACCTGCTGGAGGAGGCTTCGTATCTGCTCCGGCACAGCAGCTGCGATGAAGCCAACGCAGATGCGAAGGTCGCCGACCCTGACTCACCAACCCAACACTCCCCCGAGTGTCAGTGTGAGGACGACAAGGGCAACGGGACGGACTCTGTAAACGAATTTCAAACAGACGAGGGAGGGGAGCCTGACGGGGGAGGAAGCGGCACTCCACAACATCCTGTGGAAATATCACAGGAACTGCTTGACTTTGTTAACTCTGCCCTGCAGTCCTCTTCACTCATATTCACGTATGACGCTCGGGGGAACGTCAGGTTAGAGACGGACAGTAAGCGGGTTACGCAGAATAAGCAACCTGCTATTCCTAAAAGCAGAAAGGATGTTTCCTACGGTTTAAAGCGCCTGCCGAGCCCCAGCAGCTCGGGTTTGTCCGATTACAGGCCAGAAACGTCGGAGAGCGGTGGGTATAAAACTCAGGAGTCTGTGGACGTGGTCACGGACAGCGGAGAGGAGGCTCCGGTCTGCAGACAAAAGCCCGTCATCCCCGTCGGGAGGACAAATGCGGAGCAAGCCGCCTCCGAACCGTCGGAAACAAGCAACGCAGTCCCGCAAGATTCCAGACACAAAAGTGGAGGGAGGTTTTGTTCTCGCGGCTCGGCCACCGAAGCCTCCAAGGAGGATCTGTCTTATTTCAGTGCTGGCAGCTCCCAGAAGGCCGACACCGAACCGGCCACCGAGGCCACGCGGCGCGTTTCCGTCACCCCAGAAAAAGACTCGGCTGACGGGGTGTTGATCGACCGAGGTCGATGGCTGCTCAAGGAGAATCACCTCATTAGAAAATCTCCTCCAGTGTCCGCGGGAATGTACGGCCAATTAGACAGCACATCTGGAGATACGGGTCAGGACAACACCAGCCAGGAGTCCCCGTCTCACCGCGTCACCCAGAACAACCCTCTCGCAGCCATATCCTCTTCAGACCTCGAGGAGATGGCAAAACCTCCAACTCCAAAGTGCACCTACTATAACATGCCACATGGAAGCGATTCGGACCCCTTTTCTGATGATGCCAGCGTCAAAAGCGGTAAAAGGGACGCAAGCAGTCTCCGAGGGAAAGGCTTCAGGGTGTCGCCTACTATTGATACGTCCAAAACCGGCGCATACAAAAATGGTAGCATGTCTTCCTTTGCATCAGTGGAGTTTAAAATACCAGATAGAAAAGTGCATCCTGAGGGGGAGTCCTCAGCTGTGACAAGATGGACACCTGGTGGAGGACGGCGTGTCCTGCAAGCACAAGACTCCCGCGACACACTCCACGTGAGATGTAGCCAATACTGTCCCATACTATAAAAGCAGGACGTTTATCCCCCTGAGTGATGCACACGTGCTGGTACCTGCGTGGGATTTTAGTCTCGGCTATGGTTATTTCGTTGTAATGCAGCTATAAATGTGTTGTGTTTTGTCACATAATCATGAAGAAAACATTTCTTGCAGCCTCCACGGACGAGAGGTTTTGATTGAAGAGAGCTGTGCTTCTGAATTATAGTCAGAAATGTACAAATACACACATTAACTTGGTGTCTTTTTCATGGTAGCTAAAGGATGAAGGAGGCCCATCAGAGAGTTGAAGTAAAATAAATGGAATATAACTTTTCAGCAAACAGTTCGGCTAGAATGCAAAACGTGTTTTCTGTGATTACTGTTTCATCTGCGGAGACTCTCTGGGGACGACTGTGTCTCAATTGAGTACGGATTATTCTGTGAAATCCAAATTCCTAAATTCATTTTAAGGCAATCTCTGACCAAAATGTTGTTTGATTCAATAAACATTTATTTTTCAATTCTGTTTATGGTCGTCAAACAGATAAAAATCTGGTTGTCCCCAAATCACATGCCTTATTTTACAAACATCATCAGTTGTTTTAATTTATATGGAGCGCTAACTAAAAATGCAGGGTCAGATTTATGCAGCTACGTTATGTGTTTGCACCTTTTAACATCAACACCCCCAGTTAACATAGCTAATAGCTAATAAAGCTAGACCCATATCCATTACTATTGTTGCCCAATATCTGCTAAACACATCATCAACTGTTTGCTAGTTCACCATATCAAATAAGAGTGTTATGATAGTGTCCTTGGTCAAAGTTTTTTTTTTTATCCACAAAAAGAAATCAGGTTTGGACTTTTTTGACTTTCAAAAGGAAATGATCCAAGAGGAGCATGTGAATCCTGACTGAGCCCAAGGCTCCAACTCCAGCCTTGATCCCTCCTAAATCTATTTAAATGATTGCATCAAGGTGTCATCGCTATTCCGACTTCTGTAACGGGGAAGGTATATATAGTATATCTTTTTTCTCCCCTCACAATCGCAGCGTTGGCCTCCCTCGTGTGCACTCGTCCAGAGGAGAGGGCGTCATCTGCAGCTGTCAGTCGGTCTGGACGTCTAGGTGATGCCCCCTGATGGGCACATGCAAGTGACGCTTGGAATATGTACACCTTATCCTTGAAGGGAGCGCGTGTGTTTTTTGGGGCGAGGGATGACCCATTCGATCATTTGGGGCTGTATATTTGACAGATCATGCATTTTATTTTACAGTCGATGACTAATGACAGAGGCGAATGCTGGGAAGTTGTTGTGCAGTTTCCCCTCGTGGTCCCTGACCCAAACACCGCACATGCAGAGGGACACAAAGAAAGAAGGAGACAAAGAGAGCGAGGTCTTTGCAAAGTGGTCATTCATGGAAACTTTCCAAAGGTTTTGTCGGTCGCTATGGAGATTTGGGAAACAGCCCCAGCAGTTTAATTCCTCTGTTGTAACTATGGTGGAAAGGTATCCAGTGTAAAAAGCCCCAGGCCCCAAAATGAAGGCTGGTCCTTTCTCTGCTCATTTTGTTGACAATGACAAACAAGTCTGTGCTTAAGTTGCTTGTGTTTAAGAAAAACAGTATAGCGGAGGAAGTAAAGATAATTTCTTAGTCTAAACAGGCAAATTAAGTATAAAGATCCTTTACATAATTAAACATACAGACTCAAGTTCTCTGTTACAAGTAAGTGATGAGCTGTCCTTTTTTAGTAAAGGTACATGTCAGCAAAACTAAAGTAGGCTAATACTGATGCATTAATGCCCATGGCAGCCTTTTGCTTGTGTAGATGGTTTTCAGATAATCCAGTAGTTCCCAGGTCGGCTCCCACAAAGAAAAGACAGTCTCATTGAAGTCTGGTAGACGCACGTAGAAGAAAGTGGACAGGAACTAATTGTGGAGCCCCCCCCCCCCCTTTCACACATAGATTTACTTCACTGAGGTCCAACAACAACTTTGTGCTGCAGTAAATCTGCCACGTCGTGATCCACAAAGAAGCCAGACAATTTATCCGACCACAACAAAAGAAAAATGTAGCAACTGAATAAAGTAAAACGCAGATAATACAATAATTCTCTGTTGCAATCTGCACACTGCAAACGGCACTTTCTGCAACTCACAGACAGACATCCCCTGGATCTATCTGTAAACACGGGATAATAATGTCAGGAGCGATTGCTGTGGCTACTGTGTGCGCTGGTCGGTGATTCACCGTCATGGGAGATGAAACAAAGGACGCCTTTTTACTGCCTGGTGCCTGAGGTTTTTAAGACAGAAACAAGATTTAACTCATCTGTTTTCACCGTTCCACTATATGCTGACTGACTCTGGCGTACGTTCTTTTTAATAATCTCCCCTGCAAGTACGGTTGCTTTGGAAACCTCAGCAACAAAAATAAAAAGGGCAAAACGATAAATTGCAAACATGGCCAAGAATAACATCTATTTGGCCTAAACCACGGCACTGACAAACACGGGGCTACCAACAACAAATACCGGCCTACTGTCTGCATTCTGACGCTGCAGTTAAGTGACAGATCAGCAAAACACAATCCCTGCTCTGTCTGTGACAATCCCGGCCTCCGCTGTCCGTCTCTGTGGCCAACACTGGCAGGGCGGCCTCATAATGGGCCTGGGAGCAGGAATTTCTGCCCCCCCCCCCACCTTTTGAGAATGAAATGTATTTGAGAGTAATATATGACGTGGTATTGCTACTTTTATGAATAGTAATACTTAAAAAAGTAAACAAGTGAAATATTATCTGTTATTGACTGTGAAAATAGAGATAATAAAGTCTACTGTTTAGAACATGCTTACAAAGACAACAAGGACAAGAGTAAAATCCTCAACTTATTCCTCGGACAAAGCGAGACTGTAGTTTTCTTCTCACAGCATATGATGGTTCAAAAAGAGCAGCTCACTAAATTGCCGGGGTTTTCCCTGCGCAGTCGTACTTCGAGGGGCAGCTTGCCAACTTCCAACCACTGCAGTCTCCTGTACCTGCAAGACAAAAAGGTGAAAATCCCATGTGAAAGAAATATGTGTGCAATCAGGCTTCTATCTAGTCTACAAACATCAGGTATTTCATGTTCTGTAAAGATGCACTGTGCATCCATGAGCACATGAGGAGTGTGGAAGTATCACTGGCTGCAGCTCTGCGGCTCTGCAGCTCCCTCCGCAATCCCTGAATCTCAGCTAGTCAGCAGCACCGCAGCACTCACAGCTCTGTAAGTGGAGACAGGAGACAGGAAAATACACGGGAAGACAGACCTGGGAAGGAAAGAGTCTCTTTCGAAGTGTCTGACGCTGGGGCTGGTGTTGGATGGCTTTGAGTCAGACCTCAGTGTGTTTGCCCCTGTGAGTGGGCACCATCAAGGACGTGTTAACATAGCAAAAGAGTTGCACGTTTTGACCTTTGCACGTGTCCTCTAAGCCTGATCACCAATTGTGAAAGCTGCCGACTCGCACCTCACTTCCCCACTCGATCATTTAACCTAAAGCATAATAAGGCGCACGCACACACACAACCGTGCACTGTTTAGTCGTAAGAAATGGTGCTTCTTTCAAACTGATTGGACAATCCCATGCAGTGGGAGGACATAAGAGTGGATTGTGTCTACGCTGAGAGGGAGAAGACAAAGCTATTGCTTAACTGGAGAAATCAATCACCACTGTGTTGTGAGGATGGGAAACCCCGCTTCTCAGAATAGGACATTTAAATATCTATGTATCATCTTAAATGTAATCTGTGATACATACTACATTGAACTTAAATCATCCAAAAGATCTCTGAATAGTACAATCTGCATCTTATGCGACTCACGTGCTGTTGTTGGAACTAACACAATTACCCAAATGTGATTTCACCCTCGTGCACAGTCACACCTTCGATGTGACTTCTTTTATTATTGTTCCTAAACCCACACTGACAGTTTGGGCTTTTCAACCTGGGATCCGTTGGGTACCCCAAATACAGACCTCTCTTGTCCCGTGCGCTGATTGGCTGGTCCAAATGTCCCTCGAGTCACCGTAGAGGCGTTTGCATGAAGAGGAGACTATAAATCAAGAAGCATTTCGGAAACGCCTTTCCAGGGCGCACTCCGCGGAACGCAGTCGGGACCAGAGCATCACCGAGCCGAGAAGAAGACACCCCAGGCATGACGTCCTTCAAAGCAGGCTCGCAGTCCTCCTACGGGAGGATGTTCGGCGGGGAGAGAGTCGCGTCCAGGACGACCTTCCCCGGCCGCCAGTCCTCCTCCGCCCCGGTGCGCTCCTCCAGGGTCTCCTACGGGCTCTCCTCCGCCGCGACCGTCTACGCGTCGAAGACCCAGAGGCTCCGCAGCAGCGCGGCCGTGCGCCGGCTGTCCTCCGAGAACCTGGACTTCTCCCTGTCCGAGGCCGTCAACAGCGAGTTCATGACGAACCGCACCAACGAGAAGGCGCAGATGCAGTCGCTCAACGACCGCTTCGCCAACTACATCGACAAGGTGCGCTTCCTGGAGCAGCAGAACAAGATCCTGCTGGCGGAGCTGGAGCTGCTGCGGGGCAAAGGCACGTCCCGGGTCGGAGACCTGTACGAGGACGAGATGCGGGAGCTCCGGCGTCAGGTGGACCAGCTCACCAACGAGAAGGCCCGGGTGGAGGTCTACCGGGATAACCTGGCAGAAGATATCGACCGGCTGAGAGAGAAGTAAGGAGGGGGGGTCTCAAGGTGTCAAAAGACGCTCAATGCAGGTGTTATGGATTACGCTTATATTATTGTTATTCATGAACTTGTTGCATATACTTCTATATACCCTTGTGTTGATATGCGCCAGGCACTGCGCTTTAATTCTAGTTTATTGAAACACTTCAGTGAGAAATGTTTTCATGCAAGAAAAAAGGGAGGCACACAGCTGTGGGAGGCAGAAAAGTGAAAAGAGCGTGTTGGTTTATTTATTAGAGCATGTAAAAATGAAAATGTATAAAAAAGAAGTACAGCTTCTATGAGTAGCTTCTTTTGTCTGTCTGTGCAGGCTGCAGGATGAGATGTGCCAGCGAGAGGAGGCCGAGGGCACCATGCAGAATTTCAGACAGGTACAGTATGATTCATGTGATGAAATAAAGCGTTTTTACGGCATGACATCAAGTAATCTCTCGTGTAATGTTTAAATGTGTTTAAAGGAATTTTGCAGAGTGAGTGACAGCAACAGCAGAAAATGCTGATGTCTCTTTAGCACTGATACTCCTGCTTTCTTTAAAATGATGACAAGTTGTGTCAAAGAGGTGAGATAAAGCTCAATTATCGCTGAGTCTCACTTCTAACCGGTAAGCGGTGTAAATTTTCCCATCGAATCACTGCCCGTGAGCTCCACAGACAGGAATGCACCTCTCTGGTGGCACAACAGCAGATTGTGGTCATGATCCCGAATAGCTGCCGAGCAGAACTGACCCTGGGACAAAAGGCCAAGTTGTGGCTGTCGGGTTAAATCAGGCCTGCAGTGAGAGGAGATCATTTTTAAGTCTGACTGGTCACACAGAACAGAATGAGCCGGACACGAAACAACCGTGTGGGCCCACCGCGGTTATCGGAGCGAGAAGACAAGCCGCCACGTGACCCGGGCCGTCTGACCGCGGGCCAGCACAGAAACATCACGCGCTACCGGTTTGTCGCTGATTGTTCCCCGTCACTGGGCCACAATGTGGATTAATGAAATGATGATTAACGCAAAAAAAAAAGTTTTCAACCAAACAAAACCAAAATCGTCACGCGCTATTAGCCGAAGACACAAACAAACGTCCACCCAACTGTGCTTCTTCGCGCAGGCGGTACACGTTATCAGTACATCACCCCGTCGTGACCTTGTCTATGAGAATGGCAGGAAGGAAGTCCCCTGTGGTCGGCCCCTGCCATGGTGGCACAGGGACAACAATGCCGGGCCTGCAGCTGGCTCTCTCGCTCGGTCGGGCAGGCAGTCACCCTTCCAGCCCCGGGCCTGTTTGCGGCTGAATAGCACACTTTGTTTGTGGCATTAGAGCGGCAGCTCAACCAGGCTGCCGGCGGCCCGACAAAGCACGCGGTGCCACGTACGAGAGGTAGAAGCGGATAGAAGAAGTTTTTTTTTTAAAATAGTACACAATATTTGACATTTTGTGTTTTTCTTTTCTGACACGAGAGCACCTGCTTCACTCAGTTATTAAATGGTTTAATGCTGTAATTGCTGTATTTTAAACCTCTCAGGAACAGAGCGACTAGTGCAATGATTACGTTTAGGGACTTTTCGTTTTGCAAACACAGTTAGGTAACAGCGAAGGGGATTAAAGGCCTCTTGAATGAATGCTTTGTTGCTCTGGGTGCCCAACCGTGACTCCTTTTGATGATTTCTTCTTTAAACCTTCATTCCACTAAGTGCGCACCGTTTGACCTAGTAATGGGTCAATGTGTAGACAATTTCAAGTACTTTGTACACTACTGCATTATTTAAAAAACATGACTGCATCATAGTTTATTAAATCATCTTAATTTGAAAAGTGAGCAGTCACTGAATGTCAAAGGGGATGAGGAGTAAAAGTATGATAGTAACCATCACAATATACAATAAAACTACCCAAGTTTAAGTACCTCAAAACTGATATTTAGTGATCACTGCTAAAATGCCTGTGACGTACTCAATGACTGAGCTAAAAGGTGCTGCAGTATATACAGCTCATGGAGATCACGAGAAAACGTCTGCAGGGACACTTGTCATGTGCCGGCACTTGATATCTATTGGACGCATGTGTGTTTGCGACCTTGCCTCGCTAAACAATGGGACCATTTTGTGTACTTGGCTCTTGTGTGAGTGCGCCTGTGCAGCGGGTGCGTGAGAGAGTCCTTTTCTTCCCTGTCAGCAAACGATGCATTATTCCCGTCACCTTCACAAGTCACCCTCTTAAAGTCAGTGTCACTACACAGGACGTGGACAATGCTGCCCTCGCCAGACTGGACCTGGAACGGAAGGTTGAGTCCCTGCAGGACGAAATCAACTTCCTCAAGAAGCTGCACGATGAGGTAAGCCTCCCGTTCTGTGTCTAAAGCCGAACCGGTGTACTGTGGAAACACTCAACATGTACTGTGAGCCAAAGGCACCCTAATGAATACCGGACCAAACCATTTGAGGTATTTGTTAATCTGACCACTGGCCAGAGTCCCAAATCAGAGCAATTTAAATAGAGCCAGGAAAGTCATGTGAGGAGACAAGTATATAAAAGACATATAAATGAATGGTCCATGCACTCCTACATCCAAGTTCTATTGATTGTACTGCAGGAAATGCTGGAGCTGCAGGTCCAGATCCAGCAGCAGCAGCACGTGCACGTGGACTTGGAGATGGCTAAACCTGACCTGACAGCTGCCCTGAGAGACGTCCGTCTGCAGTATGAGAACCTGGCCTCCAAGAACATCCAAGAGTCTGATGAATGGTACAAATCCAAGGTTAGGACTTGAAAAAATAGAGGTAAAGAGAGAAAGAAAGGGTCAATAAATCCTAAAGAAAAATTTGCCTAAAAAAAGGCTGAAAACCCTTTGTTCTTTATGACATTTGAACATTGCATAGTGTTGAATAATGTTGCCAGTGTCCACCAGTCTTTTGTAACCACATCTTTCCTCATTCATCTGCCAGAGTCACTTTCACTCCGCCTCATCATTTATTGAACGGTGGATTACTCAGTTCTTCCTCTTTTCTGTCCGTTTGCCATTTTGACTGCCAGTTTGCTGACCTCACCGAAGCTGCAGCCAGGCATAATGAGGCGTTGAGATTTGCCAAGCAAGAGGCCAATGACTACAGACGCCAAGTTCAGTCCCTCACTTGTGAGGTGGATGCCCTTAAAGGAACTGTGCGTATGCAGCTTTACACTGTAGTATAAAAGATGACGATGCAAAAACAACAACTCCTACAACAACAAACAAAAAATACTCTGTTTAATTTGCACTTGAAACAAGTTATTTTTATCACCTAAGTGTAATTTTGTTCCAACTTGGCTGCCGTCCCAGAATGAGTCCATGGAGCGTCAGATGAGGGAGATGGAGGAGAACTTTTCCCTGGAGACGGGCGGTTACCAGGACAACATCGGCCGCCTGGAGGAAGACATTCACAACATGAAGGACGAGATGGCTCGTCACCTGCGGGAGTACCAGGACCTCCTCAACGTCAAGATGGCCCTGGACATTGAGATCGCCACCTACAGGAAGCTGCTGGAAGGAGAGGAGAACAGGTGGCTGGATCGAGACATTCAAAAAGTCTAGCTGACAGATATGAACATCCATGACATGCAACAAGGACAACCGTGTTGAATTGTGATCTATACCTTCTTCATTTTCAGAATCACCACCCCGTTGCCAAACTTCTCATCTCTGAACGTGAGAGGTAGGACTGCAGTCTGCGCCTGGTCACAGCAGGACGGCTTGGTTATTAAATTGCCAGATAATAAAACAACACACTCTTTTTTTGTTGTCTTAGAAACAATGGTTGATCTCAAAAACCACGTTGAAGCTCCAAAAACTAAGAAGGTTGTAATCAGGACCATTGAGACCAGGGACGGTCAGGTGGGATCAATTTCAAGTGATCTTTAATCAGAGAAGAGTTTTTTCCTTTTGGTCATTCTAGCTCAAACACACACAGCCGTGCTCACCTGCTCTCTGTCCTCTGCTTCCTTGTTCAGGTGATCAACGAGTCAACCCAGAACCACGATGACATGGAGTAACACCATCTTTGTCTTTGCGAAACAGTCAACAAAAGCAAAACGAAGGAACATATTTCCCCAGGGCTACAAGCAAGCCGACAACACAAAAAGCAGACCGCTTAAAAAAAAGTGCCTTTTACATGTGATGAACCAGTCAGACTGTTTTTTTTTTCCTTCCTCCTCTGCTAAAAGTATTATCGTTTGTTACATTCATTTAGACACAGTAATGAAATCACCACCACATAGAAGTCCTTATCGAGGTCTACAAAAATCTTTATTTGTAACCATAGTAGTGTTTTTGGATCCATACAGCATGCACACTGTGAGAAATCCGAATGCTAAAGATGTCACAATTGCCTGTGAGCAGCAATAAACCAGAAAGACTGTAAACACTTCTGTGCATTAGGTGCCATACTAGGTGCGGGAATTTGCTGTTATTGCTGGTGATACGTTTATGGTAATAAAGTAGTAACAGAATGCCTTGTGTGAATCAATAGTGGTAATGGTCATTATTTTACAACAGTAACAGTAACAGTAACATCAGTAACATTGTAACAGTATGCAGTCTGAGAATCTTAATATTCTTCTCGATGAGGTAAGAGCGTTACAAACATCGGCTGTCAAAACTGATTTGGGTACTAAATCATCATGCATAATAGGACGTCAAAGAATTCTATTTAAAGCCGATATAGGACTCGAGAGAACAGAAGAAACGTTGATAACAATACATAAAATAAACATACTTTCTTATTCAGGAGATTAAGCAGTCCTATGGATGATGCTCAACCTCCTAATTCCCCCCACTAACCTACAAAGTATTTGACGGTAGGACTGGACTGTCTCCCTTTTGGAGTTTAAAATGTAACTATAGTTTAGATTTGGTGGAGCCATAAGCATCACAGGTACAGCAGCCTTGACTACAGAATAGACAAGAGTAGAATAACAATGTTAAGTAAATGTATTATTATCATTATGGATTAATCACAGCTGCTAAATGGACGTTGAGGGGGAATCGTTTTGTCGACCGCTATTTCTAGTTTTAAGGAAGTTCTTTGACACTCAACCTAAAAGATCAGCCATTTTATTGTTATAACAACCACAATTCCATGAAAAAAATGTGCAAACTCCATCAAATGATGAAAATGATACGTTGGAAAACCGTGTTTCTAAACTGAACTTGAGGTACGATTGTTTATTCACAATATGTCAAGTAACTGTCAAGTTTAATAAACGGCCTAATAACTCTGGCAGTTTGGGAGAAAAGAGGCGCTTTGGTCAGAATGAGAACGACTTCCCCGGTTTGAGGACGAAAGGTAGTGGAGTCAACAGGTGTTGTGTGAGACTGCCACCTGTCGGGGATTCATGTGAACTGAGCTACGTTCATTGACGGGTCAACAGGTTACTTTAAAAAAAAAAAAAGAAGTACCAGAAGCCACAGAATCACATTTTAATTTAGCTCCGATTTGTCCCGCACCAAATCTCGCGATAATTTAGCACCAGACACTTTTAAGGAAAATATCATAAACAGGAGAGGAATCTACCGGTGTTTTTTTTTTGGGATTATCAAAAACAATATAAAGTCTCTCCAAATCTGCTCGGTTGGATTTGTGTTCATTTGAATAATCCGGGGGATTTGCCAGTTAATTGACGCCACTTGTTTTCGCCGCTCTTCCCCGAGAGATGAGAGGTGTGTTTAGACAACTTTCTCCACGTGACACGGACCGAAGAGGACAAACCATCCGGTTACACTGCGGCATCCTTTTCCGATCCATTAATCAATTTAAGGTCTCGCCGTCAGTTAAGTTTGATAAGAAAAAAATATAAGATCACGGTTTGTCAATAGGTGTTTTTGCTTCGGCGCCTTGCTCGTTCGCTTGGGGGAAAAGTAAAAACAAAAATGGAGTCAAGTTTCAACGTTAAAATGAAAGACACACTCAAAGTAACCGGTTCAAGCGTTTAATTTCTTTTCTTTTAAAAAAAAAAACCCTTTTTGCGGCGATGGGCTCCGTTACTTCTGCTCTGACGCGGACGAGGAACGCGCTGGTGAAAGTGGGCTCGGAGCCGGAGACACAGGACCCGGAGAGGAGCCGCTCCGCTCCGGGGACGGACCGAACCAGGAAGAGGAGCGCGCGGCTGAACGTCTCGTGCCAAACCGGGCGGCCGAGTTCCCGCCCGTCGCTGTCCGACGTGCTGAGCGGACGAGACTCCGACGCCAAGAGAAACACGAAGCGCGAAGGTCAACCGAGCGGTGAGTCCGACACGGGTTATACCCACACGCGTGACGCGATAAAGTCATGTTTATAGTTTGTGGTACTTCGTTATCTCTCCCACACTGTTCGCTATGCGTGTTTTAATACACAAAGCACATCCATTTTTTAAAAGAGTCACCGAATAGTAGTGTGGTTGTTTAAAAGAAACAACAACGTACAGGGTTGTGAAATTGCAACATGTCGATATAACACTTTCAGCATGTGCATTACTTATGTTCTTTTCCTTGAGTACATTTTTGCAGCGTTCAATTATTCAAATAGTTTTCACCTTTTTAACAGCAGGCAGTTTTGACTTGCACAGGTGGAATTGATAATAATAAGGGACCCTCAAAAAGCCAATCTAAATGTGATCCAGTTGTAATTAATCTTATGAATTACACCTGTGCTTTTCCTGCTGTGACAGACAATGGTTACATAAGTCTTACATTCAAAACACTTATTTTATATTGATATTATTAAATAATTGACTATATATTCCTTTTAAATAATTACACTAAATGGAGCATGGCTTTACTTTCCCGCAAGTAGGCCTCTACTTCAAGTAAATATTTAAAATTGTACTTAAGCATTGTACCGCAGTCACAGTACAGCACTGACACCACAGTTTTTCCCTGTTTGACTTGATCTTGACTTGATTGAAAAGTAGCCCTTTACACTGAAAGATGGCCACTCAATTGGCCTTTTATAGCACATTTAGTGAGAAAGATTACCATCAAGTTCCTACGAAACCAAAATGTGATCACCCCGGCCTCAAATACAGCTGTTGTGTTTCTTTGTACTGCACATCTCTGTAGTTCAGTTGGTGGGTCTATCTGTAGATGAGACAGACTGGTAGCTTCAGAGGATTACTGTTAATATGAAAAAAGGTATTCATTGAATGAATGCAGAGCTCTTTGATGGTCCGCCTCAATGCAACATATCTCCACTACCAAATTATCTCTTTGATGTGTGAGTTGTCCCCCCCCCCGGATGGAAATAAACCAAATTACAGTCCCATTAGAACATGTGAAACTGCCATATGAGACGTGTGCTGCTTTTTTATTGGAATTATGTGGTACAAAGGTTTGTTGAATTAACATGACTTGTCTGTTGGAAGTAGTTGCCGGTCGTGATTATGAAATATCTGTGAAGGGAAATTTGTCCGATATGGATTTACTTCTAAATCTGAAGTGATTTGTAATTTTATTTTATTGGAGATTCTTGTTTTTTTTCCCAGCAGTTGACCTTTGAGTCAATCCAGTACAAGGATCTACCCTAAAACACTTTTTTCTCTTAGTGTTAGTCAGTGTTTCCTCCGGTTCATCCTGTTTACCTCTAGCTGTCTCCACCTCTAGTCCCCGAGGAAAAACGATTCTCTCCGGGTGACTCCTAAAATACCACCTTTACTGTGGCGTTTCCATGGCTGTGTGACGTTGTAGACTCTCGCTGAGTTCCCTTCCGGTCCCCTGATGATGTTGAGGAGTGTCCTCCCAGACTGTCAGCTGACTGTTGACTCATCTGCTTCCTCCCGAGGAACAAAACACCGACACGAACCCCTCGCTCCGCCTGCCTGGTCGGCCTCTTCGTTGCTAGATGGTCCCGTGGGTGTGCAGATCTCAACCACTGCCTAGCGGAGAAGTTTAGTGACATCAGCTCCAACAACTTCAGACTCTGATACCAAATAAGATGATTTATACGGCCCTTCAGTCAAGATGCACGGGTCATTAAAATGGTTTCAAAGCTGCGACCCGGGATACGTTCTCAGTGTAGCATGAGGATGTCTTACCATGAGTCATACAATCAGGTATCATTAAACCATACTTGAGAGGTTCTTTCATAACAGGGATGCTGAGGAGCAGCAATCACCCTGCTGATGATTGCATTACTGGCGCAGGAACTGGGTGATGTTCAGACAGTTCCCCGTGGCGTACAAAGAGCCAGAGTCACTCAGTCAGACTGAATTATAGTTGAATAGAAATTATATTTGGTTTAGAGACTTTTGTGTCATACATTTTTGAGGGAGAATATCATTCCTTTTGATAAATGAATTTGCACTTCTTCAAATCTGTTTTTTAATAATGATGCTACACTTGATTTGTTGGGATGGTAGAATTTTTTTTTGGAGTTTGGAGTCAGCACAAATCAATGAAAGATAATACGTTCTCAGCAACAAAAACTCTATTGAAAAGTCTGTTGATTGAAGGTTATACTCTTAGTACTGGCTTAACCTTTACTTGTGTAAAATTAATTTACCAATTTAATTCAAGGTTTAAAGCTTGAATCACATTTTTTGTCCTTGAAAACTAGTGTTCTGTGTTCCGTGTGATTGTATGAATCAGTTGGACATTGGCCTTCAAAGTCAAAATGGTTTAATATTTGTTGGAAATAGTTTATTTTTATTTTTTATGTTGACACAAAATATATCATACTGTATATCGTGTCAATGTTGTCGTTCACTCACAACCGTGCTGTGTGGCTCTGTGATACATGAGGGTCGCCCTTCGATCACAGGATTGGCTTCTCCATCTCCAGCTCCACTCAACCCCTAATTGTGTGCGTGAATGGTTAGTTAGAGTCGTGATAGCACCTTGCGCGCTATCCCACTGCCATCGCTGTGTGAATGCGGGTCAACGGTGGCGAGCGTCGGAGCGCACTCCGATTCAGATTCAGACGACCGTTCATGGAGCTTTCTGTTTTGTCAGCTCATCTCCCTCAGGTTTGCAGTCTGGCTGACATCGCCCTTAAAGGAGCCTCTAATGAGTACTTAGCAGGGGAAAAGGAAAGCTCCCCGACGCCCCGCGTGTCTCCATTACATGCACGTGTCACTGGGGTGACAGTGGCGTGGGGACTGACGAAGGGCAGGTCGTTCCACGGTCCACGGGAGACCACTAATGAGGTCGTTTTTGTTTTTTTTCTCATCCCAAGTTGTTGTCTTGGATCTGCATGCGCCACTGGGAAAGATTACGCGATCAACTGATGACGTAATAGAATGACGGAGGAAATGTCCGTTTTGGAAAATGTTAGGAATATAATCTGGTTAAAGTTTGCCTTGATTTTCATTTGTATTATATTTCATTTACCTGAGAGTAAACAAATATTTCTAATACACAGATGTATTGAATAGGACGTTTGATCAATTCAACTGAAAACCCGACAAATTGATTAATCATGACGATGATTAATTGGTTGCTAGACGATATATTTCGAATCCCCCAAATCAGCTCTCACCTCCGCTTTGTCTTCACAACTGATAAATATCTGCTGGTGACGGCCTGTGCTGGTGTTTGATGGCCAGATCAAAGGTTGAGCGACAGTTCACCTTCAATGGACACAAAAGAAAAAGCAATGGGGTGTTTATTTTTGTGTGCCAGCAGTTCACAGACGCACCGTTCGAGAAATTCGAGATAAGGCTCTTTTCTATTTTTCCAGTGAGCACAGTCTGCACCAAAGTGGTGGTAAGTGGAGGGCGAAAAACAGACACATAACTTGATGTACTACATCTACTGTACTTCAAAATCCACACTGATGTAATGACTGCTATTTGCATCAACCACACGGTATGCACATTACTGCATGTCTAAAAGCCCCCCCCGTTGCCTAGTGACCGTTCTGCAACCCAGTTGACCCTTGAATAAAATGGAACTTGAGAAGGGTTCAACAGATGTGTAGGATTCACCTCTCAAAGCAGCTGTTGCACTACACAAAACATGCTGTGGCATTAAAACCAACATGCTGCATTCAATTATCTGCTGTGTATTCAGCTTGACATTGATATGAATCAAGTGCATTGACATGAATAACATACACGTTAAACTGTACACATCTCTTGCATTTGTTATTTTAATGGACTGACCATCTCACATTTAGATTGAAGTTGATGAGTGTGCATTTTTACACCATCTACATCCCCTGGCATCAGATCAGCCAATAGGGAAATTCAACTGTGATAGTATAAACCAGTAGAGGGCAGTCAACTGTGCCACTTTATAGCACAATGTCTAGAATACAACTACTTTGCACTAAAAGATAAATACATTTGTAGCTTCTGCCCATTAAAACAGACACGCCACTGTAGCATTAAAGAAAGGCCACAAAGTGCATTATAGTTCGTTATCTGGGGGAAAATGAATAAGAAAATAACCCTTTTGGAAATGTAATTTTTTAATGCAGTGTGTGCAAAGTTGACTCTTAAGACCATGTTTGACATCCCAAATCCCAAATTTGTTATTCTTTGGCGAGTTGCGTTTACTTTGTAGCTGGGGTATAATATATTTATATATGTATATATATTTATATAAAATATGCGGAGAGCTAATTGGTTAACGGTTATCTTTCTTTTGACCAAAGCCTAAACAGATTGTTGAACACCTCCAGCATCCTCACATTAGCAGCTTTTGTTACCTAAAGCCTTCATGCTACAGTTAATAAGGTAATACATGGAGCTTCAGAGTAACACACAGCCTTCAGAAGCATCATGAATGCAGAAGCACACCCCTTCAGTTAAGTGTATTATGTAATCCGCTCTCTAACTTCTGCGAACCCAAATGCATCAAACGGAAAGCTTTGATTCCTGCAGCGTTTTGTGGCCGTGATAAATACACTTCAACAGACGCCTACTTTTGTGGAGTAAGGTCTTACACGGTCTTCTGGTACCTTTGTACTTCTTTAATATATTGCACGCGCTATTTTGGACGCGTTATTAAGGGAAGAATTTAATATCGGCGACAAGGCTCAAGTAATATGATAAAATCATGAAACATAATGACACAGCTGGCACCTTTAATAAGGTGTTTTAATTCCATTTTTTTTACTGGAAAGGAAATGGAGGCATATTGTAACCACTTTTTCAAATATATGGTTACCTGGGGAAATCTTCTGACAAAAGGGAATGAAATAAAGAAGTTGCTGTATTTCGACACCCTTGTTGAATAAAAGCTACCCAAGAACAGGCGAGCACATGAGGCTGCACAGTGAGGGTCTTGCAAAATTAGGATGCTCA